GATCTGAATTGATTCGGGAGACTATAAAAGATCGAAGAGTTTCGTTACGATACGATGTACATCTAGTGCTGAAATGAAGAATTCTTGCTGCTTTTGCATTGTCTTTATTGAGAAGCTGCAATGCAAGTGAAGCTTCCGAAATGGCAGCATTTATAAACGCTTCATTGAAGCTCTTGATCCCAAAAATGTACTGGGAGATGGTGACCTGAATCTGTCCCTGGCCACGGCATCCGTATCGGCCTAATCACCGGATTAAAGGTGTGATATGCAGCAATAATAATGCATTGTCCATAACTGGAATCAGGCTTCAAAACATGAATCTAAGTGGTATTCTTGATGCTGATTTCCTATTCAAGCTGCCAAATTTGCGGGTTTTATATTCTTAGCCCACAATCAAATCCAGGGAAACCGTTCCTGAATCAATAGAGAAGTGTGATATGCTCATGCATTTAGACATTAGCAGCAATCTACTGACAGGGTGCCCTGTTTTGGCTCTGTCCAAACTGAAAAATCTGGTGACATTGAACATTTCCAACAATCTTTTGGACGAAATTGATGATCCGGGCTCGTTTTTTGACTCAAAACATTGCCAGGAAATATAGGATTTTATCAGATTCTTCGGGTCAAATTCAGGGAGCCTGAGTTATCCGAAGCATGAGATCATTCAGATACTTTTAGCAATGATTATGTTATTCTTTGTGCTTCCTGTATTCTTCATGAAAATGAAACCTCTCCAAGCAGCTAAAGATACTGATTTAGTGGAGCTTTTGCCCCCCCGAAAAGCTGGGCATGCCCTGATTGCTGAGGAAAAGGAAGTGTCTCAGGTTGAAGAAAGGTTTTCGGAACTGATGTTCTTGGTTGAAGAAGACAGGTTTGGAATGTAAGAACTTCATGAGGCAACAGGCAACCTAAGTAGTCAACGTATTTGCAGCAATCTATATATAAGGTACAGTTCAAGAACAATGCCGTGATTGCCATCAAAAGATTGAAGAAATTTTCAGTTTCAAACAATGAGAAAAGTTGGGAACCTGAAGCATCAAAACTTGCTGCCCTGAATTGGTTATAATTCCATTGATGAGAATAAACTTCTATTCTACAAATACCAGAGGAATGAAGCCTTCTACCCCTATAATGTCCTGATAGCCAAGGAATTCAGCTGCTGTCTGCTGATATTTCCCCATTGTGGAAAATACTTTTTGGTTTGTCACAAAACTAGTGTCAAATTTTATCCGGACTCATACAGGGTTAAGAATGCTAATGATGTCAACACCACACGCATTCTTATAATGGAGAATCAAAAATGAACTTGAAAGTGATGATAAAATGCATTTGATGATCATGTCTAGGGAATTCATCCCAGAAAAGAACAATATAATAGACGAAGAACTAACAATTTAAATGGTAGTAATTGATATCAGTTTTGCTTAACTTATCACTAAGAATTTCCGAAACTCAGTTTGTCAATACTCAAATAACTTCTGGGAGAGCCAGTGGATTGAACTTCATGTATCAATGGCCTAATGAAAATGGAGATCAGATCATCCAACATTGGAACATCAAACCATCAAACATCCTGCTAGATGAATACTTGGAACCACTAACAAGTGAATATGGATTGTCAAAGTGTATATCTCAACGGATCATGTCTGCTTAGCTCCTTCTCTTCTATGTACGCGGCACCCGAAAAGTGTTTATCAGAAGTTGCAGATGTTCACAGTTTTGGAGTTATAATGCTGGAATTGTTAACAGGGAAAATTGGAGGGAAACAGGAAAATGGATTAGATCTTGTGAAGTGGGTGAAGGCCAGTGTAGGGGAGGAATGGACTGGAGAAGTAATTTGACAAGGAAACAGGAGGCTCTTGGCCAATCTACTGTCTACAGACTACAGGTTGGACCTCTTCATAGCTTCAGGGTAACTTAAATTAAATTCCGATGATTATGAATGGCCCAAAAACACAAAAATATGCAAACCCACCCCCCAAGATTTGTGGATTGTTTGCAACCCCTTTTTAATTCCCTAATCAAAAGTGGTAGGGAAACCCAAAGCTAATCAAATGATGACACCATTCAAATACTGCAGCATTTAGAAAGGTAATTAAAGATGAAACATCCAATACCCAAGTAGTAACTTGGTGGACATACCGTATAGCATACAAAAAGTAGCAATATCCATATCAATCAATTAAGAGCAGTGATACTGATTTATTCAAATATCCATATCTTATATTTTTTTCGTGTGTAATTATTCGATGTTGTTTTAATGACATTCGTATACTATTAATAAAAATATACACGGCTTGTGTGTCTTCATTAGCCCTTCTCACCTAAGGGACTTATGCCTAATCACTTTTGGTTGTCCCTTTGAGGTATAAATTATGTGAGTTTTGATTTTTGTTTAAGAGAAAGGAATGAAGGAGAAGGAATAGTGTGAATAGTGGTGAATAGATAGGATAGGGAGGAAGGCATGATTCATGTAACAAAGACATGCATGTGAAGACATCAATAATCATGGACCTCACTTTTTTAGACAAATGGGATTTGGGTGTCACCAATTTTGAAATCTGGTCATGACTCTCTTTTGCGGATCTGGGAAACTCCATATACATACACAAATATATATATATATATATATATATTATTATACTATTATAGTACTATTAAATAATCTCTTAATACGCAGTTAATTCTAAAATAATTAACATCAGCATTTTCGTGTAATTGTCTTTAAAGAATCATCTAAGAGTACACCATTAGACAATTTGATCAGAGAGGCGTGGACTGAGTCTGAATATGTGGGCAGAGCACCACCATTTGCCCAACTGGTTACTCCCTCCATTCCCAATAAATAAATAAATACTAATTAGCATTACAATTTGTGAATTTTATTATTTTTATTACAATTCACAAACTACAAATTATATTATTTTTAGAGATATATATATATATATAATATTTTAAATATGTCTTTTTCAGATAAAAAATAATGAGATTGATGGAAAATCTAAAGCTTTCAAAGAATTAGAGAAGAGTGAGACATTCATTATGACATTCTTTAGAGACTAGTAATAATTGGAATGGTGAAAAATAGAACTCAATAATAACATCGGAGGTAAATAAAGTGCCAAACAAAAAAGAAGAAAAAGAAATATTTCGGTTTATTTTTTTAGTTCCTACTCTCATTAATTTTATTTTTAAAAAAAATGTAAAGGAAAAAAATCAACAGCCGTCTGAAAAATGCATTGTACAAAACTTATTGAGTAGCTGCTTCTTCTTCTTCTCTCCCCCTCCTACTGTTCTTGTACCAATACAATCTATTAATTTTTGTATACCAATTATATAGTTTTCCCATTCAACAATATTACATAAATAAAGTTATTCGTTATTCATGAAAATAACTGTTAAAAGTGACAAGATAAAGTTATTAGCAATAATACATGCGATACGAACACATCTCTATTCACTTTTTAAAGCAGTATCATGCATAGTGTAGTTATTGAATCATCTACATAGGAAAAATTACTGTAGTTTTGTTGTAATTTAAAAACATTCGGAAGATAAATATAGTAAAGGAAGAAAGTCCATAATTCAGTCAAAAAATATGGACATTGTTGAAGACAAGATTCACATTCACAGCTTGACTCTAGGAGACTTGCCGCTTTCCCCTAATTTTTAAGTTGTCTTCGATATTTACAAAATCTTCGTGCTTAAAAAAAAAATAATCTAAAAATATCCAGTTATAGTTTGTCACATAATCGTAATAATATCTTACAAATCTGCAACTATCTTCTATATAATTAAGCCTATAATATCTTACAATATTTTCTGATGTTTTTTCATGGCTAAATGTAAGTCTCTATGATAATAATAACAACTTAAAACTTACAATTAAATAATTATTTCATATGGGAAAATATTGTTTTTCAACAATTTTCATCCTTTTTAGTTTTAACAAGTTTGTTCTAAGATTTGAAAAAAAAAATGCTTAGTTGTTTTTTTTTCTTTGTTCATACCATTTGTCTTGTTTAGATACTTAGTATTAGGTTTGATATTAAAGTGTACCAAGATGAAGTAGAATTATAAGTAAAATAATAACAGTACCATCGAAGTTAACATTGTAAATAATTGATACTGTAAAATTGTATTGCATGAATTAATGGATCCCATTCAAATAAAAATCTACTTTCAACCCTCCCAAAAAAAAAAAAAAAAGAAAAAATAATTGATTCACCGTACTTATGTAGAAACAAAACTGTTACCGAATTTGAACCAAAATTAAAATGAATGTGAACTTGTTTTATTGCTTTGTCACACAATTTATGGGAAAGAAAGGAAGAAAAATACGAATGGTTCTTAATATTTAGAGTAAGGTAATTTTCAAGTCCTTACACTTAGTAACGTCGTCGAATTTTTATCATTTTTGAACTCAGTAACAAATACGGAGTAGATCATAGACGAATGAATTTGACATAGTACTCGATTGGCTAAATGTGTAAACTAATGTAGGTCAAATTACACATTATTAGACGATTCAATTGAACTTATTTCCTCTAACAATGGTTATATTTGGCTTGTTACTAAGAAAATACTTCACGAGATTTAACAATTATTGTTGGAAAAGAGATTATCAAAAAACAAATAGAATTCGAGTAATCGAAAATTGAACCTCATGCAATTCAAAGATGTGCATTGTAATTGGAAAAAAAAAAGAAAAATAAATATTAGAATAATAATTTCCAATAATTTAATATGATAGTATTATTATATAGTTGTATTTCCTTGTTTCAAAATTATTATTTAATTTGACACTAAAAGTAAAAATTTAATCTGAACAATAATTTCGAGACCAAGCGAGTATTATTTTGGTAGCATAATATATTAATATAATATATAGTAGTAAGGAATAAATTCCGAATTCCAAGAAACTGATTTGGTAAACTTATAAAATTTACTCGTAATTTACCAAAATTGACAAAAGAAATACCAAAAAAAAAAATACTAAGAAAAAAAGGGAAAGATTGAGAAATTGAAGTAAGGAGGGAGGTCATCTCCTTGGAGTCTCCTCTAAATATTCTTACACCAGACGATTTTTGCTTTGGCCGAACACAGACACACACACACACACACACACGCACATACTTCTTCCCCCTTCCATTCTTTCTCTCTCTAATTCTCTCCCCAAAATTATTTTTTATAAATAAATTTTCTCACCCCTCATCTCAGCTAGTTAGGAATTCCATTGCCCTTTTTTTTAATAACTATTTTTTTTTAAAAAAAGAGAGTGGAATAACCAAGGAAAAGGGCAAAGAAAAGAGAGAGAGATAGAGAGAGGATGAGCATATCCTCTGTTTTTATTGTGGACATACATATTTATTCCTCTATTTAGATCTTATTACTTCCTCCCCAATTCCCCATCCCATCTGGGTTATTCCCCCTCTACAAATGGTTAGGACTTGCAAAGCATGAATCTTTTTCCTTTTGGTTTAAATCTGTTGGATTTCTGATTGTTTTCTTTTTTCCTTGCTGGCCAAGGCCAAATTTTTATGTTGGGTTTGGCTGATCTGCGTGAATTCTGATTTTTCCAGTGTTGTCCGATTGAGTTCTGATTGATGCATGAAGGATCCGATGATCCTGGTTTTTTTGTTCCAACAATTCCCACGTACTATCTGATCGGTGTCTCTGCTGGGTTCTGCCTGATTTTCTGGATAAGGTTTGTGGATTGCTTTCTCTTGCTGTTAATTTTACCTTTCTTGTTCACATTTGGATCTGTTTTGCTTCGCCCCTGATGAAGAATATCAATTGGTTTCCTGTTTCGTAATTATCAGCAAATCTCTACCCATCTGCTAGCTTTTTTAACGTTTGGATGTTAAATTGTGCCCAATTGCCCATTGATGGTTGCGATGGAAGTGATTGTCCAATTTTCCTTATTAACCAGTCTTTGCATTTTCCTTTCCAAAGTCTGAATATTTTTTAACTTTGATGGTTATGATTTTTGTGGGATTGTGATTGTAGAAAAGATGGAATCAGATCTCGGTAAGCTGTTCATTGGTGGGATTTCTTGGGACACGGATGAGGATCGCCTTAAAGAATATTTTGGAAGTTTTGGTGAAGTGGTGGAGGCTGTGATCATGAGAGATCGCAACACTGGTCGTGCTAGAGGGTTCGGTTTTGTTGTTTTTGCCGACCCTGCAGTTGCAGAGAGAGTAGTTATGGAGAAGCACATGATTGATGGACGTACTGTAAGTAATTTAATTTATTCATGTAGTAAAGTGTAATGTAGTATCAACAAAGCATTTGGCAAATTGGATGAATGTAATATCTAAATTTATTTGTAGTACTTGAAGGCCCATTTTGAAGTTTTCATCTTGAACTTGAGTTGATCAGTGGTATAGAAAGAAAAATTATTCAATGCCCCTCGTGTATGAAGTATTTGTTGGCTGCATTTTCAGGTTGAAGCAAAGAAAGCTGTTCCAAGAGATGATAAACACATAATAAATAGAAACAGTAGTAGCATTCAAGGATCGCCAGGTCCTGGACGAACAAAAAAGATTTTTGTAGGAGGCTTAGCATCTACAGTCAATGAGAGCGATTTCAAGAAGTATTTTGAGCAGTTTGGTAATATTACAGATGTCGTAGTGATGTATGACCATAACACCCAAAGGCCACGAGGTTTTGGTTTTATAACGTATGACTCAGAGGATGCAGTGGACAGGGTTTTGCATAAAACATTTCACGAACTCAATGGCAAGATGGTTGAGGTAAAGCGTGCTGTTCCAAAAGAGCTTTCCCCGGGTCCTAGCCGTAGTCCTCTTGTTGGGTACAACTATGGCTACAATAGAGCAAACAATTTCCTTAGCAGTTATGCGCAAGGTTATAATCTGGGCTCACTAGGAGGATATGGTGTCAGAATGGATAACCGATTTAATCCAATTACAAGTGGCCGTACAGGGTTCTCCCAATTTGGTTCTCCTGCTTATGGAATGGGTATGAATTTGGAGCCATCATTGAGTCCTAGCTTTGGAGGGGGATCGAGCTTCAACAATAATCTTGGTTATGGAAGGGTTTTGAGCCCATATTTTGGTGGAAACTCAAGCAGGTACAACACTCCCATTGGGTACAACACAAACAGCAGCAGAGGAGATTCATTTCTGGGTTCGTCTTCTAGGAACTTATGGGGAAATGGTGGCCTAAGTAACTCTCCAAATGCCGCCAGCTCAGGTTCTTACTTGGGCTCTGGAAGTGGTGGTTTTGGAGTCTTTGGAATTAATGGTGCAAACTGGGGCTCTTCTGTTTCAGCTCCGGTTGGCGGCAACTCATCCGGCTATGTTAGTGGAAATGCGGGATTCAGAGGTGGAGAAAGCAGTTATGGTCTAGGATCTGGAGGAATTGGGCGGAATGCAGGAACAGGGGTAGCTGCGTCGTCATCATTTGCTGGTTCAAGTGATGGTTATGAGGGGTCCTATGGAGACTTATACCGCAGTGGGTCTGTATATGGTGATCCAACTTGGCAATCTGCAGCTTCTGAGGTAGAAGGTACTGGTTCGTTTGGTTATGGTCTTGGAAATTCTGCAGAGGTTGCTCCTAAAGACTCTGAAGGCTATGTTGGAGGTTATACTATTGCGAATAGGCAGTCCAATAGAGGTAATAATTCACCCACTATATGTTGATGATTTTATTAGATCATTACCATTTTATTTACTCAAGTTTTTTCCTCTAGGTAAGGATTAAAACTGATGATGGCGGTGGAATAAAAAGTAATGTTCTTTACATCGTGGAAGTTATTCTCTGTCAATTTTTTCAATTTTTATGCATCATTTTCTTGGTGATAGAATAGAAGCCTTGGTAAACTAAGCTATTTCCCTTAATTATTGTCCCATCTTTAGTTTAAAGATTAAACAAATGAACATAGACTGGATGGATGGAATAAATGCCTCGTATGCGAATGTACAGTTGTCAAATTTTGTATGCAATGTGCTATTGATTGAGAAAAATAAGGCTGCTTCAAAAAGTTATGTTTCCATGTTAGTTGCTTCATGTTTTATGTATCTTTGTAATGTTCTTTAAGAACTTAAAATGGTTTATCTTGGTTGTTTGTGAGTCCAAATTAAGGGGGAACAATTATTAGGTTAGGTGGAGAGACCTTGTAAATTTTTTTCACTTTTTGATACGGAACATGAATAAACTGTGCTAGAGTTTTGTTGTGATTGATCCATAGCTGATCATATGTAGAGTGGGATCTATCCTTAGTTGCTTTCCTGTTATGTCTATTTGTAGTTATTCGTTCCTGATATCAATGATCTTAATTTCAAGAATCTGATCGTGTTATTTCCTCCACATTTTGTCAGGTATTGCTGCATAGGAAATTTCATTAATTGAATGTCCGAGAGTAATTTTAGGAGAAGAGATCTAAGTGAAAAAGTTTGGACTATGGAGTTCCATACATGTTCCTCAAAAAGTATTTCAGTTTCTAAGGACATTATTGATGATATAGAGCTAACAATGGTCATATTCAAAGTATACTATTCAGTGAGACGCGCAGTTTGAAGGGATTTTGTGGAGGTTTGAGATCTGATTTTCTAATATAATTTAGGGTTCCTTTTGTCGGCATTTGATTTGAGATGTAAATGAGTGCGGGATATACTCAGAAGAAGGTCCATTCTAGTTAAAGCGTTGTGCATCTCTTCGACATTTATGGTACTGCTGGTACTGCTACATCTACCTGAAAACATTAGAGTTTATTTTTTATATTCTTTTACCCTTTTTGTTATTTCTGGGATTTTGCATTCAGCTGTAACGATGACTGGCGAAAAGATGCTGGTATCTGTCCTGGATAGTTTTTCCCTTCTTTTCTGAGAAACTGTACTTCTCAAGCTGTATGTGAGGTTCTTGTTTGATTTTCTAGCGTGATTATTATAGGGATACCCACTTAGGATCCCCCTTCAATAAGTTACTGAAGATTGTTATTCATTTTCTTCTGGAGATTAATGTATTCCCAGCGTTTAAAACTCCATTTCGGACCCTTTTGAATAGATGGTGAGCATGAAGAAAGACTTAATTTTCTGGTGTTTATGCTTGTTGTTCCTTATCCTTTTCTCTATTTCTCTGTTAAGGTCTTCTATTATAACGGCTTGCCTATGCCATTTTCTTGCTTTTGTGTTTATCTGCTTTGTGATTGAGCTGCTTGAGAGTGATGTTTTGCAACAGTTTATCCCATGATAATGGCATCATTACTGGCCTTTATAGTCTAATTCTTGTAGATCACTGTTTAGATGGATTTGTTTTTTTTATAAAAAATAATAAATAAAGTGAATTAGTGTTAAATTGAACCATCACTCCACTCGAAAAAAGAGAGTTCAAAAAAGCATGTATAACGAGTTAACAGCATATGGTAATGGTATGATATATCTTGTGAGTTCAAAAAAGGAGGCTTCGGTTTTCTTGTGGCTTCGACTTTGTGTTTTCTCGCTATGTAATACACTTTTTTTTTTTTCTTTTTTCTTTTTTCTTTTACATTTCGAATGAATAATGTTCTAGTACTATGAAGGTCTAGCCTACGTCTAAATTGTTGTTGGATAACAAGTTGTTGTATGTTTTAGAATTATTGATTGAACTGGTTAGTCGGTACAATAAGTGATATCAAATCCGAAAAATTATATTTATACTCTCATTCAAATTATTTTTATTATGGTATGGTACAATAATTTAAAGGATATCTATGATCTATCTATATATTTATTTAAAACAGATTGGTACTTCTATTTAAAACAGACTCAAAACAAGATATTCGACGGGTTTTCTTTTACTACTCCATTCGTTCCAAAATTATTGTCCAGTTTAGTTTTTCACTTTTAGTTCATTTTATACTATAAATGAATATCTAAATTGGATAATAATTTTGAAACGGAGGGAGTATAAAAAAACATGCTCAAAATTACGTCGTTTTTATATATGTTTTTTTAAAGACACTAGATTTCTAATTTTATGTCTGAAATTAATGATACAGTCCTTCAAAAATGTAAAATCTCTCTCTTTCTCTCTCTCACACATCACATATTCTCTATCACTGTATCACACAACGCTTTCTTAAAATCTCCACTTCGTTATTTTTCTTTGACATTTAATAAGAACTTATAATATCAATAATGCACAAGGAAATATCTCATATATAATCTGGGCATTGCTCGCGTCTAGAATCTAGTTATAATATTAGAAATTATTATTTTTTCAAAGAGATAGATAATTAGCTCGAAATTTAAGAGATGATTTATAGATGATTTTTTTGGTTACTAATTACTAAACTTTTCAAAATAAAAATGTTAAAAAAAACGGGAGAATTTTGGTGTGATATTGATATTGCTTTTTATCCAAGAAATAAATATATTCCAATAATCACTACCTGATAACCTAAAATAACGGATGTATAATAAGTTCCCCAACGTCACCGAAACCATAACTTGAGCGACAAGTCATAATTATTTTTTAAAAAATTTAAATAATCGGAGGAATTTATCAATTGATGTTATTCCTTTATTTTTCAGGGGTTGAATAAATTATAATTAAAAATGCGTGAATTCTTTTACCAGGAATCAAAATTATGTTTCTGACAGTGTTTTACGTATGATTTGTATAGATGATACTTAAACATGAAAATCTGTATTGACTAATCATTTTTTTTTAATAAATGAGACACTTTGGAAAAACCAAAATCAATCCATTATTATGAAATAATCTCAACCTAAAATCTGTAATGCTATACAATATATAGTTCACGAGTGTTTGACCTTTTACTGGATTTATGTTTAAGAAATCTCTTAAAAATAAAATATCAGACGATTGTGAATGAAGTTGAAAATTTACCTCGAATTCATAATCGAGGTCTTGGTTTGAAAAGAAGAAGATAAAGCAAAAAGAAATAAACCAAAAGTTTGATGTTTAATTTATAGAGTATAAGAAAATATACATACGTAACTTCGACTAGTAAAAAGCCCTTCTATATATCAAATCAATAACACGCTAATACCAGAGATTAGATTCATTGAGTAGAAATTGATAACAACCAACTCTAATGATATAGGGAAAGTGGGCAAAGAACTATGTTTTATTAGTTCTAAGAAAACATAATAAAAGATAGTATAGTACTATTAAAGGGAAAAAAAAGTGACGCTCTGCCTTGTCGTTGTTGTAAGATAAAGAATTGTGTTGTGTTGCTTGTAATTTTTTTCCTCTTTGAAACAACATATCCTTTTCCAAAAATTCAATTTTAAAAAATAAACTAGATTGTAAATATTTATATTTGGACCAACCTTTCTTCGTAACCCACCAACAGGCTGTCACAATCGGGGGGCCTTGGGTGGCTGCAAAACAGAAAAGGAGAAATCGGTAAGAAGATCGGGGATAGATTTAGAGTTTCGGGAAAGAAGAACGAAAAAGAAGGGGAAAAACTGAATTTTCAGTTTGATACATAAGTTCTGATAATAATTTATAGACCCAATCCTTAATTTATAGTCTAGCTATTTTCTAAAAATAACACATTGGTCTTTCTACTTCCTATTTCAAAAAAACTAATCCCTAAATAATTCAGGGCGTGACAAACCCCTCCCCTTAAACAAGTCTTGTCCCCAAGACTTATAAATAAACAAGACATCAGCAAATCAGAATGGAAAATTTTGATGTTGATCCCTGCCAAATTTGATGAAAGGTCAGCGTGCCTCCCTTGAAGATCGTCACATTTTTGTCTCGTGCTTTCGGTATTATCTTCATTAGCATCTCCTCACATCCTCTTGCTCTAACCTCAACACGGGGTGACCCTTTTGACAAAAGGTAGCATCATTTTCATCTCTTCCAGGGTTGCTAACTTAAATTAGTGTCATTAATTCATTCCAAGCTTGAAGTTGGTTGTTGCAGTGCAGTCAATTCTTTGCCTTTAAAACCTCCAACAAGTAAACAACAACACTGGCCGGAATGCTGAAGGTCGTCTCTAACCATGATTTGCTTTGGTGAGCCTTCTGATCAAATTCCTTCGAGCCTACAAGTATAACAATGGTTCCTCTCTTGAAACTCAAGACACTTTTAAGCCATGATTAATGTCGTTTTTGTCTGCAGTTGTGACTAAAAGAACAAGATAAAAAACAGAAAATTCGAAATGCACGTAGACCATTTTGCAAGACCCTGTGAGAATACCTAACAACACTAATCTTTTCCTTAACTTCAAGGTCATACTTCTCACCAATTTCAGGCATCACAATAGTGCTGATAGCAGATACCACACTAAGAATATGCAATTGATCATTTTGATTCAATTGAACATCAGTCACCGCATTTCTGAAAAACAAGTCACAAACAGTATCACCTTGAAAACCAGTAACTACTTCTGACCAAGACTTACATACTCTAGTTTCATAACCAAGTCTTACTGTAACTAACTGTTATCATCGAGTCTCTCAAACAGCACCTTATCAGCAGAATGCCTGAAGTCTTCAACGATTTCTAAACCATATAACCCATTGTCACTGGAATAATTTTTGAGTCCACCAGGGTCAATGAGGAGCAATCATTTCTCCTATTCAGATTTATCAACATAGCGCCACTATTTGTCAACACTGTAGGACCTTTTGACTCTAAAAAGACCACTCAATTCACCAGGGTCAATAAGAAAAAGGTTTAAACGACTTCTTTTATCAACAGAAAATTCCTCATCACAAGGCATCAACACAGCATGATCATCAGTTGGAAATTCGAATAATTTATCACCTGGAGTGTTGAAGTTAACAAGGTTTCTATGAGCTGAATGCAAAGGATTTCCAGACTCTAAGCTTTTGTTCATTCCATCAACATTGATGCTAATAGCCCTAGTAGTGAAACCATATCCAGACAGATGATCATCAACACGTATAAGTGTGCCTGCCAGACTACTCGGTTCATCTAACAACAATTCATTCTCGGCCGTCTCTATATTCGATTCACCGATTCCGTTCACCCTTTTCTTCCTATTCTGATTCGAACCCTCTGAACTCTGACCTCTAATTCTCCTCCTCTATTCTGAAATCTGTGCGATTTCTCCGTTCTCCGATTCGCACCAAACATCTATCAATCTCTATTTCCTTTTTCATTGATCGAAATGGCTAATCCCAGCGAACACTGGCTTAAGGTTAAAGCCTTTCTGACACTCCCTCCATCCGAAGCCTTACCTTTAAATCTGTCTTCTAATGACCTTCCAAAGCCTTCGCCAACCGGAGTTTTCCTTTTTTTCTGGCGAAGACGTTTCTGAATGGCTTGACAGAATAGAACATTTTTTCTTCTATAATCGCATTACCTTTGATAAAAAAATTAGTCATTGCATCTTTTTACATGGCCAACGAGTCTCTCCAATTTCTATATGGTATGGAATGCGTGTCACAATTAGAGGGTTGGGAGAAATTTGCCGAAAAGCTGGAGCTCCAATTTGGGCGTTATATTCGGCCAACAGTGGTGGTTAATGTTTGGGATGTGTCAATTGAAGAGGTTCCAATCACAGAGCTCTCATGTGAGGAATGCATCGGATGTAAATTAGCTTTGGAAGATGACGAAGGAGCTAACTTATCATTGGAGAAATCAGTTAATCCTGGTGAAACTTTGGCATTCTCAGAATTCAACTCTGAGATGAAGGTAATTGATGAAAATGATAACACCACTGTTAATTTTGGTTCGATAGGATTTTCTGATGCTGAATTCATTCCTGTTGAGAATTTGAACGGTACTATAGTTGAAAATGCATACAATTTTAATCGTTTGAACGGTACTTTAGAATTTGATACCAAATGTCACGACCGGGGGCCTTGGGGTGGCTGAAAAATAGAAAAGGAGAAATCAAAGAGAAGATCGGGGATAGATTTAGGGTTCCGGGAAAGAAGAACGAAGAAAAAAGAGAAAAACTGAAATTTCAGTTTGATACCAGCGTAACCAAATTCGGATTGGACCGGCCGGTCAGACCGGTTTAATCGAGAACTGGTCAAGAGAACGGTTCGATCCTGCTTTAAAACCGAGCAGTATTTAAACGGTCAAGACCTGGTCAAAAAATTCGGTTGGACCGTGAACCAGACTGAACCGGTCGAATCCAATTTTTGTCTTTTTCCTCTTTTATGATTTTTTTCTTTGTGTTATGACCCCAGTTTTTTTGTAAACTTGCTGCATTGGCTACAACTTTTTGTTTTTGTGGTTATTTTAGACTAAATTTTATATTTTATCAACAAGTCTAAGTTTTTGAGTCCTAAACACCTTTAGTGTTGAATAATTTTAGTTTTGATGATAAATTCATATGTTTAAATCAAAATTTCTCTTATTTATTATCTTTAGAAAAATTCTAACATAGAAATTATTATATTAATACTTATAATTTTAGATATTGTATTATTAATATATTTAAAATTGAAAATTATATATGACATCAGCCGATCTTATCCGGTTTTATGTTCCGGGCTAAAGAGGTTGACCCAGTGACCCAGTGAACCTTTATTGACACCGGTCCGGTTCCAAATCGAGGTCTGACAACACTGTTTGATATATAAGTTCTGATAATAATTTTACTGACCCAATCCTTAATTTATAGTCTAGCAATTTTCTAAAAATAACATATTGGTCCTTCTACTTCCTATTTCAAAAAATCTAATCCCTAAATAATTGAGGACGTGACACAGGCTAAATGATCAAGGTTTCATCCAAAATCCCAAGTGCACCTGGCGACAGGATCTATGTCACAGTGGGCCTAAACAACGTTAGGAAACAGTTAGAATAACCGAAAGTAGCACTAGTTTATTTTCTTTTCCGAAAGAGACATTTAAGGCTTAATAAATCCGATTTTAACCAGGTAGTAAATGTATCAAAAAGAAATTTTTTTTTTTCAATTTATATACTGATGAGGAAACGATATGCCTAAATTACAAACATCTCATAGGAAAAGCGATATACTTAAGCTACCAAAAACAAATATACCTTGTTTCATTATACAAAATTTGTGGCCCCGAAATTTTTAGTCTGTTATTAGTCTACTACTTAAGTTTGTATGCTTTTTTGGCACATTTAAATTTTAAAAAAGTCAAAAAAGGTAATTCTGGTAATAAAAAAGAAACTTTTAGTAAGCAGGGTTTAACTTAGAAACTGTTTCCATACTTCCAGTTCCAGTGGGAAAAATGGAAAAAAGGGAGTGAAAAAAAACAGTGCTTCATTATGAATGTTTCCATCGCCTCAAAAGCTTCAAAAAGGCCAGCTGCCCGAAGTTTGAAATGGAAACGTAATGGAATTGATTAATCGGTATCCAATTATTTTAATGCAAAAGCCATGTGAAATAAGGGGAATCTAATCTACTGAGCCTTTTTTACTCCAGTGTGTTTGAAGCTGGAGAGAAACAAGTTTATCTAAACCTAATACTACTACTTCTATCTCAAAAAAATACTCACTCTGTCCTAAAATTATAATACAGTTTGAACTTTTAGACGGACAATAATTTTGAGACAGAGAGAGTAGTTTTTATTGAATTTTGAGATTTGTAGTTTTAGTAGTATAAAGTATAACAAATAAGATAATTACTTTGGGACGGAACTAGTAATATTTATCCATTTCACATAAACACTGGCGCAATTTCAGACCTTCTGCCGAAAGTTCGCTGCTGTTTGCTGAATGTTCATAACTTCAACATTCATTAAGGAATCACCCAAAAAAGAAAGAAACAGTTTACAAAGAAACCTCTTTTTTGCTTTTGTAAACTTTTCTTCAACTTCATTACTCCTGTGTTTTTGAGATGTAATCATCTTTTTCTAAGTTATCATCACAGAAATCGATACCAATATGGCATCAACCCAGAATGCAAGAGATCTCCAATGGGTTTTACAAACACTAAGTTCTGGAAGTCTCAACCTGCACAGCATCTCATTCTACCTGTCACAGCCAACTTCAGGTTGTCATCAAGAAACCGAAAACTCGGTGAAAATCAACATTTCAGAAAACAGTCTGCCATACTTTTCTCGCATTCTTGCCATTCTGGGATCATCCAAAACCAGCAGTTCTTTGAGAAACTTGGAATTCCATGGCGTTGAATGGGATATACAGCATATTAAAGATCTGGGAGTTTCTCTTGAGAACAGCTCAAGCATTAAGCAGCTTGGTTTTAGAAGAAACAGATTCAATGTAGAATGTTTATCAGGGCTTTCTGAAATTGTGAAGAGGAATGGAGTCATTAAAGAAATCATGATCTCTGAATCAGGTAATGTTCTTCCAAAATTCTACTTTTTGCTCCAAAAAGTTATCTTTCATCTCCGTATGTCCTGAAAATAATACTTCAAATAAGTAGCAAACTTGAGCATAGGATTGAATGTTAGTATGAAGAAAATATGTATGATTTTCCACTGATCAGGTATTGGACCAGTTGGAGCTTGCCTGTTGGCTTCAGCCCTAAAAGTGAATGGCAGCTTAGAAGAGTTGCAGATATGGGAAGACTCCATTGGATCAAAAGGAGCAGAGGAACTGTCTAAAATGATAGAAGTGAACTCATCTTTGAAGCTACTCACTATCTTTGACTTCAGATATTTAGCTGCAACACCGTTAATTTCAGCAGTTTTGGGTAGGAACAGGTCCATGGAAGTTCATATATGGAGCGGAAACAATCAAGACAACAGTTTTAAAGTGGTTGAGTTTGTTCCTGAAAACGCCACACTTAGAATATACCGCCTTGATGTGTCAGGTGCCTGCCGTGTTGCTTGCGCTTTAGGATGCAATACTACTGTAAGAATACTTGATATGACAGGAGTTAGGCTAAAATGTAGGTGGGCGAAAGAGTTCCGATGGGTTTTGGAACAGAACCGGACCCTTAAAGAGGTTCATTTGTCGAAAACTTGCCTAAAAGACAAGGGAGTTGTGTATGTTGCAGCTGGACTGTTCAAAAACCAGTGTTTGCAGAGTTTGTATCTAGATGGGAATTGGTTTGGAGGTGTTGGTGTTGAGCATTTGCTTTGTCCTTTGAGCAGATTTTCTTCTTTACAAATTCAGGCGAATATTACACTCAAGTCGTTGACATTTGGCGGTGGAAGGACTAAAATGGGGAGGGATGGCCTTGCAGCCATTTTACAGATGCTCACTACCAATGAAACACTAACGAGCTTGGGAATATATGAAGACACGAGTTTAAGGCCAGATGATATTGTCAGTATTTTCAAGTGCTTGGAGAGGAATGCGAGTTTAAAGCACTTGTCTTTGAAAGGTTGCAAGGGAGTTGATGGTGATTTGGTGCTACAGACAATAATGAATACATTGCAGGTGAACCCTTGGATTGAAGAAATTGATCTGTCAAAAACGCCTCTGCAGAACAATGGAAAGACCGAAGGAATTTACCAGAGATTAGGTCAGAATGAAAGTACAGAACCAGATATTGATATTGATTTACTCAAGGATATGGCAATGGCAGCACCAAAGAACTGTAGAGTTTTCCTCTGTGGGCAAGAATATGCTGGTAAGTCTCATTCTATTGCATCTTAATTTTATTACAAATCATGTAGTAATGTCAAGAATTTGAAGTTTTTGCTGCTATTTGCAGGCAAATCAACATTAAGTGATTCCATTCACCAGCATTTCTCGTCCAGGAAGTTGGCATACATGAACCAAGTAAGGACTCTAGTAAGCCCAATTGAGCAAGCCATCAAACCAGTAGGAATAAAAATAACATCTTTCAAAGATGAAGACACGAAGGTATCAATTTGGAACCTCGCTGGGCAGCATGAGTTTTTTTCACTCCATGATCTGATGTTTCCAGGTCAAGGAAGTGCATCCCTTTTTCTTATCACTTGCAGCTTCTTCAGAAAGCCGAGTAATAGGGAACTGAAAACTCCCACTGAAATTGAAGAGGACCTCTTGTACTGGCTGAGGTTTATAGTTTCCAATTCAAGAAGTGCCGGGCAGCAATGCATGTTACCTAATGTTACTGTGGTTCTCACGCATTATGACAAAATCAATCAATCATCACCTAACATGCAGGGAATTGCCAGTTCAATCCAAAGATTAAGAGAAAAATTCCAAGGTTATGTTGAATTCTATCCAACTGTATTTACAGTTGATGCAAGATCATCTGCATCAGTGAGTAAACTTGCTCATCACCTTCAGAAGATGTGTAAAACAGCTCTCGAAAGGGCTCCTAAAGTTTATCAACTCTGCATTGATCTTGTTGAAATCCTTTCAGATTGGAGACAGGAAAACCAAAATAAACCAGGTATGAGGTGGAGAGAATTTGGAGATTTATGCCAAGTCAAAGTTCCATACCTCAGGATCCGATCTAGACATAGTAACAAAGAAAAGGTGGAGATGAGAAGAAGGGCTGTTGCTCAATGTCTTCATCAAATTGGTGAAGTGATTTACTTTGACGAACTTGGATTCCTAATCTTGGATTGTGAATGGTTTTGTGGTGAAGTGCTTAGTCCTTTATTAAGATTAGATGCCGGCAAGCAGAGCTCAGGAGAGAATAAGGGATTCATAAGCCGAAAAGAGCTTGAGAAGATTCTGAAGGGGAGCTTGCATAGTCAGATTCCAGGGATTGGGTCGAAGGTTCTTGAGAATCTGGATGCCAGCGATCTCTTAAAAATGATGCTAAAATTGGAACTGTGTTATCAACAAGATGCATCGGATCCCAACTCAATGCTGCTCATCCCTTCTATTCTAGAAGAAGGAAGGTGGAAGCAACAAAGATGGCAGGTGAACGCACCTGATTGCATTTATGCAGGTAGACATCTAGAGTGCGACGACTCAAGTCACATGTTCCTGACCCCAGGTTTCTTCCCCCGGTTGCAGGCAAGATATTTTAATGCAATACTAGAACTCTTTCTTCTTTTTGTGGATTATATGTTTTCCTTTCTCTTTAAGGTCTCATTAAGATATCTGGTTTAAATGACTAGTATTTGTTTACATTTATCTGCTGAGCATATTTGTTACGCACTTCAGTTAGTAAAGGGTACTGATCAGAAAATTTATGAAATTTCCTTAAATGATCCAGGAACAGATACTTCTATATTGCTCTTTTTTAATACCCTGAATGACAATTTTCAGTCATTGTTTTTTGGTTAAAACATTTTCAGTCATTTGGTTCCTTTTCTGACAGAAATTCTCATGTATAAGATCAAAACAATTTTTCTGATCTTTAGCACCCTTGACATTGTAGGTACATTTGCACAACAAAATCATGGGGCTGAAGAACCAACATGGAGCAACATACAGCATAGAGAAGTACCTTATTTCATTGAGCATCAACGGCATCTATGTCCGGATAGAGCTTGGGGGACAGTTGGGATACTATATTGATTTGCTGGCATGCTCCACAAAACAACTAACAGAGACACTCAGACTTTTCCAGCAGCTGATAATTCCAGCCATCCATAGTTTGTGCACTGGTGTCACATTGACTGAGAGCATTTTAAGGCCTGAATGTGTTAGAAATCTAATAGCCCCCCGATACAGGAAAGGCCAAATTGTGCCAATTCAGCAGTTAAAACAAGCATTACTATCAGTTCCTGCTGATAGCATGTATGATTATCAGCATACTTGGGATCCAGTGATGGATTCTGGAAGATCCATTCTTGGTTCGGGTTTTGATTATGCTAGAGACCTTCTATCAGATGACGACTTCCGAGAGGTTCTACATTGCAGATATAATGATCTCTACAACCTTGCTGGAGAACTTCAAATCCCAGATGAAAACAACACGGGAGATGCTGATAATGCCTTGAGCATCAGTGGAGGTGCTAATTCCGCAGTTGAACCATCACTCTCTGGAATTGCCAAGGGAGTTGAACAAGTTTTGGAGAGGCTCAAGATCATTGAACAAGAAATAAGAGATGTAAAACAGGAAATTCAAGGCCTCAGATACTACGAACACAGGCTTCTAATGCAGTTACATCATAAAGTTAACTATCTGGTGAACTACAACGTCCAACTTGAAGAAAGAAAAGTACCAAACTTGTTCTACTTTGTCAACACCGAAAACTACTCCAGGAGGTTGGTTACTGCCATCTTCTCAGGCATGACTGCACTTCGGATGCACATGTTATGTGAATATCGAAGAGAGATGCATGTAGTTGAAGATCAGATTGGATGTGAAATGATGCAGGTTGATAGCAGGGCCATAAAATGTCTGGCTCCACATATGAAAAATTTCATGAAACTGGTAACTTTTGCTCTCAAGATTGGAGCCCATTTAGCTGCAGGGATGGGACAATTGATACCTGATTTAAGTAAGGAAATTTCCCATTTGGTGGACTCTCCCATGCTTTATGGAGCAGCCACCGCCGGGATCATAGGTGCGGGTGCCGCTGCAGCTGGAGCCAGAAACAGAAACAGCTCTAGGGACATTCAGCAAGATCTTAAAGCAGCTCAGCAATGGTTAATGGATTTCTTGAGGGAACAAAATTGTTCAACTGGAAAGGACATTGCTGAGAAGTTTGGACTGTGGCGCATTAGATACCGGGATGATGGTCAAATTGCATGGGTCTGCAGAAGGCATTTATATTCTAGAGCAAATGACATAATAGAAGTTCCTATCTGAAATATGTACAGCTATTGCCAATTTAACATACTGATATTTGTCCCATTGCATGATGAGTAGCATTTTCTCTCATACAGAGAAGTGTTAGCACATTTATCTTCATCTAGCACAATTGGTCAAAGTCATTTTCTGTTCACAATATGCTGCTTAAAGAGAAGCTGACAACATCAATCATATTTTGTAATTGAGGTCATTTGATCTGCTCAATCACTCCGTGTTGCAAATTCTAATGCCATGACCACTTATAGATCAATTAATCAATATTGACCATACTCGATGAAAATCGTGACCTTAGATTAAGAACATGCATTGATCATAATTCGAATATCAGAACCTGATAGAGTCATCATAAATACAATAAGAAACAAAGACTACACATTAGTGAATGATTTCTACATCAGAAATACAGCAAATGGATGATTAGAAAGCATAAGCAAAGGACTGGAAACTATATATACTACGAGCAAGTGCATCGAACAACACAAACAAACTCAAAAGATCTTTTTTCATGATCTCTGATGCTGCCATTGTTCAAATATCACAATATAACGCTCGAAGTACCCTGCTAAAAGTCACCGAATAGCACCAGTCTTACATTATAAACGCTAGAGTCATGTGTGATGTCTAATCCGAGAAACAGGAGGATCAGAAGAAAGCTCTACTACCATAAAATACTCGAGAGCCAGAGTTCTTAGATGCGTCCAGTTTCTTATCAGAAGAACTTGAATTTCCCGAACTGGTTGGTCCACTTTCAAAGTCCATTGGAAGCTTCATTTTGGCCAACGACTCAGTAAATTGCTGCATGCTTTTCATGTACATATCCACAATGTCCTGCTGCACCATCTTTTGATCTGGCTGCTCGATATTAACGGAAACAAGAGGCTTCACAAATGCATTACCACCATTCAGGGTTCCTGATGCTTTACTCTCAGCATCTCCAGTGCTGGCACTATTCTCTTGCAGACTATCTTTAGGAGGTGAGGCATATTCTCCATTAGCTGACTTTGAGGCAGCCGGAGTCTCGGAAGACTGAGAGCTCACTGGAGTAGAAGCGGCCGGAGATCCATAAGCAGAATTGCTGCTTGGTGGAGAATCAACCTTTGGAAATTGGGAGGACAGATTGTTTCCTGTCGACAAACTCTCCACAAATTGAACACCAGCTTCTGAACTGTGTTGATTCTCGGTATCTGAAGAGGCAAAGCTGTCTGAGCTCTGGGTATCCAAACTGGTACATGGAATCCCAAAATACTCAGAAACCATCAAATTATTCTCATTCAGTATTTTGGGATCAGGGAACTCAATTTTTTCAAGCTCATTTGGAACAGCTGATTCCTTTGTGTCCGAATCAAGGATATCTTCATCCCTAATAACAGATGCTGGTGCTGAAGGGATAGCCAGAACTTCAGGTAAAGTTCCACTGTAGGAAAGGGACAACTGGACAAATCCTGCAGGGGAATGGAAAAGATCGGTCGAAGAAAGCGAGAATTCCTTTTCTAGCTTCCCATCTTTTACAATAACATCAGACATGGGCACCAAAGCAAACCCCAACAACTGGTCTTCAAGGTAATTCCTCACTCTGCTGAGCATCCAAATTTCACATTTAAGGGACGTGTCGACAGTGCGAACGCCAAGCCTAAGCTTCTCATTGAAGATTGGATTCTTCCCGCCTCCATTGATTATCTTAGTAGAGACAGTGTTTTCAGGGTCACTTGTAAGGCAGAGCTTCGCATAAACATCTTGTTTGTGGTAAATGCATATGTTATGAATGTCCCTGGCTTGGTGTATGTAAACATCAAGAACTCCAACATTTGCCTCCAAATCATAAACCTCAGTTTCCTTTCTGTGTGCACCAATTTTGCTGGACAAGAAACCAGGGCTTTTGACGAAGAGATCCGCAGTTTGCTTCTCTTGTTCAGCAAACACTGAAGAACTCTTGAATGGTGACACAACAGATTGAGGGGAATCCATTTCTTGAGAGAAAAATATTAGGCCTGGAAAAACAGAAACAGAAACCAAGTATTTAAAAAACTTCATTACCTAACCCGAAAATAAACTACACCGAAAGGAGCAGTTGTGAAACTGAATACATATTGAAAATTTTCATCATCAAAACATGTCCTTTGATTAACAGTAAGTCCGGGGCTTGATACCTAAAAAAGATGGCATAGTATCATCTACAACAGCCACAAAAAAAGTAAAAAAAAATAAACGGCTAGTTCCCCATTCCAAGCAGATTAATAACCTGTCTAAACAATTTAGAGAAGATAACTGAAGCCTAACTAAATTGAGAAAGTAGTCAAACTTTCCACCTACAAATTCGAGAATATACTTTTTCAAGCTAGGTCCAAATTGGTGAAGTTCAGAGAATTCCTGATCATCCAGTGAAAACCACAAAATATGCTAACTTTACCAAATGAAACCAGTTTAGTTAACTATCGAAAAACATCCATATCCTAGAATTAAAAAACAGACAAAAACAAAATATAAAACTGGAGAAAAATTTCTTACAACACCAAAGTTTACAAGCTCTTCAAGAACAGACAGTAGCTAATTCAACTTCAAGAAAAACCCAAGGCTGATCCTAAAAATAGGCCGAAACCCATGAACAGGTAATCTCAATTCTAGTCCAAAAATCAATAAAGTTACCACCTTTACCTTTCTTTCTTCAGAGAAAAACACCCAATCAGTCACAAGATTCTCTAAATTGGAATCAAAGAGTTAAAAGTAGAAACTGAGATCTTTTTAGAGCTTCAGGAGAAAGCAAATTCAGCCAAAATCCAGTACCAAAAACTTCAGATAGCACTTGATTAAAGGGTCAAATAAAGCAAAAAACCAGAAAAAGGGAATGAACCAAATAGCGAAATTTCTCTTCTTTTCATGGATATATACCTTCAAAGTCAAAAAAAAACACAATTTATGCGTAATCTGTGGCTCTAATCCAGAAGACACAACCCAGGTAGCATAAAACGAGGTGAATTTATGACGAATTTGAGTGACTGCTTACTGATGAAAATTTCAGAGAATAAAATCTACTGAGACACTCATGGGATTTGGAAACCTGTCGGATTTCTCTAGTTTCGTGCCTACTACAATTATATTATAAGTATACACTCACTCCTTATTTCATCATCGTATCCCACAATTAAACAAAGATATCTTTGTATTACTCTTCTTTTTTTCTTTTTTTTTCTTTTTCCTTTTTTTTTTTGCAAATTGCTGGGCGTACTTTCTACTACTCTCTCTAATCCTTAATATAAAAAATTTTGAAGTTTAATCTAATATATATTTTTAATTAATAAAAAAATTTTAAAAATATTTTATGACAATCAAAAAAATATAAAAAATGTGTTTTTTATAATTAAAAATGTATATTAAATGAAATATAAAACGGAATCAAAATAATTTATATTAAAGATTGGATGGAATTTAACACTATCCACAGCAAAAACAAAAAAACACCGACCCACGCGTTACTATCGAGAAACCATATACGTACGACACAAAAGCTTTGAGTGCGGTTCTTTACAGTTGGGAGTTGGTGGTTGGTGCGTGTCAACCACGTTCAGAAAATCCTGACATTTGTAAAATCCTGACATTAATTATCCACTGTCTTTTTCTGAAAATCATCATTTTTCTTTCATATTTGACAATTTTTTTTACTGAATGAATTTCATCATTTTATTACGTACTCAGTTAAATGGGGACATTCAATTTACCATCCCGCCCCATCTGTTCAAAAAAATAAATAAATAAATAAATAATTCCAATATCAAAATTCAATATGCTTTTTTTAAAAAACTTAGGAACCAAAAAAGAAAAAAAAGGAACTTCCATGTAAGTTAGTGATTTCAATACTCACTCGAGTAATGTAGTACTCCCTCTGTTCCAATATTATTGTCCAGTTTGAGATTTCACTTTTAGTACAATTTGAACTAAAAATGAAAACCCAAACTGGACAATAATTATGGGACGGAGGGAGTATTACTTAATCCGTGCCTTATAAATAAGATAGGAATCTGATTAGGAAATTTTCATAGAAGAAGTTTGTATCAAATTTATGAAGAAAAAAAAAAAGAAATGCAAAACAAGGAGGAAAATGATGTCTAATCAAGGAGACTTAATGCTAGGATATTTCAAGGGGTAGGTGCCAATTTGCGTAAGGTTTGTAATTACTGTTCTTGGTGTTTTGTGTATTTGGTCTGTGAGTATTGTAATTGTTTTCACATGAATAATCAAGTAAAGTGTATTTTGTGGGGGTCATTGATGTACATAAATGATTTTATTGATATGGGCCTCTATTGATTATGTACCATTCAAAAGATTGTAAAAAAGTTGCATTTCTCCTCTAGTTTCCTTTATTGGTTGGCTTCATTATTAGAGTGCACTGCAACTCTTGTTAATTTGGTTCTCAAAGAAAATATTAACTGCATCAGCTGTATAAAGTAAAATGATGTGTATCTCCTAAGTCCTAACATAATTTTAGGTTACAAAAAACAATTACAGATTATGGTGTAAACAAGCCCCTGAGGAGTCATAAATATACTTGATTCATGTCGGAAAAGTATTTCACATTATATTTTGTAACTTGTACTACGAAACATACAATTCATAGATTACAATGTGGACTGTTTTCCTGAGCGGAGGGAGTATAATTAATATTTCCGATTGATTTTTTTTTAAACTAAAAATACAGGTACAACACAGGTTTTGAAGCATTTATCCCCTTTTTCCTATTGTTCTTGTGACTTAACACGTCACTATCTCTATCCTAATTACTAGTACCGCAACTTTTTTTAAAAAATTCAAATCAAGTCCATGCTATTATTAGAAACTTGGAAAGTATTATTAATTTATAGTACTCTTATATATGAGCTAGTGGTGCTTTATAATTAAGCATCTCCACTTTGATAGTGCTGAAGTGAGGGAGTACTGTATAATTACTATATATGCATATGCATATAAAAATAACGACAAACTTGTAGCCAAAAAAAAAAAAAAAGCGAAACTTTAGTTAGATTACTTGTAAAAAAGAATAAATGGTTAATAAGATTGTTCTAATGACAGATGAGAAGTTTCCGGTTTGGCATTTCCCATGTTCACTCTCATTTCAAGTTTTTGAATGTAAATATTAAACTCGTTATTCATCATGTTTTATAAGATAGTCATATTTGTTAAATTAACTAGATTGTTTTATAAGATGAAGAGAATATTCAGTTATTGCAAGCGTTTCGAATTGTTTATAGCACCCGTGACTAAATTGATGTAAGTTTACACAATATTTCCAAAAATAAAATGAAAATAGTGTTTGCAATCATATATGGTGGTAACAATGAATTCGGCTCTGTTTGTTTGGTTTTTTGGATAGTTTTTTCATATTATTTTAATAATAACTATTTCATCCCAATATATCTTTTTATATTTTTAATATGTCTTTTTACATTTTCAATAAAAAATATCTAAAAATACAAAAAAAAAAAAAAACATACGTACAGTTCCAATGTGCCAAAATGTTGGCTTAAATCGAACAAGTTTTGCATGCGGTAGATATAAAATGCTGAAATCGATACAAAGGTTTGCTGTGATTATTGTGGAAAGCTCCTCGAGACATTCCACGAAATGGTTAAAAAAATAAATAAATAAAACTAGGGTTATTAGTACTCTAATGATGCCTAGAAGCACAGCAATTAAAAGTTTAATTAAGACATCTCCAAACTCAAGAAAGCTAAACCCACCATCCATCAATTGGATAAACAAAATGCATTAGTGGAATGTAGTACTACTAGAATGTACATTATTAGGGGTAATGTCTTTATGATAATAATGGTACGTTTGGAGCGGCATAAAATACTCACAAATTAGTGAAATATAATAATTCTTATTAACCGTGAACAATATCAATTTGTGAAGTTTTAGGGTAACAAATTTTATAACAGTATGTAATGCTTCTCCCTTTTTTCCCCCTCTAATCTACATTATAATTTGTGAATTGTATTAAATATAAATATAAATTATAAATTGTAATATGAATTTATTATTATTATTATTATTATTATTATTTTTGGCAGGAAAACTATTACATCATAAGTGATTGAGGATCGATATAGTGAGCTTTGTGTTTAAGAATTCCCTGATAAAAAAAAAAAAACCTAATCACAAAATCATTTCTCACATTATCCAAAACTAGCATGGACTGTAATATGGGATACTTTTTTAACAAAACTAAAAATAAATAAATGGTATTCATATCCTCCTTTTTTCTTCTTCTTTTTTTTTTTTTTTTTGGGCCCCTTGTACATTCGTTTTCATTACTAAAACTTTCACACACATTCATTTAAGGAAGCACGTAGTTTGATAATACATTCAAGGAATCGTCTATCTCGAACTATTTCTTGCATAACAACATTTGATTGTTACGTTTATGGCAAATCATAAACAAGTTATCTAGATTCTAGATCATTTTCTTGGAAAAAAAAAGAGAAGAAGAAAGAACTATTTAAAAATTGAAAAAGTAGAGACTAGTGTTGGAAATTTTTTTGCTTCGAAAGCAAGTCTGATCATCCTCACAAACACAACACAAAAGTCCACAAATCAAAAAATCTTTTAAGACTGTGGTTGTCTGCAGATAATATAGACCAATTTGGTGATAATGGTAGGGTCTCTATTAATTTCTACATCCATTGTATTTACGAGTGTAACAATTTTCAAATAATTATACTCCCTCTGTCCCGTAATTATTGTGCAGTTTGAGTTTTCATTTCTATTTCAAATTGTACTAAAAGTAAAATATCAAATTAGACAATAATTTTGGGACAGAGAGAGTACTAAAGTTTTCTAATCATGCATACTGAATTATCAGTTGAATATATGCTTAGCATGCTCTGTCCAACTATATCACCAGGACTTTTTAAAGCAATTTGGCCATCACTAACTACCATTTCTTCTAATTCTTTTCTTCTTTTTCCCTTTCCCTCTCTTTTCTCTAGGTTCGTTTTCAACTTTTCTAGGTCATAAACAATTAACAATAACCATCATGAAAATGATTTGATAAAACTCACCGTTTTCTTTTGGACTTGGATTGAGATTCTGTTGAAAAAATGACCCTCGTCTCTTCAGCAATCTCCCCACTTTGTACTTTTGCAAACGAATGAAATACCTTTTCTTCTTATTTTATTTATAACTTAACCTATGTATGAATGTGACATTAATTTGGTCCTGTAAATTAAAATAAAACGGTAAATTACATAATTCCGTCCCAAAATAATATGGGACTGCAAGTACACATGTAAATTTTTCAACTAAATCGCAACTTGGATTGATTTGAAGAAAGTACTAATAAAATTTGGTGTGAGTTGTAACACATAGATTTGCGACAAAATTCCCAACTTTGGGATTGTAGTGTGGTAGCTTTTTCGATTACATAAAAAATTGCCACGATACTTGGGATGACTTGAACTGATTGATCTTTCTGGAAGTGATAAATGTATGTTTCCGCAATCATTCTTCTTCGTCTTCTTCACTGTAATGATAATTATGATATGATATGGTGTAAAAGGAATTGCCGCTCTAATATCTCTACACATCTTTATTATCTCATTCACCGTGGTGCAATTGTAGCGATTTTAATGTTTTTGCTCATCAATTAAACTAGATGTCCGCCCGGGCGACCTTATCTATTATACTCCCTCCGTCCCATAATTATTGTCCAGTTTTACTAAAATGAAACATTTTATTTTTGGTCAAACTTAACTATATTTTAACTTAAACAACCGGATATATCCCTACATAAGTAATTGTTTAACCACTAAGATTTTATGGATAATATTTTTTACTAAGGACAAATGTGTAACTTGATCCATAAAAAGTCAAATTAGACAATAATTTTAGGACAAAATTTTTGGACAAAGTGGACAATAATTATAGGACGGAGGGAGTAATTGTTTTTTCGGTATTAAAAATTTAACAAACAGTATATATTATATTTTAAAAAGTACAAATGTGTGTGCATTGTGATAAATACAAATGTTTGTATATATTATGTTATTAATTTAGATGCTTGCCCCGAGACGAATGTCGGAGGCGTCTGTCGATTTAATTTTTGTTAAAAAATATATAAAACGTACAATATCTTTTATTATAATAAACAATGATGTTATAGAACCGAAAAACAATACCATTTATATCATATTTAACGAAATCAGGAAGCAATATTGTAAATCATAAAGTTCTTTTTTTTAAAAAAAAGTCAAATTGTATTATGTATAACAATCCTGTTTCTTTACAATCTAATTCAAAACTATTACAAAATTTTAAGAAAGTGCACCTATTGATCTAAGGTACCGAATATCGTCTCCACTATCCTTCCTATAATGAATCTGAATTTTCCAGCAAACTTCTTTCAACTTCTCAAACCTTGCTAGTGCGTCCTTTTTCTCCTACCTGAATTTCCTGTTGTTACGCTCTATCCAGATGTGATAGATTACAGCATTCAACACAGCAAAGAACAATTTCTGCCTAGTTTTCTTGCCTTGCCAAAATTTAAGAAGCCTATTCATTCTGGTTCTCATGCATCGTATGGTTACATTAACAGCCAGCTATGACTTCATATATCCCAAGATCTCATGTGAGTACGAATAGTTAAAAAACAAATGATCAACACTATCTTTATTACCTGTACATAACTCACAACTTCCAGTTATTTGCAGCATTCCAAGTTGCTTCAATCTACTCTGAGTAAGTAACTTCCCTTTCACTGCCAGCCAGCTGATAAAGTTGTGCTTAGGCAGCGGAAATGGGCACCAAATCAGCTTAGCAGGAGGGAATTTTTCCTGCTTTCCTCCCAACCAAGTATATCCTGTTTTAGCATTATAGGGTATGTCATTGTTAGCTGTCCAATAGCCATTTACTACTCCACCCTTAAGTTCATTTTTACCTTTTATAACCTTCTTCCAGTGCCAGCTGCTATCTAACGGAGCCTCAAAATCCCAGATTTGGTACAGAAAAAAAAAACTTAACATAAAGAGTAACCACAGTATGCGCTTTAAGTCCCAAATTGATTAAGGACAACTTTAATACAAAATCAATGATGAGAAAAAAAAAACTATCCTCCTCCTTGAATATAAATGTGGTGCCTTTTTGCTTTTCCGACTTTCCAACCTATGGGCATCTTCATTAGATACGAAGAATGCATTTTCTGCTCTGAAGTTTATTCATGGACATTGGACAACCCAACACATACGATCTTTTGGCAGATTGATTTATGATTTAAACATACTTCTATCTTTATATCAATCTCCATGAAGATCCCCGAAATGCACCTGCTCTCGCTAATAACTTCGTCTAATAAACTGTTATCATGATCAAATAGAGAATCTAAACATGCGGCAAAACAGATGAAATAAAGCAGAAAGTCTCTGCCCCAAAAACAACCCCGTCTAACAAAATGAATAAACTTATCATGACAGATTGCATCATCATTGTCACAAAGCAATCAACTAAACTAACTTTCTTCCTCTATTCTTTCATATACTTGTCAGTTTAAGAATTCTAAGTAGACTTATCCGGGCCACGCATCCAATCCGACCAGAAAGCTAGAAGCAAAATTGAGGCATTAAGACCATCAGAACATACAATAGAGACTATCTAATTAACACTGGATCCTTGGTACAAAATCCACCTATCTATAGCTTCACTGGTCAAATTCCTTCTCTGACTGCATAAAAAACAGAAGAGATTATTCCTACTCCAAAACTCTCCAATAACCTTCCCATGTACAAAAATGACACATCCTAAGCACGATAAACTAAATCAAATGTATTACCAGCAGTTTGAGGACCAACAAAGATATCAAATCCAGGAGGGAAAAAAAAGAAAGAAAGACTTACCCGAGCAAATGAAATTGCAAGCCACCTAATGATATTTGGAACTGCAACAATCATCAAAGGCTGCATTTTGACAAAAGACTATTAGTCACTTCTAGAAACATTAGCCTTACTAAAGAACTTTTAAATGTAAAGAAGCAAGAATGATACGTACCCCTTTTCTTCCAATGTAATCTGCAATGTGGCCACCACATATTGGCCCAACCGTTGCACCAACATTTGATAGTGAACCAAATACAGAGAACTGCCATCAAATTTTAGGAGGTTAGTGACACTTATATATTCACACAATAACAACAAAAGACTAAGTAACCACCATTCGAACACACCAGATGCTCTTATATAAATGAAACATATAAGCAGAGTGTCAGATTTAAAAAAAAATTTAACAGTTTTGTATATAGCGTATTAAGAAATAATTGAGTTATTGACGAAGAATATCATGAGCAAGTTCTCAGAATTTCTCCCTGAATCAAAATATATAAACGAACAAATCAATATTTGAAAAAAGAAAATAATGAAAATCATTATAATAAGTAAGCATAATCAGTATATTGCAATATTGTGCATACCCCTAATATTCAAAACTAATTTCATTCCATTTGCAGATCTATTGTTCTGAGAATTCGAAAGTTTCCCCCAATCACCATCACCCGTAATGACCACTTCCACTGGAAATTAAGTAGAAAACAACAACTTCAATTGGAAAAAAAAAAATAGATGGTCCAAAAAAGAATAATACATTTTAAATAAAAATCAGGAAGATGACTGTAAATTAGGGGTATGCAATATACTGATTAAAGCACATGATTTAATTAAGTGACAAATACTTTCTATCACAAAAATACCAAGAAAAATCCCAGCATCGCACAAACCATTTGACTTATAGGCAAAGTTTCAATTGGGAAAACAAATGACAAATTTAACTCAAAAAGTGATAGAAAGTATAAGCTTTTTTCAGCACAATCGAGTGTATCACATAAAATATAATCATATTGACAACATAAATATCAGAAGATAACTCACTGAATATCCCTTAATAAGGGATTTTAGCAGGGAAAATTTTCATACGAAGAACACCAGTATACCGCATAATTCCGCTACTTTGAATAATTAACACTCTGAAAGCAATTAGAAGCTACATTGCAAAACACATGAGCCACGCAATTCATAAATAAAACATCATATGCTCCTCCCTGAATAAATGTCAAATTGAAACAGCTATTTAACAAACTATGGATCATACACTAATTCAAAAAGGAGCCAAAAGAAACACACATAACAACGCATCCTTGACAGTCATTTAGAAAAGAAAAAAAAAAACAGAGAAGGAGAACGATTACCTTGATTCGTCCATCACCTGATATAATAGCAAAGAAATATAGAGAAGGAACAAATGGAGTCAATATATCCCCAATACTGGTAAGCCTCATCACTGAAACTGCAACCAGAATTCCAAACACAAAAAATTTATTAAAAAAAATCATAAAAGCTACCATATTGCAATATATACCAAAAAATTCATGATCTTCCCGAAATTCAGTCCCAATTATCTAAAAGCCACCAGATCGACTAACCGTATAACATTGAGCATCGGTATTCGCCAACAATAGATCGATAATTAGGAGGGGCCTTCTTTCAACGGACTGACCGGAAGAAGAAGATTTCAAAAAATATTGCGGTATGGAAAGCAATAATATGAAAGAATAACTGAGTTGTTTAGTTCGGGGATTAGAATTTATACCTTAGGTGATGAACAGTCTATTAAAGTGTTTGAGCATCCTCCTTCACTTCTTCTAAGGAGATATAGATCCACAATTTCGTAATATGTGGGAACTAATGAAGGCCTTTTTCTGGTGTTAAGGAACGCCACGGATCCGAATCGCATTGCTGTGGAGGAAGGGCATGCTTCTTAAGCACCCATATTCCCTTTTTTTTTTCTTTTTTTTTGTTCTGTATTTGACTTTCCTGCTGCAGCTGCCGTCTGTTGATCTGCCCGAAGCTTCATATTCAGACGGTTTGGGAGAAGGAATCATCAAATACAACCACCACTAAACTGAAGCACCTCAATCTCTTCCCCCACCCCAAATCTCTTCGACACTCTTCAGACTCATTTAGACGCTATAATCTTTTGACATACCGATGATTTTACTGCACTCAAAGACAACGGGGAGAAGGAAGCATCAAATACAACATAGTTAAAGATTAATTTTGGAAAGGATGAGATCTTTTTGAATTTTGAATTCGAGATTAGGAAGATATGCTCTGATTCTTCGACACGGTATCGGAACCTGATTGATTGCGGAGTTAATATGGGATCTTAGTTCCCGTAAACATTTATTTTTACAGAATGTAAATCCCTTAAATTGGGGAGTGTTTAACGTGATCATTTTATATTTTACAGAATTGTAGAATCTTTTTTTTTTTTCGGATGAACGAAGGATACATGACATTTTGCTTTTGCAAACGATGTATTTTTTTGTTTAGACAGGAAAAAAATTTATGTAAAGCTGACACGTGTACTAAGTGTCATTTATTTTCATGAAGTGTAAAGGGTTGTATGACTCATATTCCCCATGTATATAATAATTAAAAATAACTGTTTCAACAAAAAAAAAAATTTAAAAATAAAACATCTTTAATTGGCGGGAAGAAGTGAATGACGAACCAAAAGGAATGATGGCAATTTTTAATTAAAGAACTCTCCTTTCATCTACGTATGTAACGTGTTTATATATTATAAAATATTTTCTTACAACTTAAACCCGTTTGATTGTTCTTAATTTCTCCGCAGTCAAAGTCCACTAGAAAAACTAAACCAAAGTAATAATGATTTGTTTTATGTTACTGTCAAGGAAATGTACCTGGGCTGATTCTATACGCTTGACCCTTATTCCAATAGCAAATTTATCCGAAAATCCTAATATATCTAACAAAAAGTTCTTCATATCTGATATTTCTACATGATTGGAAAAGTGTGAATTTTATTGATGTTTCCAGGAGGTTGGTTTGGTTCCATTACCAATTCGTACGTACGAATTTATAGCCCATATGTTTGGAAGACCCAACATAGTGCTGCTATTGGATTTGTGACCCAGGACGAGAGGCCCATTTGTGAGGATTTTTTTGGTCACTTCACATCTGTCGAACGAAATTCAACTTTTGAACATTACGCTGCCATTTCCAACGGTCATCTTCAGAAAGCTTGCTTTTGAAATCTCTTTTCTTTCTCCTACTCTCTCTCACACAACCGCCCACCATTTTGAATTTCATCTTCCTCTTTCTCTCTCTCTCTCTCTCTCTTACAATTACAATTGAATTTGATTTGCCAACTCTTCACTATAATCTCTCTCCTCCGTAGAAAGAAATTTGTAGATCTCAAATGGAGAACAGATTCTTGGGAAACATTGCCGCTACATCGTTTAAAAATCTGTTCCCAAATTCCATTTCAAAGAAGCAGAAGATGAAGAACTCAGTCCGTACCAGGAACAAATCAAACGCCGAGAACATTGCCCCAATTGATTCCAACATCAGCGACCCCCCGTTGCTGCCTTCCAATTCCTTACCAAAGAAATCACCCTCCAAGCCCTCCGTTGTTCATAAGGAGATTGTTCTCAAGTCCGAGTCCAAATCTGATGCCCCTGTTCATCCGGACCCCCCAGTAAAAGTTGGTGCTTCTTTCTGTCACTCATTTCTTTTTTATGGCGCTGAAAATTTCTCATTATCCTGAATTTTTCCTTTTTATGTGAGGCTTCGGCAGCTATTTGCTTCTTACACTCTCCATCTTGCTGCAAATTATACTTTTAATTAATGCGCAAGTTTGGTTTAGTTGTCCTGTTGAGTTTGAGGCATCAATTTTAGTTGCAAGTTAGATTTTCTGGATCATAGTTGTGTTGCGCATGCTGCAATATGGAGTTCTAGATGCGTCTCCGCACATGTTTGTTTGTTCCGTAATTAGTTTAGCTGATTTCGTTCACAGATCCTGAAAATTATTGTTCGTGTTCGTGCTTTTAGGTCATGGTGAGGATTAGGCCTTCAACAGCTCCTGCTAGTCTGGATTGGACTGTTAAGAAAGTTTCAAATGATTCTCTTTCTGTTGGGGATAAAATATTCAACTTCCATTCCGTTTTGGATTCAAATTCATCACAGGTTTGGACACCATTTCCTTGCTTTGGTTTATGGTGCTCTGCTTCACTCGGTATTACAAATTGCAACTGTGATTCATTTATCACTTCTTACCCTATGTAGTTCACAATAGTACCTTAGCTCTGGATCAACCTTTTATCGTTTCTTAGAAACTGCCTAGAAAACCGGAAATTGTCTGTTTAACTGTAAATTCATCTGTTTCTATCAGGAAGATGTCTTCAAACAAGTTGGTGTTCCTTTGGTCAATGATGCATTGGCAGGTTACAACACATCAATTTTGGCTTATGGACAGGTGATTCACCCTTTTGGAAAGGGTTTGGTACTGTTTTATTAGTTATAATTTTCTTTGTACATTTGCTGAAGTAATCTTTGATGTCGATTGTTCCAGACGGGTAGTGGGAAGTCTTATACGATGTGGGGTCCCCCAAGTGCCATGGTTGAGGATGATAATTCCCATGGTTTTCAGGGCCTCGTTCCTCGCATTTTCCAGATGTTATTCTCTAAGATTCAGCAAGTAGGTTTACCTTCTGTGTGCCTTGTCATTTGAAAACTGTATATTACAAGGGTAAAGAATACTTTTAGGCTAACACAAGCACTATGCTTTGCTTTGGTTCATGAAGGATCAGGAAAATGCTGATGGAAGACAGTTCAATTATCAGTGCCGCTGTTCATTTCTTGAGGTATGTTTTAGTTTTATGTTGGTGCTTGTCTGTATTTCCTGAGTCAAACCTGGTTTTTAAATCAGAATTCTTTGAATTGAACTTTGCAGATATATAATGAACAAATTGGGGATTTACTTGATCCTACTAAGAGGAATTTAGAGGTGAACAAATGTTTGTCTCAGTATAAGTGTTTCTTATTTGTTTCCTTTCTTAACTACTCGAACTGTAGTCCTAATGACTTTGAGATTTACAGATAAGGGAGGAGCCCAAAAACGGATTTTATGTTGACAATTTGTCAGAGGAATATGTTACCAACTATGAAGATGTCACTCAAATCCTAATTAAGGTAAATCCTGTCATTTGCTTGGTTGCATTTACAGTAACCCTTGATTGCCGAAGACAAATGTGTATGCGTTCTTTTGTGCAGGGCCTTTCAAGCCGAAAGGTTGGAGCAACCAGCACAAACTCAAAGAGTTCAAGATCACATATTGTATTCACATGCGTCATAGAGTCCTGGTGTAAGGTAAATACAGCTTAAATTCGCCTTGCTGGTGAAGTGATTATCAGTTCAAAAGAATGGCTTGCTGCTTGCTATCTTCAATTGTGTATTCATTTGAATGTATGCTGTTTATAGAACATTAAATTCGGCAATGATGTATATCTGTTTTTTCATGCCTTTTACTTGGCCTCATTATTCTGTTCTGTGTAAAACTTGGCTCAGGAGACCTCGTCGAAGTGTTTCGGTAGTTCCAAGTCAAGCAGAATCAGCCTAGTTGATCTTGCTGGATTTGAAAGAAGTATTCTTGATGATGCCGGAAAACAATGTGTAAAAGAAGGAAAATTTATAAAGAAGTCCACATCACAGCTAGGGTATGCACAATTTGTAACTTAAGAGCCTTCTTATGTGGCGCTATTGAAGTAGAGAACAGACTTTTAATTATATTTGTTTCCCTACTCAAGCTTTAATATAATCAAACCTATCTCTGCATTAGCGGTGACCTGTGTTGGCCTTTTTCTTCTCACTGAATCAGGTATTTGGTCAACTGCCTAGTTGAGAAAAGCCGTTCAGGAGTTCCTGAAGCACTACCATATCAAGGTTCTTGTTTAACTCATCTGCTGAGGGAATCGCTCGGTGGCAATGCCAAACTCTCGGTCATATGTTCCATCACCCCTGACAAAAAGTACAGTTTGTTCTACCTTTGTCATTGTTCTTTGGATACACAATTTTTAGACAATTTATGAGGAATAGATCAATAAACAAATTGATAAATGTGTAGTTTTACATTCTTCCCAGCTCATCTTGTATAGTTGTATGTCAATCATTTATTTTTTGATAAGGCTCTGTTATAACACGCCTTATTTCTCCCAATGAAGGTATGGTGGAGAAACAGTAAGCACGCTCAGGTTTGGACAGCGAGTTAAATATGTCCAGAATGAGCCAGTAATAAATGAAATAACAGAAGATGATGTTGATGGTCTAACTGATCAGATAAGACAACTTAAGGTAATTTTCGGATGCAGCTTACAAAGTTGTGTCTTGATGCATGTTTCAATCTCCTGTTTATGAATGTTTTTTAGCTTAGCTTCTTTCTTGGACAGGAGGAACTTATAAGAGCCAAAACCGATCAGGCATGGGACTCAATCGGAAGTAATCATGGACACTTCAAAGGCAGAAATGTGCGTGAAAGCTTGAATCAACTGAGACTTAGTCTAAACCGCTCATTGATTTTACCTTATGTGGATAATGATGATCCTGAAGAAGTGTGTGCCGACGAGAATGACATTAAAGAGTTGCGAACCCAAATTGATATGCTACAAAGTTCTCCAGAGGAGGACTCCATGGACATAGCAGAGGGTTGCGAGACAGACTTGACTAGCGAACAGTACGTGAGCTGTTCGGATGAAGGTGAAAGTGAAATAGATGAAATTAACTCGGAAGAAACTGATCCACAAATTAGTGAGGAGTTACCGCCTGTTGATGAGCCTGAAGGCCTCTGTTCTGGGGACAAGGATCAAATCAAGAGTAGCATTTCAATTCCTGCAGTCCCTCAGTTTGATGTCCTCCAAGGCCCTACAATTTCTGAGTCTCCTAAAATTAAAAACATGCAAAGGAAGAGCTTAATTGCTTCATCGAACAGTTTGTGCTTCCATGATACTGCACCAGACAATTCCGGGAACTCCAAATCATTGCGGCAATCTGTAAGAAGCAGCAATCACATCCGATCTTCTTTGAGGTCGAGTAGAGTCATCCCTGGGCCTACAGAATCTCTCGCAGCTAGCCTTCACAGAGGTTTAGAGATTATTGATTACCATCAGCGCAACTCGCCATTAGACAGATCATCTGTTTCCTTCTCTTTCGAACACTTGGCATTGAAACCATGTTTAAAAGATGACAAGGCGAACGCTTCTGCCCAAACTTTAACAGAAGATGGGTTGAGTACTTCTTTCATGTGTAAAAATTGCAAGCAAAGAGGAGATCTTTCATCAACTGAATGGATGGTAAACAGCGCCTCTCATTGGCCAGTTATTCAGCAGGTTTTAATAAGTAGCAGTTAACATTTTCTTTTTACTTTCTCGCTTTCAGGATAGAGGAAAGGATTCAGCAATGGCTACAGAGAGAGAGAAGGAACTTGAGACAGTTTGCAAGGAGCATGAAGCTAAAATCGATCAATTGAACCAACAGGTGATAATCTTGTTCTGTCCTAGTATGACCAGAAATCTCTTTTTCTGTCCTAGTATGACTTAAAATCCCTCTGGGATTTCACAGTGCTGATATTTTACATCTCTTGCAGCTAATGAAGTACAAGCTTGAGCTGGAACAGACCAAGGGAAGTAGTGGTAATGATTCAGATCACGATGTTATGAAGAATGAGAGTGAAAATAAGGTTAATCACACTGTTCTTCTTCCATGTTGACATCTCTCCTTTCTGTTTTGACTCTCTCAAACTCACCAGTTATCCTTTTCCGCAGCTTCTGATGTGGAATGGTAATGAAGGTCATGATCTAGAGCTGATAAAGGAGAAGTGTGAAGTGAAAGAAATCCAGGGAGAATTTGATGATCAAAGTCACAATGTCCAATCTTTTGATGCAGATGAAAAGGAAGCCCTTCTCAAAGAAATTGAAAGCTTAAGAAGCAAATTGCAGTCTCAAACCGATATAAATGCTATTAAATCAACCGACAGAATCAGGTCTTCCCTCCTGGCTCAATCAATCCAGTTGAGAAAAAGCGGTACACTTCCTCGACTGAACACTGAGGAAGATATAGAGAAGGAACGAGAGAGATGGATGGAAATGGAAAGCGAATGGATTTGTTTAACAGATGATTTGAGGATTGATCTAGAGTCCCTTCGCCAGCGGGCAGAGAAGGTGGAGATGGAGTTAAGATTGGAGAAAAAATGTACAGAGGAGTTGGATGATGCACTTAAAAGGTCTGTCCTTGGACATGCTAGAATGGTTGAGCACTATGCGGAGCTGCAAGAGAATTATAATGACTTGGTTGCAAAGCATCGATCTGTTATGGGAGGCGTGGCAGAGATTAAAAGGGCAGCTGCTAAAGCAGGAGCCAAAGGACATGGCTCGCGTTTTGCCAGGTGCCTTGCAGCTGAACTTTCAGCTTTGAGAGTGCAAAGGGACAGGGAGAGGGAACTCCTGAAAAAGGAGAATATTAAACTAAGAACTCAACTCAGAGACACTGCAGAAGCTGTTCATGCAGCTGGCGAGCTACTCGTTAGGCTGAGAGAAGCAGAGGAAACAGCCTCAGTCTCAGAGGTATTCTCAGTCCTACTTCTATGTTATCCTTTTAAGAGTCATTTCCCATATGTTCTTTTATGTAGCATTCTTTGTTCGTTCCGAATCATGATTAAGTGAAAACGTGGTAGTAAGCATTTGTTTCTCCTTGGTTTCTGGGGTTGCAGGGAAATATGACAAGGGTACAAGAAGAAAATGAGAGTTTGAAGAAACAAATAGAGAAACTGAAGAGGAAGCACAAGATGGAAATGGCGACAATGAAACAGTACCTTGCGGAGAGCAGGTTGCCTGAAGCTGCATTAAGGCCTTTATCCAGGGAAGAGTCTTATACCGGAGGGAATGATTACACATCTTCCTTTGTGCCTGAAGATGATGACCAAGCCTGGAGAGCAGAATTTGGTCCAATCTATCAAGAACACTTTTGAAGCCTGATTTCAGAGCCAGATGTCTTGAACCCTGCTTGGGACCAAGCCAGATTAGCAGATACCTGAAATCTCTTCCCTCTCCCCCCCCCAATTCATTTGTTGTATACCATTATTGTTTAGGATTTTCCGTTTCATTGCTAACATCAAACATGTTTACTTCTTCAGGAATGAGTGATGTTTTCACAAAAACTTGTTAAATTGAATTGCATTTTTTGAAGAATTCCTTATGATTGAAGCCTATGAGCCAACCATTATCTGAGTTTTTGTTGACCTGAAAATATTGCACAAACTTTTGCCTTTATATAAACTTAATCTGAATTAAGTTAACACGAACTGGTTAGTTCCCAGTAATTAAATTAACACGATGTTACTGCTACATTGCGACATCGTGTAATTTAAATTAACACGAACTGGTTAGTTCTGTGTGACAATAATTTCTATTGATTGGTTTAATATTTTAAGACATTGCTTTTGTTGCTAATAGTAAAAAACTAAAAATTATACAAGGCAAAATGTATTTAACCTGAACATGTAACGTTGATTTAAAATTTAATCCTCAAGATTATTTACTGGGTTGCACTTTACCCCTTGTTGACTTTTTAACTTTTACTGGAGGAGGCAAAGGTAAGATTTTTCTTGGAAAATATCCCAACTGGATATACTACGACACTGCTGTGACCCTTTCGGTTTGAGTGTAGAAAGCGAAAGCTCCCAAACACTTCAACAGAAGCGTGAGAAAGAGAGGATTATCTTTTTGTGGGTAAAAATCAGGAAAGGAAAAGAAAAAGTTTGAAATCTTTATCGTTGAACCCTAGGGTTTTTGTTGGAGATGACGACGCCGGCTAACTCTCCGACCTCCGATTCTGACTCCGAAATCGAAAGCCCTCCTTTTACTCCCGCCGAAACCCCTAATGCGGCCAATCCGAATTTCACTTCCGACGCCTTAATCTCCAACCCCTCCAGCGCACCTCCTCTCGTCTGTCTCTTCAGAAGCGCCGGTGATGCTGCTGCTGGTGCTGTTATGGGCTCCATTTTCGGCATGGGTAATTGCTTTATTTTCGAATTCACTTTTTATCAATATCTTTCCGATTGGTTTTCTGATCTAGCTTATTGTTGAATTGAATTCTTTTTGTTTTTCACGGGTGCCTTGAATTAGTGTCTTGTGAATTTAGAAGCAATTATTATGGATAAGATTTAGGGGTGCATTTTACTGGTAAATGGTTTGTCGGTCTGTTTTTATGGGCCATTTTGACAGTAAATAGAATGCTTGTTATCTTCGTCTGTATTTCCGCTTTTGGTGTTTTTCAAGTTTCTTCATCCTGTGTGAATTCTGTTGTAGCAAAGTGGAAGCAAATGTATATTTGGTTTCTTTTATTTAGATGTGCTTAGCTAAGAGTATGGGGTTCATTCTGTATGGCCGGACAGATTTTAATTTTTGATCGCTGATTTACAAATGCTTAATTTTGAGTTGATTGTGTCAGCAGTTTGTAAGAATGGATATTTATGCAAATTTACTTAGGATGTTTTTATCCAGTGTGTCTGAGATAGTGGCATTGAAGCTCCTTACATCATCTTGCTTCTGATTATCGCCTAATGAGCATGCCAGTTTTACGCCATTTACTGCCATTGATGTTTATTCAAGTATTTGAGATTTTGATCATGCATTGTTTTAATATGGTCGTACAAGTAATATGCAATGGTGCATTGCTTTCTTGCTTGCTTTGGCATTTAAACTTTATGGGATATGTAAAAACTCAATAGATCTTTTCTAAGCCGGTTATGGATTGTTTACATTATGATGTCCAGAATCTTTCTATTTATTTGCTCTAACTTTCTGAACATGGTTTCTTTTGCATGTGTTTTGATGATAATTGCTTACGTTAGAACTTATTTGGTCTTCTTATTCAGGGTCTGGTTTGGTTAAGCGGAAGGGTTTCAAAGGATCCTTCGGTGAAGCTCGGTCATCTGCGAAGGCAAGATGAATTCTTTATAACTCTCTGAAATTTCCAGTTCCTTGCATGCCATACTGCTTGGTCGTATTCTTTGGCTCAAATTTTTTATTTGTTATTTTCTCTGATGTCCCTTCTTTTGTTGCTTTAGACTTTTGCAATATTATCGGGAGTTCACAGTTTAGTAGTTTGCTTTTTGAAGAAGTTGCGAGGAAAGGATGATGGTACGATGATTCTATTTTGAGAAATTACTCTTGATTCCATGGTTTTTCTTGTTTTCATTTCTTCTATCTTCTCCTCTGCAGTGATTAATGCAGGAGTGGCAGGGTGCTGCACTGGTCTTGTTCTAAGTTTTCCTGGTATGCGGCTCTTTTTCTAGCATACGAAAATGAATATGTGCATGAGTTATGTTCAGAGTGTTAGTAAACTGTGGGTACAAATGCTTTTGCAGGTGCACCTCAGGCTCTACTCCAAAGCTGCATAACGTTTGGGGCATTTTCTTTCATCATGGAAGGCATGAACAAGCAACAACCAGCGTTAGCTCTCACCTATAATAACAGTAGAAAGATGAGCATCAAAAGTAGTGTTCAAGCCCCTTTACTTCCTCCTTTGGCGTTTCCCCTGCCGAACGAGCTTAAGGAGTCATTCTCCATGTTCTGCCAATCACTTAAGAAACGGCACAAAGTCCCGCCAGTTTGAATCTTGCTCAGAGAATAAGGTGACTAGTATCCAGTATAAACTGGCCGGCGGGAGAGTTTTTCTTTTGTAAATTGTTAGTTACAGTACTTTCGAGTAACGGTGAATTTTTACTTTTGTGAATTTTTACTTTTCTCTTTCTTTTTTATCTCAATATTTTTGACATTGGCGAATATTCTGTCTTTTTTATTGAGATTATTAGATGTAATACTTGCAATTTGAATCTTCCCAAATCTTTTCCTTTGTTAACAAATGCAAACAGAAATATTAGTTGCAGCTTGGTCACTAAGCAGTCACCATACTCAAAAACTAAAACTAAACGCATTAGCAAATGGTACCTTGATATATCTCGATAAAAAAAAAGGAATTAATATATAGGAGAGGTAAACAAAACTAGAGTAAGAGAAATGGACGTGATACGAAAAGATTCCATGGAGGAGAAGCTGAAAAATGGCAAAAAAATCAATCTTAAGCAGACTAACTTTCTTGAATTAACTAGGTTGATTGAGCATTTAGGGAGAATTTTTCTCCTCCTTGATCAGATTACTCCTCTCTCTATATATATTGGTATATTTACACCCATCTTTTTTCGTCACTTCTTTCTTCACACACGATAAGAAAACAAAGAACAATCAATGGGTTGGTTCAAGCCTTCAAAGTGGTTAAAGAGTGAAGATTCTTCCGATAAGAAGAAAGAACCAGCGTTCATGGTGAGCAATGTTTGTAGTTCTTAACTTCCTTCAATTTTCCCAGAGAAACATATGATTTAGGGAGTACTGATGAAAATCTTTGGTCTCTTGCATCATAAGGGTGGATTCTGAGCAAACAGGGTGGCAAAAGCAAGTGAACCAAATACTGGCAAGTATCCGTGGTACCTACGAATTCTGTTAATTATTAATTTTACTTTATTCACAATGTAATTTTGCACAAAGGTCCTCGAGACACGGGGAGTATTTTCTTTATTTTTATTTTTTTGACGAAAAATTAACACAATGCTTACGTACCTAATCTAATGATATGATTGATGAAATATGATTCGTATTATTATATCTTCAAATATGTTTATTTTTATTTTAAGTATCTAACTTCATATTAGTAAGTCCTTTGAGAGACGGAGTAATTTTTTTTTTTTCTTAAGACAAGAACATGTTCAGCTAATTATTATTATTATTTTTTTTATGGGACTTGTGGAGTATAAGTTCATTTTATGTAAAAGTTTTGGATTGGTTTGACCATAACGTGTATATATAGGTGTGCGTCATTGCACAATTGGTGACAATCTGCTGGAAATAGCAGGGTTTGTGATTCCATAAGTGTTGATGAAAGCTTTAAGGCAAGGCAAAAACAAAAATGGAACTGAAATGGTTTCAGTTCGGACAATGTTCCAGTAATCTCTATGGACCAGACCGTAGGCAGTTTCTCAGCCATACACCGCCACCGCCTCCTCCTCCCTCTGTCATTCGTCCTGAGCCCTCTGCCCCAGAAGCCGACTTCGATTATCCTCCGGCTGGTCGTGGAACTTCCACCGGTATCGGTCACCCTTTTCCTCATCAGGGTCGAGGATCATATGACAGAGATCTACCTCCATTTTGTTATAATGGTGATGAAGGTTGTAAGATCATATTATAATGGCTATTAAGGTGGTAATATGATGTAGATCATAGTTTGTTCCTCAGGGTTCTTTTCATAGTTTGTTTAGTACTTGCCTCATTTACTATTAGCCAAGTTTTTGTTGGCTTATAGTGCAAGCAAATGATTTTTTAGTTCAACTGCTAGAGGTGTTGGATTGAAAGTGGAAACTTATTGACCACTTGTTTGTTTTTATCCTCAATTGGAGTTATTTTTGAAGTTATGTGAATCTGTTTTGAAAGTTTCAATGCTTCTTTATTTCTATGCAAAATGCAAGACGTGTTCATGGAGAACCATTAATTCCATTATTATCAAGAAGCAACTGCACTGTAACATCCTGAAACATGACTAAATTTTGTATTGTTTCAAAACTCAGTCTTAATGGTGGCTGAAATCTCACCACCCAAATTACATCAAGCACTTGCACAAGATCCACTTTTTAGTTTAATGTCAGAGAAAGGAAGGCTATAGAACTCTGCCAAATACTCCAAAGCTTCTGAATTGTTGCAACAGACTTTCCAAAGTGATGAAACCTCGCCCTTTGATAGCGTACCCCAGTGCTCGCAATCATCGAGAAACTCTAGCAACTTGGTGTAAAATGAATCATAGTTCATCAGAAGAAAGGGTACTGGAAGCTTCGATCCTATTCTTTCTAGTTGAATTAAAGCCATGATTTCAAATATTTCGTCTAGAGTTCCAATCCCCCCAGGAAGGGCAATCACTGCTGTTCTATCGGAACTACGAGCCCTAACAACAGCATCCACTAAACCATGTTTTCTTGCCGAGAAGAACCTGAATGTTTTGCAAAAGTGATAAAAGAATCCAGTACTATCACAACTTGGAATGTCAATATCAAAAAGCAAGAGCTCACCTGCAAGTTAGATACGTTTCCGGAGGCAAATATGGATGAAAATTAGAAGATGTCCATTCTCCAGCCTCTTTTCCTATCTTAAAACCACCAACAGGTTTGCGAGCTTTCAAAGCGCCTTGAGTTGCAGCATCCATGAGCCCTGGCCCCGCTCCAGACCATGTTGTACAATCTAAGAGGCCTGCAACCTACATGACTAGTCAAATTTGAGGAAGCGCAAAATACCTCATCAATGCCATCCATCATTAATATCATAACTGACCAATCTTATTCTGGAAACTCAAACCATTCGAGGCAAACATGAGGGCTTACCTCTCTTGCCAAGTCGAACGATTGTGCATAGTGAGGATGACTACTTCCCATCCTAGAAGAACCCAAGTACACAACGCCCCTGCCAAGCCTATGTATAAGTTTGTAGCATTCTTCAATTTCCTTCTTCACCTGATATGAATATGAAGACATCGTAAGGTTTCATATGATCAGTGAATATTTGTCCATTGATTGAATAAATTAAATAAGAACATTTATGACATCACAAAACTTATTCATGGGCAACAATTAGCCAATAAATTGTCAAGCAACAGTAGCAAATATATTGTTAAGTAACAACCATTGAGCCTTTTATCTTATATACTCATTATAATCACACAAGAAGAAAAGCGTTTCTCATACAGTCTATTGAATGAATAATCTTGCAGATAGCTGATTCACTAAAGTTCCTAATCCTCAGTCTCAAACGCAACTGCATCACATTTTACCAAAGAAATACTAGTATTAATGTCATTGTGAATGAGCCAAGTCAGGGTGGTCAATGCAAGGTCCCAAACATACCTGACTTCAAAGGTTCACCCAGGAAGTTAAAAATAAACGTTAACAAACTTCAGGACATCCGATCAAGAAACTGAGAACACAGCAACTTTAACATAACTCAATTGACTAGAAAAAAGATAAAAACTTTAGGAAGAATTGCAAACATAATTCCCCTCTTCCCAGTTCAATTCCCAACTATTCAGCTGGGATTCAATTCAAACATTAATTTCAGTAGTAAACACCTAACAGGGCTACTAAAGGGGCGAAAATGACGATACCTCATTTGGGCTTGCTCTTTCTGCAAAATCAACGCACTGAGATTTGCAGCTGATGAGTTTGACAGGTCGAGGCTTCAACTCTGGTTGCTGGAAACTTACTTTGCCCCTCCATTTCTGATTAGAATGCAGAAATTTCTCAGTTCTGTGTTGAGAAATTCCGCGAGGGGAATGATAATCCGTTGGTGTAATGCTTCCCAAGGAAAAACCCATTTGGATTATTATTAGAGCTTCGCAACAAACTGCTTCAAAGTTCAAACGATTCACGAGTTGGGAACTTGGGATTGATTGATTTCACAAAGGTAGTAGAATAATCCAACTTGGGCTATGACTTTGCTTTCTGTCGCTACCTCGGAATATAGATGAAAATGAGGTTCGATTCGATGTTACCAAGCTTCTAAAGGTGAAGATTTTTTAGGAAGAAAATGGAAAACAAAGAGCCCAATAAGGTTAGATAACTTTTGTTCTACATTGGACCATCAACCTAGAGAAAAAGCCCAACTGTTTTAAACCCTCCTTCCATTCCATCACCAAATTAATTTTCTTTCTTCATCCGTTTTCCGACAATACTTCGCATTTGGGGAGCAAACCGAAGAAGTTGCACCGGCGGCGAATAATTGGTACTTCTATGCATAAGAGACGTGCCACCGGAGGCAAGAAGAAGACCTGGAGGAAGAAGCGAAAGTAAGGCTTACATTAGAAATACACAGTTTGTTGAACTTCAATTACTTGGCTTAGCTTACTTTAGTGTTTCCTGGTTTCTCTCTGCTACATTTGTTGTCGTATAACTCAGACAATCAAAATGTCGGGTTTTGTTCAGTTTTTAGGATCCACTGATTTGGGCTATCTTGGCGGTGTTGCAAGATGTTACTGTGCATTTATCAGGGGTTTTTTCCCCCTTTCTAATGCAGTAGTTTCTTTTGTTCCGTGAAATCTTGGTTTCCTCTATTGTGCATTTGTAGTAGTATCAGTTAGTTAGCAGCCTTTTCATTGATTACCTGAGAGAAAAAGAGGGAGGGGATGGATTAAGTTTTTATAAAATTGCTTATATTATTATTATGTAACATGTGTTACTAGAGAATCTATGTACTTATATTTGAAATTGTTAGAATGATGTAGTTCTGATGTGTTCCTGGATAATGGATCATTCATTAGTGACTAAAAGACCTATGTATTCTTTATTTTCTTTCATCTGACTGTTGTACATTTAGTTAGGTCACGGTAATATGATTCTTTGTGGTTAGGTACGACCATCAAACAGAAAGTTGCTACCGAATGCAAAGACAGTTAGGAGGATTAGGGTGAGAGGTGGAAACGTGAACTAACGTGCATTGAGATTGGACACTGGGAATTACTCATGGAGGAGTGAGGCTGTTACTAGGAAGACTTGGTTTACAATGCTTGGTTTGCTCAACTTGGTTTACAATGCTTCAAACAATGAATTGGTGAGTGGTGAAGGTGCGCCATTTAAGCAATGGCATCTTCGGCATTATGGAGTTGAGATAGGTTGCAAGAATAAAAGCGCTTCTACCAAGAAGGAAGGAGTATGGAATTCTTATCATTGTTTTCTCCCCCTTTCAAACCTTCTAATTTCTGGGGCGGTTTCTGTATTTTGTTTCCAAAGCACTAATTGCTACTTGGAGAGATTTGTTTCCGTAGCACTAGCTAGTTGATACTGGAGAGGTGGCTTAGATAACGTTGCATATCATACTATGCTTTCTAATATTGCAGCAGGATCCTGAGTATAGTTTTACTTGTTTCCCAAAGCATGGCAATGCATTTTGTTGGCCAGTAGATATGTAGTGTTGCATGTATATATTTTCAAACAAGGCCATGTTGGATGTCCTGTAGAACATTATTGCTACCAAGTCATTGAAGCTTTTGTTGACATTTTGATTTCGGTTGATTAGGAAGCTGAGGCTCCTGCGGACGTGACCAAAAAGTGTAACAATGTTCAGAGAAAACTGGAGAAGTGCCTAGAGCAGCACAAGATTGATCCACATTTGAGGAGCAATCTACAAGTGTGGACGTGCTGATGGGTAAGTACTATAGTTGACCCTCATTTTGATGCATGTGTTTTGACCTGATTGAGTTCTTTTTAACATCAACCCGGAAAATTTGTGATGTTTTCCTTGTTGAACTCCTATAAGTAGTTTGTGCATTTACTGCTGTCTCATCACTTAAAAGTGTTTTTCGCACTATTAAAAGTTACAATGCGTTCATCCTTAGCTGTTTATGTTGATCTTGGCAGCTGTATCTTGGAAGGGAAAGAGCTTTAGTTCTACCTAAAGGAAATGCAGAGGAAGAAAGGAAAGGGCGCCGGCGGTGCAGCTTAATCTTTCTGCCACCAAACTCGTTTGTAGGTCATTCTTTCATCTGCTACTTCTGCTCATCCCCAACCTTTAACCCCATCTTCTAATTCTTTCATCAACTGTAGGAAGTGAATGTAATATTCTAGAGCAACACTACAGTAAATTCTAGAGATCCTGATTGCTAGTGTATAATCATATTTAGTTTTTTTTTTTTACCCCCCGTTTATTTATTTTAATAATGATTTTTATAATTCTTCATCAAATTCAGATCTTGATATTTGTTTTTGTATCCATCAAGGGCTAATTAAGAATAAAACAGTACAGCTCATTGTACTTGAAGATGTTCTTAAGGTGAACATAAAAGTTACTCCCTCCGTCCCATAATTATTGTCCAATTTGAGTTTTCATTTTTAGTTCAAATTGTACTAAAAGTGAAATTTTAAACTGGACAATAATTTTGGGACAGAGGGAGTATTTTTAAAATGCAATAAAAATGATGTAATAATGAGTAGGGGATACGACGTATAGTTACGTCATCAGAAGTTTCCGAAGTGAAATGGGGGATCAAATGTCGGCCTCTTGACCTTTTGGGCTGGGCTGATAGTGAGCGGGGGTCTGGATATGAGGGGCCTATGGCGAATGGATGGCGTCATGATTACTTTGTTCCTTGTAAATCATTGGCATCTGGGCCAATGTCTATATGGTCAGTCATTGAACTAGTCCAACACACGCTTCTATTTTTTTTTCCAGTGAACTTTCATGGTCAATAAATAAATACAGATTGTAAACCAAAATAAACAGATAAACAAATAACAGATTAATAACCACTAACATTCTTCATTCAATTAAATATTTTTTTTATTGCACTAAAAAACCGAAAAAGAGGTATACACACACACAACACATTTGTTCATTGTATGCAATACATGAGTAGGATACTAGGGTTCAATACAATACTCCATGTTATTTTTCTTCTTTGCATACTTAATGGTGGACCATTTTTCTCTTTGAAGTGTGTACAATAATAATGAGAAATCAATTGATCTACGAAAAATTATGGGATTTATCATTTGAATATGATACACGTCGCTGAACTGGTATAACCACTATTCAACGTAATAATTGTTATTTTATTTTTGGGTCATGATAAATGGCATGCATAATGCATTACAAAAGTCAGAAGCTGGATTGCATCTATTTTGTTTGTTTGCTGAGTCGTAGCACATAAAATATAAGATATAGCTAGATAGAAAAATGAAACAAACAGCTGCTATATATATGGTCACCAAGAAAAAGAAAGAAGATTTTTATTTTTAGTTTAATTTATATTAAAATAAAAAATCTAATATGGACAATAATTTCTAAATTAAAAATGAAAATCTAAACTGGACAATAATTTTGGGACGGAAGAATAGTTGTGAATTATAAACATTTGGTATTATAGATAAAGCTCTGCTCTTGCAATTGGGTCGTTGCTCAGTCTCAGAGGTTGCCCTTGAGTTCATTTGCTTAATCAAGTTAATTAGTTAAATTAGGCAGAAGTAGAATAGTGGCTGTTGTCATGGACAATAAATATTTTGGTTCGTTAGATTTTAGGTTACATTTAACATGAATGGATGTTATGTGTGATGGATGCATATACACTAAAAGATATACTTTAGTCAAACAAAAGAAAATGGACAAAAAGGGGATCATTATTAGTGCAGCAATTGGGTTGGGGGGGGAGGGATGTGAGAAGGGAATAGCACTAGGGAATTTGGCAATTTGGAGTTGCTTCCCACCAATTGTTTTGATCAATAAGATGAACTCGTCATGCTTTTGTCCTACATACGTCATTCCTCCTCTCTTGATCCATTTCTCTACGTTGTCACACACACACACACACACACACACAGTTTTATTGTACAAAGAGAGGTTTCAATGGTGGAGACTCCATCCCAACTCCCAATCAAATTCTTCCTACCATTTTAATTAATGCTTAAGCCCGCCCGTAAACCCTTGACAGTTGACACATGCATCTCTTTTCTTTCTTTTTCTTTAACCATCACCGGCTTTCTGCCCTCTCATTTCTTGGATGGGGGATATTTATGTACTGTAGAGAAGTTAATTCTTACTCATATTAACCCTGAATATTATCTTCTGTTTGACAAAATAAATTTCTCCCCATAAATATTGATTTGCATTAATTGCTGATAATTATATGGCATAGTAGTAATACCCTCAAAATGATGACGTCTCAATTTCTAATATGTGAATACTTATTTGATTTAACATAAATTTGTAAGGTGCAAACTAGTGATGTTAATTTGTGGAATGGATAATCTCGCGAATAAGTAAAATGGAGTGATGTAGCAAAGTCACCTCAGGTGTTTGTTGAATGTTGATTTTTTAGTTGTTGCGAAAATTGTCAAATTTTCTGCTGTTACTTTATTGCGCCTTACGGCACTGCATGCAGGCGCAGCTGGTTGAGTGATACATACTCCCTCTGTTCCGTAATTATTGTCCAACTTGACTTTTTATTTTTAGTTCAAATTGTACTAAAAGTGAAATCTCAAACTGGACAATAATTTTGCAACATAAAGAGTACTATTTTTGATTTATGAAAAGGCTACTCTGAATCGATTGATTAAAGTCATTCTGTTTGTTACAACTTCAAGTACTAATTTTATCCTCTCAAAATCAATCACCGATGATAACTTTGCCACCTCGATTGGATAGTCATTTGCATCTTTCATAACCCTACTTTTGTTCTTTCTAATTATCACCACCACCATCATACTATATTAGTACAACAAATACGTACGTATTACCCAAAAAAAAAAAAAAATACACGAAGCCACTAGTTATCATTTATATTTCTCCCTCTGAGAAATAAGAATCTAACTTTGTTAAACTGAAAAAACAAAAAGAATAATTGGAACTAGTTTTAATTTCCAATATCCTTTTAACGTTTAAGAAGATTCAAGGTGGAGACACGAATAAATATATATATATATATATATATATATATATATATATATAAAAGGGGAAAGAAAATTAACAAACATAATAAAGAGGGGATCGAGGGGTTGAATAATGAATTTGAATTTTGTGGTTCAAAGTATAACAATTTGGTGTTCAAGTTCAATGTAAGTCTGATGAGCTGGGTTTGACGATACAATTACGTAAGTTCCAGATGACATAGACGACCCTCCATCTCTAAATATATCCATCTCCCCCTTTGTAGAATTCAGCGAGAACATGAGTATACAACCATTTGTAGAATAAAGTGAACGAGGCCGAATAGTATATAAAACTGCGTTTTGGAAATAGATACATACAATCACAATAATTTTTCATAAATAAGGGACTATTTGAAAGGGGATGTTGTTTTTCATTTTTCATTGGAGGGGAATTGTCTTAATATAAGTAAATAGTTGCATGCTACATACTAATTTATACCAAACTCATCATTTTGATTTCTGAGATCTCAAAGTCCTATGTTACATCGATAGTTCTCCATTCCAAGTAGTGTCACATTTCAAAGGCATATTTTCCTATTTTCAGTAAGCAAATATAATTTTTAAAAAAATGATAATGATGTGCAGTCTAATCATAAGTCGACGCCTCTCCTATTTCCAATAAGTCACTGGTCTAAATAGGGAATCACTGTTGATCTCTTTTTCAAAAAATGTACTCCCTCCGTCCCATAATTATTGTCCAATTTTACTAAAATGAAAGATTTTATTTTTTGTTAAACTTAACTATATTTTACCTTAAACAACCGGATATACCCTTACATAAGTAATTGTTTAACCACTAAGATTTTATGGATAATGTTTTTTACTAAGGACAAATGTGTAACTTGATCCATAAAAAGTCAAATTAGACAATAATTTTGTGACAAAATTTTTTGGGCAAAATGGACAATAATTATGGATCGGAGGGAGTATATAATTTTTTAAAAATTCTAAGTTACTGTTAACTAAATTGTTGAATCAATGATACATTTTGATATGAATGAGAAAGAGAGTTTCATCGTTTTGATGTCCTAAAAGAGTCGGATATTTACACAAGTACATTATGGAAATATGCAGCTAGTAAGAAATGTTGCTTTTTATTTTTTTTCCCAAATTACAATTTTGTATAGTCTAGACTCTCTAGTTCGGAGTCTTCTGACGGGGGGTGATGTAAAAAGGCTAGAACTAGAATCAAGATGTAAGAACATCAGCAACACGGTATGCTGATGTCAATCATACTTTTGGTCCTTTTTGGACACAATTTTTTTTCTGTACTAAACAAACTCCCTGCGTCTCAAGCAAACTCATATATTTGTGGGGACAGATGTGCCGCCAACCATACTTTTTCTTCCCCCTTTGACCCCTTCAATTTAAATACAGATTCTTTTAATATTAGTAGTTAGTTATCATTTGATTTCCCCTGAATTTCTCTCTCTTTTCTGATGTTTTCATGTCCCCCCCTTCCTCTCCCTATAAATATCCATTCACAATCATACTTTTTCTTCCATTCCATGTTTTGAACACTTTTTGTTTCAGGTTCTGTAATAGCTACAACAAAAAAACTAAAACTTTAGACTAAAAATCCCAAAAACATAAAACATCATGTCAAATGGAAATGGTACTGTTTTCCAGGTCCCTCGTCCTGTGGTCAGAAAATTTCTTGCCAGGCCTCAGCCTGAAGGACTTGGAGCCACTGTTAGAAGAAGCATTGGAAGGTTTGTGTTAACGGGTTTTTGATTCCACATCTTTTTATTCATTTAATGTGAATGATCAGTAATCAGTTTGAGCTAGCTGTTTGGCTAAAACAGAAAGATTCATTCTTTGGTTCATTTCCTCAGGTTTGAGCTCAAGTATTTTGATCCCTTCCTTGCTTTAGATGAATTCTCAGGTGAGTAACTGCTTGTGGCTAGTGTTTCTTAATACCATTCTTTGGTTCTGTTATCCTTGATTTGATGATGTTGTTGATCGTTTGTTTATTGGTGTGGTTTGCAACTCTGCAGTCTCTGCTCCAGCTGGATTTCCTGATCACCCTCATAGAGGTTTGTTATAAAAGTTCTCAAAGTTTTGCAAGGGTTATAGATGGCTTACTGATTCTTTTTCTTCTGATGTTTCAGGGTTTGAAACAGTCACATACATGTTGCAGGTACAGCTTCTTCCTCTGTAGTACTTGCTGTTGAAGTCTTGTTCACTTTGCAGATGTTACAATTAGATGAATTTTTGAGGCTTGTATGAACTGTATAAATAGAATTAAGTTATACAGTCGCTTTTCGCACTCCCACATTTTCACTTTAAGGAAGTTAGAACCTTTAAAGATTGTGATTGATTAGAACTGAGAAGATTGCATGTTGTATTGGTAACCAGCATGTAACAGTAAGAATTGATTTTGAAATTCAAGATTTTTCTTGAAAAATTTTGTTGCAGTTACAGTAGCTGATTTCTTTGTAGAAATGTTTTCGACAATAAACTCCGAATGCATTCACAAATGTGGGGAGCAGTAGGCATCATAAGCTCTGCTCACTTGTTTATTCTGCTTAGAAAGTTATCATTTCTTCAATCATCAAAGCCATATTCCCTGATTATTATGCTGAGAATTTTTCTGGCTTGTTTCCAAACCAGGGTGCTGTTATGCATGAAGATTTTGAGGGTCATAAAGGCACAATCAAAGAAGGAGATTTGCAGTGGATGACTGCAGGAAGAGGAATAGTTCATTCAGAAATGCCAGCAGCTCAGGGAACTCAAAGAGGTTTGCAGTTGTGGATTAACCTCTCCTCCACAAACAAGATGTAAGTGTGAAAAGCATCATTCTTTTAGTACATAAAAAGTCGCTTCAATGTTCATAATCAGCTACCCTATACATGAACAACTAGCTGGAATGATAATCAAACTTTACAGATGTGAAATTCACATGCATTCCTCTCTCAAGACATGATGATTTTTACAAGCATTAGTGCCATTACGGACCTTGTAATTTTGAGTCCACACTGGAAAGATACATTTTTTAAAATATTGAAAATCATGGGGCCTAAAGAGGTAGGAAGTAGGAATCCACTTGCACTTTTAGAAAGTACATATGTTCACCTTTGTTTTTTATTCCCCCTCTTGATATTTTTGAATGGTAGGAACCCGGAATCCTTGAAAGTAGAATTATTGAAGAGCTGCTTATCCTTGTTGTTGTAGAATTAAAACCTTAATGGACTCTGTTTTCACCTGATCAGGATTGAGCCAAGGTACCAAGAACTAATGAGCAAGGACATTGAAGAGGTTACAAGAGATGGAGTCAGAGTCAAAGTGATAGCAGGGGAATCCATGGGAATCAAGTCACAAGTCTACACAATAACACCAACCATGTTCTTGGATTTCACTCTAAAACCAGGAGCTCATCTTCAACAATTCATCCCACCCTCATGGAATGCATTTGTGTACACACTAGAAGGGGAAGGCGTATTCGGCGGCAACTCGAAAACGGCCTCTTCCTCAGCTGTAATAACACCTCATCATCTTCTACTCTTAGGCTCAGGTGGTGATGGACTTGAGGCATGGAACAAGTCATCATCATCAAAGCCCCTTAGGTTTGTATTAGTTGGAGGTCAGCCATTAGGTGAACCAGTGGCACAAATGGGGCCATTTGTGATGAACACTCAAGAAGAGATTGACCAAACTATTGAAGATTATGACAACTGTGTAAACGGATTTGAGAATGCAAGGCATTGGAGATCTGAAGCAAGGAGACTTTATTATGATTATTGAAGGAGAAAAATCATAATTATTATTCTTTAGTTTTCAAGTTAAGTAATGATCAGATCGGAAACACAAAGAAATGACACACTATTCAGATGTAATCATGATGCACTTCATTATTTCACATGTAAATTGTGGTCTTTTGGATGTCTTGATAAATGAAAGCATCATCAGCAAATGTTTTTTCAGTTGTTCCGTCTTTCACATATTCACCAAATTTTCATTCCCGACCATAACCTGCAAATACCTTCAATGATCCCTATCAGTTTTTCATGTTTCTTTTTCACTTTCAAGTTTCAATTACCAAGAATTGCATTTATATCTTTCCGCCAAAATTTCCATCTTTTTCTTTTCTCTCTTTTTTATTTAAAAAAAAATAGCTGGAATCCACAAGTAGTAACTTCTAACAAGCCTACTTTTGGGCTAGTTGGCTTGGATATCTTATGAACTACATTAACCAATATTACACACATTCCCTATACCAAAAAAATATACTACACATTCTCTAGCATTTACTACTCTAATCATTTCAACTGCCTAACTTGTGGGATTGTGCGGCCAACTCTTTTTTTTTTTTATATTGTTATCTCATTCTAGCTGTTAAAACACCTCTCAAACACAAAACTCAATACTATCCAAATAATTTTTAAATTAACTTTTTTAAAAGGGACAAAACACACTTTTGGTCCGCCAGCTATTAGAGGTAGCAAGTTCGAATCACCATGAATTTTTAATTGGTAAAAATAGTCCCCTAAAATATTTTTATCATCAATTTTGGTCAATTTAACAGAATTTTTTTAAATTTAACGGGCCAACCATTCTTTCTGTTAAGTTTTTAATTTTTTATTAATTTCTAAAGCGATAGGACCCACTAGTTTGACCCTAATACTTTTTTTTATTTTTCATTTTTATTAAAATTTAATATACTTAAAAAATGACTTATGCGGAGCCCATAAGAAAGAAGAAGGGGAGACCGGATAAACTGTGGAAGCAGAAGGATAAGTAGTAGAAGCAGAAGGAGATGACTTCATAGGTCTACGACCCGAAGAACACGAATGAGTCATGTGACCATAGCCATAACAATTGAAGCACTGAACCAATTCAGTAATAAAGGCAGGCGGATGAAACGATGAAGTAAAAGATTTCATCGTCAGAACCGAACAAAATCGGTTGAACCGAACCAAATCGGGTTGAACCAAGAGAAATAGAACAGAATTTAGAACCAGATGACAAATCAGCAGCCAATAATTTGCAACGATGGTGATGATAAACGGCGGCACGAACAATCAGCAGCAAGAAAGAGAGAAAGGGCCGCAACGGCAAACAAGGCGAAGCAAGATATCAATTATCAAATCAACGCGGCAGCGAAGCAGCGGTGACGACAAACAACCAACGCAACAAACAGCAAAGCAACGAAGCAGCAACGGCAAAGAAGGAATGACAGCAACGAGAAGAGCAGCATGTGAAGAGTAGAACAACAACGAAGCAATCTGAGAAACAGGCTAAGAAGAATAGTGGAGTCCAACGGATGAACAGCAGGAACTAAGCAACACGACAACAACGTGAATAGAGGAGCATCAGCACCAAAGATAGAACGGCAAAGGAGAGGCGGCGGCGGCGAGAAGAAGCAGACAGCAGCGGCGCACCAAAAGCTTTAGAATGGAGGTCGAAAACAAACCACGACCAAGAGAGAACACCGGCGATGGAGACAAAAAGGGGAAAAAGAAAAGAAAAATTACGAGCCGAAGTAGAATAAAGAAGTAAACGGTGGCAGCAACAAACCCTAAAACAAAATGAACGGCCCATGAATAGGACTGATACCATAAAAGTGTTACAACCCTTGAATTGTTGTATTGATACATTAAGTATATATAGTGCAATTACATATCCATAATTACAATAATAACCTTATATCTATATACACTAACACCCGCGCCTAACTCAGTTCTACAGCTTCAATGTCTGCTCGAAATAGGTAGTGAAATACCCAGCAGACGTGCGCAACCACCCTGAAACCTTAGACTTCCTCTCTACCTCAATTTCAAATGTTCTACCTTGTGAATCAAACTTGGATCGTTGTTCCAAATAAAACTCTAGTATGCTAGAATCTATTCCGGCCTTGACTTTGTTGGAGTTGGCATCCAACCAGAGGTGCAAATTAGCATCCAAAAGCCAAAATGAGTTGCCATCGACCGCTTCAAATGAGAAAGAATACGACGCTCCATCAGGAATGAGGCCTAAAAAATTTGTCAATTCAAGATCATAGGAAGGAAGATCAAATGCTCCGATCCCTACAAAAGGCTCCTAGAGCTTATGATCAATTCCACCTGTAAATATCAAGTCGCAAGTCTACACAAGAACACCAACCATGTTCTTGGATTTCACTCTAAAACCAGGAGCTCATCTTCAACAATTCATCCCACCGTCATGGAATGCATTTGTATACACACTTGAAAGGGGGCGTATTCGGTGGCCACTCGAAAAATGGCCTCTTCCTCAACTGTAATAACACCTCATCACACTACAACAAACATGGGCTATTAATACCTTTGGGACACTTTTTCTAAAATGTGTCTCATTATATGCGTATTACGACATTTGCTAAAAAGTATCTTATTAAAAATGAAAAAATATATGTATATTATGAAACATTATCATAAGTGTATTATGTGAGGTTGCTTGTGAACTATTACTCTACTTAATGAGTCACTTTAAAGTGTCTTAATAAGTGACAATCTAATAATATACTTTCAAATGTTTTATGACTTATTGTGACTCGATTATAGGAAACAATATTTAGTAGTGTTCCACACAATGTGAATCACATGTGTCCTATTACACCACTTATTGAGACACAAAAAAGTGTCTAAACTACCCATTTTTGTTGTAGTGTCATCTTCTACTCTTAGGCTCAGGTGTAGATGGACTTGAGGCATGGAACAAGTCATCATCATCAAAGCCCCTTAGGTTTGTATTAATTGGAGGTCGGCCATTAGGTGAAGCAGTGGCACAAATGGGGCCATTTGTGATGAGCACTCAAGAAGAGATTGACCAAACTATTGAAGATTATGAGAACTGTGTAAATGGATTCGAGAATGCAAGGCATTGGAGATCTGAAACAAGAAGACTTTATTATGATTATTGAAGGGGAAAGACCATAATTATTTCTTTAGTTTTCAAGTTAAGTAATGATCAGATCGGAAAACATAGAGATGACACACACACTATTCAAATGTAATCATGATGCACTTCATTATTTCACATGTAAATTATGGATGTCTTGATAAATGAAAGCATCATCAACAATTGTTTTTTCATTTGTTCGTCTTTCACATATTCATAAAAATTCCATCCCCGAGTGCCGACCATAAACTACAAATAGTCAAATACCTTCAATGATCCTTATCAGTGTTTCATGTTTCTTTTTCACCTTCATTTGCCAAGACCCAAGAATTGCTTTTATCACCGACAGGTGAAGTGTCGTCGGAGGCATAATAAAATTGTCTCTTTACTTGATGATGAGGGTCGTTTAGTTTCTAATGAGGAAGAGCTTCGTTTGATGGCCGTGAAGTATTTTGAAAAAATATATGAAGCTCCGCAAAATAGAAGGGTTGACATACAAATCCCAGGGTCCTTCCTGGTGGTGTGGAAACGACTAGAATGCAGATTATGGACCGTGCGGTATTTGATGTGGAAATATTTCAAGCCTTAAAATCTATGGCTCCCCTCAAAGCCCCTGGTATTGACGGGCTGCATGCTCTATTTTTTTCAAAAAAAAAAATGGAGCATAGTGGGTAGCTCAGTTTGTGAAATGATCAAGAGTGTGTGGGATGGAGCTCCAATGCCAACTGGTTCAAATAAGACTTTGATCGTTCTCATCCCAAAGGTTGAGTCCCCGACCACAATTAAGCAATTTCGCCCGATTAGCTTGTTAAATGTGGCATATAAATTGATGACGAAGTTACTTGCGGAGAGAATGAAGGCGGTGTTACCACAATTAATTAATCCGGCGCAGGCAAGCTTTGTTGCGGGACGACAAATTACGGATAATGTTGTGGTGGCTCAAGAACTAATCCATTCAATGCGAAACATGACGGGGAGGCATGGCTACGTGGTGGTTAAGGTGGGTCTTGAAAAAGCCTATGATTACTTGAGCTGGGAGTTCATTAAAGATACATTGGAGCTGGCCAAGTTTCCAAGTAATTTTGTTAAGACGGTGATGAAATGTGTCTCTTCGGCGTCCATGCAGCTTCAATGGAATGGCATGGCTTGCGATGAATTTCTACCCTCAAGGGGAGTTCGCCAAGGTGACCCGATTTTCCCGTATATGTTTGTGATGTGTATTGAGAGGTTGGCGCATATGATTGATGGTGTGGTGAAAAACAAACAGTGGCGTCCAATCACTTTGCGTCGGGGTGCGGTTCAGGTTCCATATTTGATGTTTGCCGATGATTTACTACTTTTCATCGAGGCATCGAATGATCAAGCAGCGATTCTAGGCTCAACCCTTCAAAAATTTTGCGATGCATCTGGACTGAAAATAAGTGCAAGCAAGACACAAGTTGTCTTTTCGAAGAATGTCGATGGCGATGTTAGGGAGGCTCTATCAGTTGCAATGGGATTTACGGCAGTGTCAGCCCTTGGTAAATACCTTGGTATGCCTCTCATCCATGGCCGTATTAACAAGTATACTTACGCCAATATTGTTTAGAGAGTTGAATCGCGATTGGCGGGGTGGAAAGCGTCGTCTCTCTCCATGGCGGGACGGGTAGTACTAGCTCAATCAACATTAAGTTGCTTGCCTTACTACTCCATGCAGTCGACTTGGCTGCCAACATCAGTGTGCGAAGGAGTGGAGCGAAAATGCCGAAATTTTATTTGGGGGTCAACGGAGAATAATCGCAAAATGCACTCGGTGTCTTGGTCTGAGGTTTGTTTACCTAAGGAGGACGGAGGTCTTGGGATGAAGAAGCAACGCTGTATGAATATGGCGTTCCTGATGAAATTGGGATGGGGCTTGCTCACGAAACCGGATGCACTCTGGTTTCGAGTTTTGAAAGCCAAATATGGCCGAAACCTGAAGAGATGACAGCAGATTACATCTTTCCTAGAGGCTCAGTGAATGTAAGATCTCTTAAGGGCGTATGGAGGCATGTTGTGGAGGGTGTTCGCTGGTCGATAGGGAATGGAGGTCGGGCAAGATTCTGGTGGGATCGTTGGCTTCATTCAGCCGAACCGCTTGTCAATCTGGTGAATGGTGCGATCCCGGAGGTTGATTTGTTTGCGACGGTGGCTCGGTACGTGGATGACAATGGTGCATGGAAATGGAGTGAATTTCAGCACCTTCTGCCTGCTACAGCGTTGATGCGTATTGCTGCGGTTATGGCACCGAGACCGGAGCTCGGAGATGACAGAATTTATTGGGGAATTTCAGAGGATGGGAGCTTCACTGTCTAGTCTGCTTACCGTTCTCTGAACTCTCATTCGGCCACAGGAGATCGGCGGTTGTGGAAGGCAATATGGAAATGGGTCGGTACGCAGCGAATTCGACAGTTTCTTTGGTTGGCAACTCGTGGCAAGTTGTTGACGAACTCGGAACATTGCCGGCGACATGTTGCGGATTCCCGGCCTGTGATCGTTGTGGTGCAGCTCAAGAAACGGTCTTACATGTGCTACGTGATTGTCATGATGCGGTGAAAGTTTGGTCTGATTTTGTCCCGATTGCATGGCGATCTCGTTTTTTCTCCTTGACGTTAGAAGACTGGATTTGGGCCAACTTACTCAACCAGATTGGTATTGATGTGGCAAACTGGGAGTGTGTGTTTGGAGTGACTTTGTGGAGGATTTGGTCTTGGCGGAATGCTATGATTTTTGAAGGAAAAGCGGTGGGCTCATGACATTGTTGGTTATGTGGAGTGTGTGAAGCAAGGCTTTGAAAATGAAAAGAAGATAGGTGGCACTGGAATGCGAGTTAACCGAATGATTCATAAGACTCGTCCGCCGTCGGAGTGGCTTAAAGTGAATTCCGACGGTAGTTTCATTCAGAGTTCTGGATTGGCTAGTGCTGGTGGGGTAGCTCGGGATTGCGATGGACGATGGTTGGGAGGGTTAGCAATGAATATAGGGTTTTGTATGATTACAGGTGCGGAATTGTGGAGATTGTTTCAAGCTTTAACACTAACATGGGCCATTGGAGCTAAGAAAGTTATTGCTGAAGTCGATAATCAAAGTATCATTGCTGTGGTTACGGGAGATGAGGACTATGTGGGGATTAATGGAGGCATCATTTGAGGAGTTCACGAGTTGATGGCCCTTGAGTGGGAGGTTCTCTTCAACACGAGTTCCGTGAAGTAAATTTTGTAGCGGACTATCTGGCTTTTTGGGCGACAGATGGATCGAGTGGTTTGTTTTGGCTTGAATATCCTCTACCAGGGTCAAACCATGGTTAGAACATGACATTATTGGGGTATCATATTCTAGGATTGTAACGACCTAGTACTTTTAGATTTTTGCCTCATTTTCTATTCCAAAAAATAACGTACGCGATTTTTCAGTCAAAATTTCCGTCTTTTTTTTTCTTTTTTTCCTTTAATAGCTGGAATCCAACAGAGAAAATCTTTCATACAGCTACTACATATAGAGAGGACAATGTTGTAATTTTACTAGAAAAGTTTACCACAAAATTAGATATTTTATTATATAATGGATTGTTATTGTACTAGAAAAGGGAATACACTTTGTTGTATAGAATAATTTTTCATACTAACGAACCTGATTTTGGGCTACTTGGCTTGGATATGTTCCAAACTACATTCATGATCCATCCCATTGTAAGCCAGTACTAACCATATACCACATTCTCTAGCATTTACTACTACAATATATTTATTTCCACCTGCCTAATTCGGGGAATACACGTTGGTCCTCAAAGAAGGCAATTTACTTTAGATTTTGAGATGGAAATTCTTCTTTCTCTTTTTTTTTTTAATATTCCCTTCATCCTAAAATTATTATGCAGTTTAGAGTTTTATTTTAATACAAATTGAACTGAAAGTGAAAATCTAAACTAGACACTAATTTTAGAACATAAGTAGTACTAGTTTTGAAGGTATTTGGAAGGTATTTGAAGGTACTACTAGAACATAAGTAGTACTAATTTTAGAACATAAGTAGTACTAGTTTTGAAGGTATTTGGAATGGGATATTGAATCCCTATTGGACAAGTAACACCATCTATTCTATCATTTTGATGAAAGTCTCTCTAATTGCCTAATTGGTGTTATACGTTTAGCTAAAAATTTACTCTTTTTGGTCCCATACAGTGGATTAAAACAGTTTACAGATTACGTAGTGGACAATAATGCTTGACATTCGCTTTATATAGTTTGTAGTGGATTAAAAAGACCCTTTCTAACGGAGAACCAAAAAATATTTTTGGCCAAATGTGCCTTTTGCCTACTCTTTTATCCTCGCTATTCATGTTTAGATTTCCATTAAACATAATGTTGTGTCAAAAAACCAAAATCCAATGTCAAATTCACAAACAACAAAAAGGGTCCCTAATCTGATCTCCACATTTAATAGTTTCAAGTTTCAAGATCATCCAATCACGCGCGACCCACCACCTACCATTCCAAAAATTGACAAAACGTTAATTTCAAGGGTAAAGAAAATAATACAGCTATCACCCAAATCCGGTAATGATCTAATCCCAGTAGAAGTTTTCTATCTTTAGGATATTGTTTCTGCCAAATATTAAATTCCACATTACAAATAAAGTATATGAACAAAATACACTTGGAAACCTCCCAAACAAATACTTGAAAATTGAAATCTCCCACATAATGACAGCTTTGAATAAACAAAAGCCTTTTTGGCTCAGATCCAGACAGATACTGTTATGTTTTTCTTGTTTTTTTTTTCTTTTTTTCCTCCTAGGAATTGAATCTGTGGGACAGGGTCTCAGGTGATCTTTTTCCCTGACTTGTCTTTTGCCCGAATCAGAGTTTCGTCTTCTGTGACTATATATCATGTGTATAAAATAATCTCAGTCGACATTCATAAATACCAATGTACTCTACGAATTGACTAAAGTGCTTCCGAATTAAATGGTATTTAAAGCTATACCACAAAAAGGAAACAAAAAGGCAAAAGAGATGAATGATGTAATCTGAGAAGTAAAGAACAAGTTCCAGTTCTATGATTTATGTTGCCCAAGTCCGAAGCAAAAACCCAATCTTTGTAACTATTTTGATTTTGATTTGATGTCAATGGGGGATTGCCGGGTTGGGTTCTGAGTTTCGGTCTTATTCTGATCAGCGGTCAAGGCCAATTCTTCGTCCTTTTTGACGGTATATATGGCTTTTCTTTTTCTTTTAAAAAAAAAAAAGTGATAGAAAATAAACACGCACACACACACAAGAGAATTTCGGGAGGGATATAATTTTAACACGAGGGATGATGACAAAGGAGTTGATGACAATGAACACCAAAAACCTGAAAATATTGCTTTCCCTCTTCGTTCTTAACTCCGTCACCCTTTACCTTTATTTCTTCTTCTGCCCCGATCACATCCTTTACAAACTGACGGAGAGTCGGGTTCCGGCCCAGTCTTCCGGCGCCGTTGATTCCAAACCATGGCCGATTCTGCAGTCCTACATGCCTTGGTCGGACAACAAAAACGCACCTTTAGGGTCTTGCGAGGCTTATTTCGGTAATGGGTTTACTACCCGAGTCGATGCACTCAATGTGTCGTCATCGGGTTCTCATCGGAAATTTAACTCCGCCCGACGACGACGAGGAGGGTGGTTCAGGTGCTTTTACAGTGGTACTTTACAGAGTTCTGTGTGTGAAGGAGGAAGAATCCGGATGAATGTGGATAGGATTAATATGTCTGGAGGTGGGGAGGAGTTGGCGGCGGTCATCGGAAGACGAGAGGAGGAGGAATTGCCGGAATTCGAGGACGGAGCTTTTGAGATTGAGGTTTTGGAGACGTCCAGAACTGGGGAGAAGCTCGTGGATGATGTTTTCTTAGAGAATTATGTTCCTGATGGGGCCATTGATAGGCATACCATGCGTGCATTGATCGATTCCATCCGTTTAGTTGGTTCTAATGAGTTTGAATGTTCTGAGGTTAGCAAATTTTGATGTTTTACAATGTTGGGGTTTTTTTACATTGTGCCAAAAGTTCTTCCTTTTTTCAATTAATTTCTTGATGGAAAACATTTTTTTTTATTGTTTCTGTGTTTTACACTGGTGTATGATTCAGATTATCATCCTGTAGATGAACTCATTAACTCTGTATCTCCAATCTCCTGCCAATCAATTTACATGGTTTGCCTGTTTTGAAATGTAGCAGTAAATGTTGGTGGGGGTAAAAACTGGATATTTATGGGGTTCTGTTACATTGTTTATATCGGCAGATCAGGTTTATGATGAAATGTACCATCATGTGTCAACAAATGTAACTTGTTTTCAGTTTTTGTGTTCCAAATAAGCCATCCATATGGTTGAAAATTGAAATTCTCTCGGTATGGCGAATTTGCAATGTGCAACGTATTTTACTTCACGCTCTCATTGTAGTTTCTGAACTCCTCATTTTGATAGCTTTCTGTTTCTTATTTCAGTGGGTTGAGGAGCCAACGCTGCTGGTTACGCGCTTCGAGTATGCAAACATTTTTCATACTGTTACAGATTGGTATAGTGCATATGTGGCTTCTAGAGTTACTGGATTGCCTCGTCGGCCTCATTTAGTTTTCTTGGATGGCCACTGCGAAGTAAGTACATCACAAATTCATGTATTCTTATTTTTGATGATGCGGGACAATTTTTGAAACTCAGTTTGCATTTCACTTGGTTGCATTTATTGGCATGAGCAGCGCGTCGATCCCATCTTTTATTTGGATGGATCCTATGAATCTGTGGTGTTCTGTGGCGGTTTTTGATGCAGCTATGTACTTAAACTGCGTTTTTACTCTGTTGGAGGATCACATTGTTGGTGTTGTCAGTAGTTCAACTAGTAATCTGTTAATTATGATCACATTGTTGGTCTTGCCTAAGAGATGTAACTACTCTGAGACAACATTGCCTGATATCTTTTCTTTCTGCAAAATTTGTCAGACACCCTTGGAAGAGACATGGAAAGCTCTGTTTTCTAGCCTAAGATATGCTAAAAGCTTTACTGGACATGTCTGTTTTCGCCATGCTATACTCGCACCTTTGGGATACGAAACACCATTGTTCAAGGGACTATCTGAAGACATAGATTGTTATGGTACTTCTGCGAATGAGTTACGGCAGCACCCTAATGACAAAACAACTGCTCGGTTGTCTGAATTTGGGGAGATGATTAGGGCAGCATTTGGTTTTCCAGTGAATAATCATCTTCCTGAAAAGCCTGCCTCGGAACATAATATCCTATTTGTTAGACGCGAGGATTATCTTGCTCATCCACGACATGGTGGTAAGGTACAATCAAGGCTTAACAATGAACAGGAAGTGTTTGATTCTATCCAGAAGTGGGCATCAAACTATTGGAAATGTAAATTGAACATAGTGAATGGATTATTGGCTCATATGTCGATGAAAGAGCAAATCCGAGCGATTCAAGATGCTTCAGTTATTTCAGGTGCTCATGGGGCAGGTCTAACTCACACAATTGCCGCCACTCCAGAAGCTGTTGTGTTTGAAATCGTTAGTAGCGAATTCAGGCGTCCGCATTTTGCGTTGATCGCCAAATGGAAAGGGTTGGAGTACCATGCCCTTTACTTGGAAGGTGCAGATGCAGACCCTCAAAAGGTGATTGATGAACTCAGCATCATCCTAAGAAATCTTGGATGTTAACTTAGTTTTTTAACCATTTAGAAGAAGAAAAATACCCTGAAAACCTGCAAGTCATCTGATATGGATCTTAGTGTGACCAAAATAGCTAATTGTTTCAAGAACAAGGATTGATTGAGTACAAATGATCATCAGCTTAGGAGGAAACCTGGTTGGATTCCATGGAATTTATCCTTTTAGTAGAGCAGCAAGAAGCCCATAACTGACCCTTTGGAAATTGAGGATCCCTTGTATAAAACCACCTTTTTATAACTGAAGGCTGGCATTGAACATGTGGTAGAAATTTTTTGTCCACTCCAAGAAAAGGGGAAAAACTGGTGTTCTAACATATTGAGAAAATATATTAGCATAGAGAGACTTAATTTTTGGTTTCTTACTTTGAAAAATGTCAAAAGAATGCTTCTAGAAGTAAGATAATAGAATCAAAAGGTTCAACGATGGCAATTTAAACAGGCTCCACACTTTCTATCATAAGTGATTTCAGTTTTTCCATGACTTCTTTTATTTTATTTTTTTTTTCCATTTCTGTCCCACCATTTTGGTACGACTGACGTGCAAAAAACAATTTAGAGTTTTTTTTTTTTTTCTTTTGGTTACAATAAGAGAGTCATGAACTCATAATAGTGTTAAAAAAAAAAAAAACTCAAATCAACATATTAATGAAAGAATAAATATCCTCATTATATCATGTTATAATCATTGTATAATAACGGAACTCTATAAAGCCTAGGATTGTGGACTTAATGCTGCGGACGAATCAGCTACAAAACTCAACCAACCACTCACTAAGAGCAGCATAAATTTTCCTATCTCTGAAATATATGGTCAGAAAACTTTTGCTATTTCACTGTAACTCGTAATTCCAAGTCTCAACTCAGTTGCACGTCTCCGAATGAATTTCAAAGTTCAATTTAAGAAGAATTTTCTTGAGAATAATAATAGTATTTGACTAAGGTATATATATATATATTTTAAAAAAAAAACATACTACTAATAATCAAGGGTATATACTACATATATAGTACCGGGTCCCATCACCCTAATCGAAAACCCGCGAAAATATAAAGTGGAAGTGGAAAGACAGAGATACAGAGACCGTGACATGGAAGACGCTTCCGCGAGCCGACTAAGAGAAAGCGCGAAAATGACATGCATGCAGAAAGAATATTCACAATCCCAATCCGAGAAATCCATTTTTGATCTCTTGATTTTTAATGAAGGTTATATATTATTACTACTACATAATTGCCTTGCCCACGAAAATGTCCGTAAATAATTGAAACTCCACCAACAACAAATCCTCAAATCAAAAGCATCGAAAATCCTCATACCAAACAGAAATATCGTAAATGGCAATGTTCATTTCCCCTCCTCTTCATGGTCGTTGTCCTCCTCCACCTCCTCCCCAACCCATCTCCTATTTTTCGTTTTCGTTCAATCCTAATTGAGCGATTTCGTCGTTGACGATCACATGCCGATTCAGGTGGCAAATCCATCACCGGCCCCGCAAGGACATCATCATCAGAGGAGGAGGGGAGCTTTTGGGGGGCCGATGACGATGAACCACCACCATACTTCTTCTAAGAAATCCGATAAGCCTGCTTGCGGCGACTCGACCTTGAATCTGAAGAATGTCTTCTTGAGAGCCATGCGGCATAAGCTTTTCAAATCCAAGAAATCTAGGCCCAAAACCCCCGTTGATCTTGTTTCCCACACCACCTCATTGCTTTCTTACCTCAATTCCGCTTCATATTATCCTACCACCGGCCACAAGCATACGGGAAAGGTATTCATCCCATCATCTCCTGTTTATATCCTTTCTCAAAACTTTGATCTTTTTTTTTTCTTTTCTTTTTTTCCTTGATCGGATTGTGGGACAGAGTGTTGGGTTCATTTCTATTTGGGTCAATTTTGGCTCTTGTGTGATCAGATACATTGCTGCAGTTTTACTGTTTGTGATTATGCGCTCTTCAGGGGTGTTATTCTTGCTTTTCAGATAAATCACCCACATTGGAATTTTTGTTCTTTTTACCCTTTATATATCCCTTTTATACTAAATGTAGCATTGTTTGGATGACTCGTGAGATGAAGAGCTTTTACTATGCCTATTTTGCGTTTAGGAGATAACATGCTTTAGGCTTGTGATGGGGCCGTATATTGTGTCATCTGGCCCCTTAGACCCCAACTTGATTGGGAGTATAACTGGATAAAAAATTGTAGAAAAACTCAAACACTGGTTATATTTTGGGGAAGGAGACGCAAGCAATGATATCGATTTGTTGACAAAGTTGGTGTTGCTAACTATATCTCTTGATGATGTTTAAAATCTGACCTCTTGTACAATGTATCTTTGATCTGTTGATTTCCGAACTTATTTTTACAATCTTGATGCTAGAGTGTAGTTTTATCTTATGACAAACAGATAGCAGAATTAGATGTGCTCATGAGGGAGTTGAAAATAATTCTTTATGGTAATGGTGAATCTGAGCCAACTGCTGAAGCATGCGCACAACTGACCCAACAGTTCTTCAAGGACAATACATTACGCCTCCTCATCATTTGCCTTCCACAATTGAACTTGGAGGTGAGCCATAATATAAATTTGGTATGACTGATTGTCACAGGATTCAATTTCATTTCTTTGTTTTGCACCTCCTCATCATTTGTCTTCTAAAATTGCATTTGGAAGTGAGCTCATAATGAACGTTTGGTAAGATTGATTACAATAGGATTCAATCTCAATTGTTTTGTTTAAGTTTTCTTCTTTTCTTTTTTTTTTTTTTTTTCTCTTTTTCACTTATATGAGTACTACATCAGCTGATTATTTGTGTTATTGCACATTTATTTTTGTAGGCTCGTAAAGACGCCACCCAAGTTGTTGCAAATTTGCAAAGGCAACCCGTCAACTCACGTTTGATCGCATGTGATTACTTGGAATCCAACTTGGATCTTATGGATCTTTTGATATGTGGGTGCGTGTTTATATAATTTCAACTCTAGTTGTCTTTCGCTACAGATTTTTTAGTTTTTCCTAAAAATGATCTTATTATCATATCAGATTGCACATTGAACTCCATGTTATATTGTATTCATTTTGAAGATACTTCCTTAGCATCAGTTCTAATTTTACAGTTACGAAGATCCAGCAATGGCTTTGCATTATGGAGGAATGCTGAGGGAATGTATTCGCCATCAGACGGTTGCGAGGTAATAAGATCTTAGAGAGGCACTAGCTATTAGAGCTATGAGAATTTTGCTATATGTCTTTGATGAGTAGCTCCTTACAACCTCGTTTACTGTATGAAAGGTATGTTTTGAAATCAGTGCACATGAAGAAGTTTTTTGACTATATACAACTTCCGAGTTTTGACGTTGCTGCAGATGCCATAGCTACTTTCAAGGTTAGTATTTCTTTGTTTTTGTTTCTTGTTTTTCTCGTGATGCTCCCTTCTATTGTCAATCAAAAGGTATTCCATTCCGTTAAGTAGAAATCTACTCATTGAGATGATTTATACCTGGCACCTTTTTGCTTTGTTTTCAGCTTCACGAGATTTATTAACTTCGTACATATTGCAGGAGCTCATGACCAGGCACAAGTCCACGGTTTCAGATTTTCTCACTGACAATTATGATTGGGTCCGTTGTTTTGTCACAGTTCGTCACTAGTAATTTTAGCAACTGTAACAAACTGTGTAGTGTAATAGTGCATGCAATGTACCTAGCAATACTTATTTTTTTTGTCAGGTTCTTAAGTTTCACCATTTACGATATCTTATAACTAATGGTAATGTAGCCTTCCCTTTTGTCCATTTCATTCTTCAGTTTTTTGTGGAATTCAACTCGAAATTGTTGCAATCTCCAAATTATATCACCAGAAGACAGGCTACAAAGGTATGCAAATCTGGTATTCCCTATGTTATGTTTTGAATATAAAATATTTCTTGTGGAGATCGCTGGTTTGAATCTAAGAAGCTACTTTGGTAATGAAAAATCGGAAAAAAGCCTACCCTTTTGTGGTTTTTAATGCCAAAGTACAGCTTTGACATGACATGCTTTGGTTGAATTTTTGAGCTACTGTTTCTCTTTCTGCAGCTTTTGGGAGATATTTTGCTTGATCGCTCAAATGTTGCTGTGATGGTACGCTATGTCAGCTCTAAGGACAACCTAAGAATTTTAATGAACCTCCTGAGGGTATGTATGTATGAAACTATATCTAATGCACTAAATGGATTTATTTATCTGAGTTACGACCAGAATGAGAAAAACATGTACTTAAGCAGTGATAATTTGCATTTACTAACACATTTGGTAAGGCGAAATAGATGAACATGCGTATGATGTGTTTCTGATGCACATTACTATTGATGTGCAATATTACTTGCTCGTTCTAGTTGATATCTATTAAAAGCATTAATAAGCTTCTAACTTTGTTAACCATAATGGTTCAGGGAAAAAACTATGCAATATTTTTACATGTTTAGGATTTTCTTAGGAATTGGTGCACTTAAAATTGTTCTCTAATCGTGGCAGGAGTCTAGCAAAAGCATTCAGCTCGATGCTTTTCATGTATTCAAGGTACAATAACAGGCCATATACTCTGATAACCTAATTTTTTTATATCACTGCTTTGACTTGTGTCTTCTTCACTTGGTGCAGCTTTTTGTGGCCAACCAACACAAACCTTCTGACATAACTAATATCCTAGTGGCAAACAGAAGCAAACTTCTACGACTCTTGGCTAGCTTCAAGATAGACAAAGGTAATACATAAATTTTCTACATGCACATTGTATTAGGTTTATTTGGAAATGCAAAAGGTTGCTTTGGGCCTTGGGAGGACAAAACACAGAAGTGTTTTTACTAGATTATCTGATCCCTGCGATTTTGAAACCTAAGCAAGGTTGGTGATTAAAAGGTCCACTTTCTAATTCTGAAATGTGAAATATTGTGCAGAGGATGAATCATTTGAGGCAGACAAAGCTCAGGTTGCAAGGGAAATATCTGAACTCGTAGCCACTGGATCAATTGGCAACTCTGCAGAATTAGCCAATCTTAGTTGCTAAACTCAGTTTGTAACGTAAAGTAACAATTTTCATGGGCGCTGATTAGAAGCTGTTTGTAAATCAAGCTTAAGAGAGATTGATGGTGATTTAAGGTAAACAATCCTAGTTCTAGATTGGCTTAAGCACTTGATCATGATGTGATGCACATACCCTTGATATAAATCAAAGAAAAAAAATATATATTTATGAAGAACTTTTGTACTTTTTGTATCTCTCAAGGAACATAAGTAGGTTTTTTCTTGAAACTTTGATCTCTTAAACTTGCTATATAAACATCAAAAGATGCATAAAATTCAAATACAAGACCATTTTTTTGGACGGAGAAGGGAGGAGAAAAAGAAAATAAATATTCTCTTTGTCCTAAAATTGTTGTTCAATATAGATTTTCATTCTTAGTTCTTGTACTAAAAAAAATAAAATCTAAATTGGACAGTAATTTTGGGTGAAGAAGTAAAAAATAAAGTGATAAACCTGGAGTTATAAAATATATAAATATATATACATATATTTTTAAAAAGTTATCTTTCTGGTCAAAGTTGGCACACAATAAGATCCAGAAAGTCTGTTTTCCCAGTGGTTTTAACTTAATTTGGTTCTTATTCATTGACATTTATCATGTAAATACTACTGTACAAGATTTTCTCCGTCCAAAAATTAGAATTATGTTTTGTTGTGTAGTCAACCCCCTATGATCCGTCCTTTTGAGTGTCTCAATCAACATAAAATTGCAACAAACATAACAGCCATTCAAACTTGGACAAGTGCTTGCAGGTGCGTTCGTTTTTTCTATTAAGACTAATTAAAAAAATTTCCTTTTCTTGGTTGGAATTTGTTAAATTAATTATTAATGACATGAGGCTGTCACAAGTTGCCCCCACAGAACTTAATTAAGATCATCTCTTGTAATTAATTTATTACGGATAACCTTTAATATGTTTGCATTTCTCACATTTTCAGATTTGACACTTCACATAATTGATGATCCAATAATTGTGTAAGGTTGTTTCAAATTCAACCAATAATACTACGGTATGTTACTAGAACGCGCCTTTGGATTGCATCAACAATTGATCCTAAACTGAAAATGATTCCGTTAATAAATACTCCCTCCGTCCCATAATTATTATCCAGTTTTACTAAAATGAAAGATTTTATTTTTTGTCAAACTTAACTATATTTTACCTTAAACAATCGGATATACCCCTACATAAGTAATTGTTAAACCACTAAGATTTTATGGATAATGTTTTTTACTAAGGACAAATGTGTAACTTGATCCATAAAAAGTCAAATTAGACAATAATTTTGGGACAAAATTTTTTGGGCAAAGTGGACAATAATTATGGGACGGAGGGAGTATAATAATCATTTTCAGACAGAAAATATGTACTCCAATTAACGAAGAAAACGGCTGGTGGAGTTCAGTTCATATGTCCATAGTCAATTAATGGACATCAAGGAAAGTTCGGACGAATAAAGATTAATGAATCACTTGATGATGCGTCCCAATAAATATAAAATGGGCCCAGAATTTAATTACGGCAAGTATTTAATTATGAGTCGTATTCTAGCTCGATACCAACTATTCATGCATGAATAACGTGTTTTGAAGGGTGTAATGTTTTTCTCTAAGTCTTTCTCAGAAAGAAATAGGTTCGTGTATGTATTCCTTACGTCTTAAAATGATAATGGGGATTAATATAATTGGAAACCTTTTCTTTTTCAACAAGATATGTATATATATTGTCATCATCGATGATTTGCCTGATATAAATCCACAGAATAAATTAATTAAGAAAAAACATTTTTAACAAAGAAAAACCTGACCTGACATCAATGATAAAAAAAAAAAAAAAAGGTGCTCCAGCATTTTAAAAAGGACGAGTAGGACGAAAGGATATTAGCACTAATATGTGGAATTGAATAAGTTTTAATTGCACAAATTTGGAAAGATCCGGAATCCAATCTGCGTTTACTTGGAAACTTTGAAGTCGGAAGACATCTGGGAACAGAGAAACAAGCTTTTCCACTTCCAGTAAGTTTTTGTAGCCCTTCTTCACAATACCTCTTGGCTATTTGTTCCTTCAACCTTCTTGGCTGTGTTTGGTTAATTCAGTTTGTAAAGAACAACCACACATATTTTGATTGAAGCCCTAAACATTTGAACCCAGAACCCCGGGATTATTATTATTGATATTATGGTTCCTTATCCCTCAACTCAAGAAATTAAAGCAAATTAACGGCCGTTAATTCGGAGGTTTGTTAATTGTTGAAAAATGTGTGATTAATTTCCTTCCGTATTCTCTGTGTCCCTTTACTTCCAATGAACTTTCAGTTAACGAAAGATAGAAGCCTTCAAAAGACATCATCTGGAGATGGACTTCCAAGATCAATATTGACTGATCAAATTCAGAGGTAATTGCTATTAGGGTTTTTTTTTTCCTTCATCGATTTTAATTCAGCTAGAGTAACATTTACCTGTGTATTTAAATTCACATTTATGTAGAGTCGCATCTTTTTTATTTCAATGTTGTAGTAAAAGAGCAACTGGAAATGAAATTTGTGAAAATTTGGAAGGAAGAAGAACCCTGAATCTGGAACCAGCAGGAAGCAAATATGGAAAGTTATCAGGAGCTTCACTTTAATCCTTCCATGGAGGTGAGTTACAATCCCTCTAAATTAAAGTCTTGACAGTTGGGACAGTCAAATAGATCAATAGACCATAAACAAAGAACATTTATTTCTTTGGAATTTGGGGTGTCAAGGATTAATCGGATCCTTTAAGAGTTCATTTATTTTAGTTGTCTATTCAGAGGCTTTAAGGGGAAAAAGGAACCCCCAACAAATTGTTTGGAGGGGTTTTTAGGTTAAATGTGCAAGGGACTTTTGTTCCATATAGTTTGTCTATCATTGCATCTTTCTTAATAAAACAATCATGAAAAGATCACTTTCTCAAATCATTTGTGTTGTTTCTTATGTCACTTGCAAGTAGTTTCTAACATTTATCATCGAGGATTGTAATTAAAACGATTTTATTGTGATATTGGAGAAATGATAACTGAAGTTTAAGTTCGATGGAAATTAAGTACACCAAATTGATCATTACTTCAAGTAGTTTTTTGTTAATCTGTGTTTAGCCCATTTTTTTTCCCACCAAAATTTTGATGATTAAATTCATTTATTATAGGGAATGGCTACCACCACCTTCAACAACCATCATCAGAGTTCGAACTCAATGGAAGACCAAGACACTGAATATACAGCTCCTCCTTTTTTCTCTTCATTCACATCTTATGATCCTCATTCATCCGGTGCACCCATTCAAATTCCTCAGTTTAACACAAATGTTGCCCGAACTAGTCATCCATATAGCAATAATTTGGTCAGCCCTTTAAATCAAAATCCTCCACCAACGACCTTTTCATCCCCTAAAATTATCTCTTTTGGAATCGAAACATCAACTAAAAAGGAAGAGATTAGCTACAACCTCAGTTCAGCATGCACAAATCAAAGGGCCTTTTTTCCATGTGATCATCAAGACATGAAATTCCATGAGATCATGCATGGAAATTGTAATGTTTATTTGTTAGAAAACGAGGGTGAAGGATACAATGTTGGGAAAAATCGAGTCTTGAAGAGAAGCCGCGAGCAGGCAACGTACCATGCTGCGACAGAAAGAAAGCGTAGGGTAGCACTGAGGGAGCGGTTCATTGCACTTTCAAAGATTGTCCCTGGCATCAGGAAGGTTAGTTTCTTGGGGCATTACTTATTAATTTCTTAGTTTCTCTCTTTAAATTTGATGACGTATTCGCCTAAAATGATTATTCGATTTGTGTTTACTTTTAATATACAGTTGCGTCAAAAATAAAAATTCAACTTGGATAATTATTTTAGGATGAAATGAATACAATTTTTAGCATCCATTGACCATTTCTTGATGTGTTTTTATACGTTGCACAAACCATTTCTAATTAACATACGGCTAGAGTTTGTCCTACATATGAGATTTCTTGCATCAATCTCCATATATGCTTAATTTTTTTGGCTCATTACTTTGTGAAATAACGTTGCTAATTTATTATTTATAAATGCTGCGCCATCTGAAATACATTCAACATATATAAGTTAACGAAACTAGGTGATTATATTGAGAAAAAAAATGGTTAACAAAATAATAAAATTGGTCATGATCTCATATTGAAAATGTATGAGGTTTTTGTAACTCACTTTTTTTTTTCCTCGTTCTCATTTAATCCTACCACTTTCTTTTTAATCATTACCTCGTCATAAAAAAACCCTAGTCATTTGTCTATGCATGCATGTCAAATTCTAGCTCCTCACAAAGTCATACAATTTCCGGTTCTTCTAATAATTACTTTTGTACATTTTCCAGTCATCTGAAAACCCAAAAAAAAAAAAAGAAAGAAAAGAAAAGAAAAAGAAAAAGAAACATTTTTGCAGGCATTGGCATTCATAATAGTAGGTGTAGGCTGCGCACAACTATAAAGACTTTTCATGAAGTCCGGCTCCATTTCTAGTTCAATATATTAATCGGTCGCGCGATTCTCACCTTATTTTTATTTAATTTTTTTTTACTGAGTTTCTTGAAATCTGAAAATCAATGAACAGTTTTAAAATTGAGCTTAAGTTTGCACCGATATGCATGGCACTTTTAACTTTAATATCATGCTGTATTGCTGTTAGCATTAAATTAAATCCGTCGGCGGTCCATTACACCAACCAATGAAGTAGATATAAAATAGTACTACAACTTCAACCTAAAGACTTAAATAGTTTAATTTAGGCTAATAAGATTTATTTGCATCTTATGCAACTAATTGCAAGTGTTATGTTGTTATTCTCTTCTCTTAAATTAATGTGGCACCGTTTATTATCTTCACGCCAAGAGTTGGTTGTAGCAAATTAAATGTGATTTTTAATGGGTTGAACTAATTACTAATTGCATCGTTTAATTACTTGTTCAGAAATATTCAGAACTGAATCTCACCTTGGGGATACATATGAATGTTATATATACATTTAATGCAGCTAATTACGTATTAGAAGAAGTGTTGCATAAGGAGATCAACTTTTCGTCTAGCTAATGACGATCTCAATTATTTCTTTAATTTAACTAAATTATACAACCAAAACATTATTGCTTCAGCTGGACAACAGTACTATCCTTGAAGGCGCGAATAAACACATCAAAGAGCTTCAAGAACGAGTCAAGATTCTAGAAGAAGGGATCAACAACAAGACCATAACACTAATATCTCATGTGGAAGATGGTGAAGAACAACAATATGGTGTGAGCCCTAATGTGACTACCATTGAAGAAGATATGTTGCCCGAGATCAAAGTCACTGTGTTGGAGAAAGATGTGCTTGTAAAGATTCTATGCCACAAAAGATTCCAAAACTGCGTCTCAAATATGTCCGAGGAGCTGAAAAAACTACATCTTACCATCTTCCACACCAGTGTTCTTCATTTCGGAGGTTGTGCCATTGACATTACTTTCGGTGCCAAGGTTTGTATACGAATCTTTAGCTAATTGTGATAATAATAATCTGATCTTGTTATGTGGACGATAATAAGGGGATTTTCAGCCGTTATTGAGTTTATGAAAAAAAATATTCGTTTTTTCTTTTGCAGGTGGAAACCCAATTCTCTAATACGGTGCATGATATCGTGAAATGTCTTCGCGTGGTAGTGTCTGAAGCGCAAACTACCTATAGTTGACATTTGAAATTGTAATCTTTACGTCCAAAAATAAGAATGATGTTTATTTATCGAGTTAATTATGATGATACGATGGACACGATTCTGATTTTGGGATAAGAAGACTAATTTTTATTTTTATTTTTTTGTGTAATCAAATGAACAAGTAAAGGAATTTACGTTGTAAAGTGCAGTTATGTACTCCTTCGGTTGCAGGAAAACAATCTATATTAATTTTCTTTATGAATTGCATCATGTAATGTGGACTATTTTAATATGATTGGACAATATCTAGGGGGAGCAAAAGGGGGTCCGTCAGTCAGCAAATTTATTTAAAAAAATACCTTAAAATTTTTTATATAATTTTTATTCCGTCACTGACAGGGGGGAGTAATACAATAGTTGTATTAATGTATAAGTTAGCTAGTGATATTGGCGAAGATTAAAATGGGATGCTTTATGCCCACTCCCCTAATGATATTACAATACAGCAGTCGCGGTAATGTATAATGTTAGTCAGGTAGTTTGTAGTAATAATGTACATGCTACAAATGCACCCAAATTGATTGATTATTACTAGTACAAAATGTGGCACTAAATAATTCCAATATAAAAGGTCTTGTTACTCACAAAGTCAAAGCGTGATCTGATCCTCTGGTACATATATATATGCAAGTCACTACCACTAGTCAACGCTCAACAGAAAGAAGACTGGGCGGGTTTCCTTGGGAGGCAAATTAAGGTTCGTCTGTTCAGAAGTAAGGAGTATGTTGTTTCATTACGTTGCAGATTCGCAATTTCAATCAGCATAATCACCCCGTGGGCGCGTGGTTTTTAACAGATGGTGTCCTCTTTAGTAGGAACACCAACTGTTCGATAGAATTCCCCACCGAATTTCGGTTTCATAAACCCATTTCGGCCCAGAAAATTTTGACGTCAAAAATTTGTGGAAAACTTTTCAGTGATTCTGTTTCATGCGTTGTGAAAAAAAGAAGAAACCGAAAGAGGAATAAATCAAATCATCAAAAATGGGGTTGTGTTACCCATCTACACCTTGGAAGAAGGCATCAACGGCGGCGTTCTTCCTGTCTGGAGTTTCCCTGTTTGGTTACGGTCTGTATCTTTGGCATCTGAACATTGGGCCTCAACAAGCTCGGATTCAAGCCCGGAATGAGTTCGTCAGAGCTCGTTTCAGACAGAAAGAAGGCAAGGATTAGTTCTTCAATTTTTGTTGGGCCTTTTCTTCTTCGTTTGTTCGCGAACTATAATTCATATATATTTCTCATAGAATCTGGTGGATGAGAACTTTTTGTTTTGTTAAGTTTTAATTTAGTTGGTTTCTAAATAAGATCCTGTTCCTTGAATTATGAATAGTCATTTACTTTGTTGAATGAAAACCTCAAAGTTTAATTAAATGAGACCATATTAGAACCTTCCCATTTTTACAAAATAGAATAATGTTGGTAGCTTTGGATTTGCATGGTCCTTTACAGACTTAATTGAGGCAAGTGCCGGAAAAACTACATGCCATTTGTTTGTGATCAAACCGCTAAAACTTAGAGCAGAAAACATTTCGATCAATCAATCATGTTTTTGCAGGAACTTGAAGATTTAAAAACCAGTCAAATGGAACAGTAGACTGTGTGGATTTCAGTGTAAAAGAATGTTATTTATGTACTACTGCTACTCAAAAGTACATGGACAGTCTGACTTCTCAAATCCGGAACCCATAGAAAAAAGACATTAGTAAAACTACACGAGGGCTGAATCACAACCAAAAAGAATACAACTGGGCCAACGGCAATGAATCATCAATCAAATCTTTCATTTTTTTTTTTTCAGCTGAAAATCCAAACTACATCTACATTCCTAGGATGCTTTATGAAACTCATCCGCATCGAAAATTTGCTGGCTCCATTTGATTCACAGTCATGACATCAGTGTTGCGAAAGTCACAAAAACAATAGCAAGACTGCTGACGATAGTGTTTGCAACAGTTGCGCTCTGCCCGTTTCGCGAGGTTGGAGCTGGAGCACTAGTAGTACCATTACCCGTGGTTCTTGGTCGAACGGGAGGCAGGGGACCCTCGGCCAAATCTGCCTCGTCCAAGGTTGGCAATGGAGCCTCCGTTGGTGGTTGTACCACCATGACCGGGTATAGGGCACCCGGTGGAGCTGGAAGCATGTATGATGGTACAATTTTCTCGGATAAACACCGGTTCCCTGTAAATATACCAAGCAACCACACACCATTCCCAAGAGAATTAATTTTGAAACAATGACAGGGAAACACAAAATCATTGCATCATAAACCTTACAAATCTACTTACTTCTAAATCTGGAAGAAGTTGCTGGGAATGGTGTAACTACTCCTGCGACGCCCAGCTGATTGATATATGTGTTGACTTCCAAGTAAGGATCTGTCTGGAAGTCCCATGCTTGAGATATAAACTCATTGTTGAACCTTCGCAGATACACAGGAACACCGAGTGCCTGGAACTTCAGAGCAACATCTGTTACATTCATTAGAAATGCATCATCGACAGGAATGACAGAGACTTTGCTTATGACTACAGCGGTGGCAAACTCCTTCAATTCCGATACAGTTGCATTTGCGACGTTGCCAATAGCTTCATCCACTCCGTAGAAAAGCTCGTAGTTGCTGGATTTTCCTATTTTCTTAAGAACAGCGCTCTCCCCAGATTGAATATACACTTTCTTCCCTGTCAGGTTGCTGTAACCAGATTTATTCAGGGTATCCACAACAGCATCAACAACACCTAGCCCCACATTTTCAGCAAGGAATGCGGCATTCTGCACAAAAGAAGCCAATACATTAGCATTAGTGAGAAAGGCACAGAAATCTAATACTAATTGCTGCGGGACATACAGTCACGACATCGCACAAAATTCTCCAAGCAAACCAATCATACAATCGGCTGGTTAGGTACTAAGGTTTTGAAAACCAAGAAGTTGACCTATTTGTTCTAGTGATCCCAAAAAAAAGCATACAGGCCGAGAGAAGAGGGAAAGCTGTTCCTCTATTTGTCAGCTTAACATCCTCTCACACTATGCCCCTCTTCATACTCCTGTTGACGCACAAATCATTTAATTGCATTACAAAGTTGCTACGGTACTACAGTATCTTTTAGCTGAGTGCTTGTGTCTCGCAATTTGTATAAACAGAAGATAATGCGATGACATAATCTTTTCTTAGCATCACTGTATGTACCGTTACATCTTGAGGCACCGAGAAGATTTGTAGATATAACTAACCTCTATGCGGATTAAGACTCCAGAGACAGAAGAAGCATTCCTGGCAATGTCTAAAAATTGGGATAGTGGAACAAAACTCCCCTCATTCTTAGCTTTTGGATTCCGATACATTGTATAATTGGCGTATGGATTATACATTAAAGCTGCAATGAAAAATTAATAGCACAAATTAATACTTGAAGCAAAGTTTTCGAGATCAACAGTTTAATCAACATCCACCATGAACACAACCAGCGGTGTACAATCATGTCCTCCAAAATAACCCATAAACATAAGCAAAGCTAGGTGAGAACGTTTTTCGTCAAGCACATATATCAACAAGGTGTTTCCCTTCACAGGAAGGAAATCAAGTCAAAAGTGATAAACAAGAATATACACTTACGTTCTAAAGTTTGGATCTGTTCCCAAGTCAGATTGAAGGCGCATATACCATCCTGAATCTGAAGTTCTGGAACAGTCAATGTAACGTTGATGAAGCCTGATTGAGCAGCTGTTGTTCTCTCTATAAGGTTTACAGACCCCAAACAGAAAGGAATACCGTCCTGTGACATTTGAACTGGACAGTCAATAATATCTGCACCATCAGCAATAGCTTGGAAGTAAGCCTTGTCAGTGCAACCAGGATACTGGCCACTTGATCCTTCTGATGAGATAATCTGAAACTTAACTGTCAAGGAAAGCAGTGTGACAGTCAGATTCTTTTTAGGCCAAAATAGTGATGGTGCTTGAAGAACAAACATGTGAAACAGCAGTCATAACCTAAGAAATTACACAAAGAAAAGCAGTGCTTTTCAGTTTGTACCTTTATCTGTTTCATTCTTCCCCATATGAGAGAAGCAATCTGCATTATTGGAACAAGCTCAAAATCAATAACATAATATTTTTCATGGCAAAATATCAAGAATGTCCAAAAAGTGTTGTGTAAAAATATGCATATCAACACATGGCAAACTACCGATGTTTCCATTGTTGAAACCTTTACATGTTAGTCTTCCTAATTCCTAAATCATGCCAAAATGGTGAAAAGAATATTTGAGTGACAATACATGACCACAGCAATACCAAGTGGTTCCACCAAAAGGTACATCCATTGGACAAACTCCCAAAACTGTATGAATTGATACTCTAAACCAACAACACGTGCTAGCTCACGATTCAAGAATGTTGGATTGAATTAGATGACCTTTAACTTTATAATTTACTAGCAAGTCCAGTGTATCAATCCAGAGTTAGAAGAAATAAAAACTGAAATTAAGTAATTTTGCACTTCACCTATGCTTGATGAGGAAGTGAGCGGGAAGTCAGTTAGCAAACCATCCACGGAAAAGTTGCCATTGTCAATATAGGAAAGGACTTCCGATACAGGATCATAATTGTAGTCATAAGGAAAAAGCAGATCAGGGGCAAAGTCAGACGCATAAACTTCTAGGCCTTCTTTATGAGCATCAGAGACGAGGGATGTAGGCTGCAGGAGATACATACTGGAATCCGCTGGCCAAATGTAAGTTTTGGGAACTAAAATACCAGAGGCAAATGTTTTGATAAATGTTAGATTCTTCAGAAGTGAACCATAAGTTTGATTAGACGAGGGCTCCACCAAGTCTGGTCCAAGAAATCGGAAAATCAGTTTTGTCGGAGGTCTAAAACGTGAGCCTATACTCTTGAGAAAGTTCACCTCTGGCGAAGAAATATAGTTCAGAACCACACTTCTTGAAACAGAAATGACAAAGCTCCTCATACTCAGATTATGTTGGCTGTAAAAAGCATCATGCTGGCAGGAAAGAAAGAATCACAAAAATAAAAAATTAAATCAAGTCCAATGGAAAAACTTCCGAATTTAGAATTCAAATCAAAGCATAACTACATTTGAAACAGAAAGTTACTGGAGCAACTTAATCTACCTGGACGTTCAACCACATTGCAGGTGGTCTGTTCTTCAATGATGCAACCTCTCCAACTTGAAGAATGGGGTATTTTCCATCAAATCGGTATGTGCGAGACAAAAGTGCTTGGACCACTATTTAAGAGAAACGCTTGATCAGTATAAGACGACAACTAGACCATTGAATGCAACAAAACTTCACAATCTTTCCCTCAGCATTTGGGAGGCCCGAAAAAAAAAAAAAAAATCATTAGGAGAATCATAGTTGGTGTCATTTTTTATGAACTAAACTAACCCTCAAAAACTACTGGGCAAAAATGATTGTGCATGACTAATATTCCATAGAGCAGAAACTAGTTCTGGCAATAACATCAACCCAAAATAAAGGAAGGACTCAAATCATAGTTAATTCAAATTTTTCATTAACAAACTTACAGGAGACTGGTTGCAAATCGTCGAAGGTAAAATCAACCATGAAATATCCTGAGGTAGACACCCCATTTACATTATATGTAGAGGAACTCCTGTTTGTGTATACAAATTTAACATTAGAAGAATTGTCGAGCAAAATATCAGGGAAACACATTCCGGCTCCATCTTTAGTGAGCTGCACATCGCACCAGGCAGCTGAGTTGGGTAAACTTATAGAACCTGCCAGTGCATAAGCATCGGGACTTGAATCAGGGAATAAACCTGAAACTCCACCGCGAGCAACGACCACTGGTGCAGCTCCTGTAAAATACCGATAAGTTCATCAATTTCAGCAAACCTTGCCAAAAGCAATATAGTAGTCAGCTTCAGAACCGATTTACTTTTAACAACAAGAAGTGGTAACAATTACACCGCACAAAAATCAACTAAATTTTACACTGAGATTGCACGGAATATACGCACAATATTGGAATTCAGAAGAAGATCAAATTCATAATTAATCAACTAAAATTCAACTTCACCCAATTCAGTCAACACGTCTTCATACTATCTCCATTTTTCTTTGCTTTTCCTCTTCCAACCACAAAAGGAAATAAACAAAACACAAATATTTCACCAAAAAATCTGTAACAAACAAGAAAAACAAATTGTTTCCAAAAAGGAAATCATACAGCTCCAAAACTTCTCACACTTGCCGCAAACCATAGCTCCAACTTCATATTTACGAATGAAATTGAGAAGAAACAAAATAGCATCAAACTAGCAGAGCAGGAAAAACCAAACTAAAAAGAAAAAAGAGAGCAGATGCCGAAGAACATACCACGGAGAGTTTGCCATTTACTAGGGGATGGCTGAGCAGAAACAAATGCAGCTGAAGAAGAAAGCAGGAAGAGAAAAAAGAGGTGCCGGAAGTTCCACATTGCCGGCGGTGAGCTGAATTGACAGTCCATCTTTGTGGTGTGGGATATTATCGAATCCAAAAAGGCTACAAAATTTTATACACTGAGGAATAGGAAGAGCAAAGATGTGTAGAAGACTTTTTTTTGGAGATTTGGCCTTCACCACTGCAACAAACAACCCATGACTCAGAGAAGAAGAGAGAGAAAATGGGGGTTGCCTTTTTCTTTTATTACTTTGACAGAGTTGAACAGAGGAAAGGGTAGTAAAGTCAGTTTTTATAAGCTGCATTTTTTTTATGATGATGATGATGATTTATAGTACATTTTTGTTGGATGAATTGAACTCTCTGAGTTGAATTTAATTTGTTTGTTTAATTAATTAATTCAATTAAGTTAAAATAATACTACTAAGTAATACTGAGTAGAACTTGAATTTTAGTGATTAAATTAATTGAGGAAAGTTCGTGTGTGGGGTTTTAAGGTGGTGGACTGGAGCCAGCTGAGATATGGTGACACACAGTTTTTTTTATGGCTCATTCTTTTGGAGCCGCTTGTGAGGTGTTAGCATCTCTTTTCGGTCAACCCATTTCTATCTTTCATCATTTCTCCTTTTTGTTTGTGTTTTTTTTTTTTTCTCTCTTCTCTTTTTCTTGTTTTTGTGGTGACTAAAATCTTATTTTATTAAAGTACTTACAATTTAGCGAAGGGATTAGTGACTGTTGTCAATGGTGGACACCCTGTAAATATGTAAAAAAAAAGAAAATCTTATTTTATCTCCCATTATTAATTTTTTCAGTCATGTAGCGTTGATAATTTTAAAGCATGGATAAAAACTACATTTATAAAATAAAATCGATATTTTCTTAATAGTAATAGTTATACTTTGTAAGATGTGCAAGAAATAAAACTCTTATACTTTAATTAGCACTTAGAGAATAAACAATTCTAATAACATCATTCTCAAAATGCATGCTAGCGTTTTTAGGAAGAACCTAAATATATATCTTTGCACCGTCAATAATAATACTACTACTATTAAACCTGCTTTCTCTTTCTTTTTTTTGTGGTGGAAATTTTTTCTGTTTTTTTTAAGAAGTTTACCGTGTGTCTAAACCTGCAAGAAAATGAATATGTCTTGTAATGGAACCCCACTAATGGGCCAGCTTCAGTAAATAGTATAAGTTTATTCATAGTTTTATTTGACCTTTCAAATGAATGTCTGAAAAAAAAAAAGAATGAATTTTCAAATAACAAATACTCCTATATTTAATCAGGAAATGATAATCTAATTCACGATGCTTAATTTAAACTATAAAAAGCTCACATGGTAATTTATGACCCAAAACAGTTGAGCAGTAAAAACTGTAGTATAAAAAAATCACCGAAGATTAAAAATTAAAGGTGCGAAAGGCTTGAGCCAATGAGCGGAAAATGGAGCTAATTGAGAAGGGGTGATTGGACGACAGCTAGGCCGTAGACTGTGGGACAAAAAACATGGGTCAGAGTTGTCTTAACATTCCCATGTGGCCATTTCTTGTTTATGCACAACTAACTAGTAGTATTTCTTTTTCCATTTGCCTCTCTCCCTAGTTTTATTTCACAAAACTACAAAAACCATAATTCCGTCCAATATTTGTAACGCCGTTTGGACCTGATGTCACCAAAATGACCCCACAAAATATTGGTACTAATAAGACTGAAATCTCAACAATTAGGACGCCAAAAACAGCAATTAGTTTTAGGATATCACACAATTTGGTTGCTCTAGTGAGTAATATAACATCGCCTTTACAATTAGAGAAAATAACCTTAACAGCTCTGGGTTTTTTGTGTTCTGTAAATTTGTGTATTTTTAGTGGACTTAAGTATCGGTGATGGGCACACTGAAAACTGAATGGAAGGATCAAATCTGAATTCCCAAATTGTACTGCTAACTGCTAACTCTTTTAGGGATTGAAAAGGGAAAAATGAGAAAAACCCCTCCCAGTTATGTCTCAAAGACTAATACTACTCCGATGTTTCCTATAAGGATAATTGCCCCCTTTGACAGCTAGTCAACTGCATAATTGACCCCCTGATAACTAAAATGATAAAACTACCCTTTTCGTCTAAAAACAATTTTTTGATCCACATTTTATCTTCTTTTTTTCCCAATGGTTTATTTCTCTTAACAAATCATTGAAGAATTTATTTAGGAATAACAATATTCACCAATTTTTGTGAAAAATATTTTTTTAATATATAATTAATTTATTTAGGGTTAAATTTTGTTTTCAAAAAAAAGATATAATTTGTCCAAAACAATAGCATAATTTCAACATTATTCATGTTTGAATTAGTCCATTGTAGTTAAAATTAATGTAGAATATGGTTGAAAGTCTATCATTTTTTAAAAAGAAATCCAACCGTTGATAAATTGGTATTTACTCAAATTATTATTTTTTATAAAAAAAAGTAGTGTTTTTTAAGAAAAATTGGAAATGTCTTATCCTTAAATAACTCTTTTGACAATTTGTTAAACAAAAAAATGGTAGAATTTATCCACAAAAATTTGATTTTAGGTGAAAAGGGTATTTTGATCATTACTTACGTATTTTTTTGCCATTTTTGTCTTAGGGGTTCAATTATGTCGTTGACTGGCGGTCGAAAGGGTTAATTATACTTATAAAAAAATTCGGATGGTATTAGTAGTTTTTAGGACATAACTCGGGGAATTGTCTTTTTCCCATTGAAAAGTATATATAGGTCAAGTCAATGTGTAGGACAAATGGTAAACGCGCAATTTGAGATTGTGACTTGTTATTCCATTTCACTAACTTATAAACCGAGTGGTAAAACAACACTTTCATCGATTTTGATGTAATTTTGGTGCAGTGTTTTGGTGGAGTTATTTTTATGATAGGATACGTGTTCCTTTGACAAGAGTAATAGTCTAACGTTAAAAAATTTATCACACAGAAAGATAATATACGGAAGATTTATTGGCGTCTGTTCATATAATTGAGCTAGTGTGTCAATCTATTTGCTGAACTCATTTTGCAGCTCGAGCAGGAGGATTCAGCCCTTGTAGTTCTAGCTGCCAATGTAATTGGATGCAAAAATAACTATTTTTTTGTCTCAAATTATTGTTTAATTTGAATTTTTATTTTTAATTCAATTTATATTAAAAATAAAAATCCTTAAAAATAAACAATAATTTCGGAACAGAAAGAGTATAAGAATTTAGATACACTTTTGGGTTGCCTAATAATGAGATATTTGGAGCAAATACTCTCTAACAGCTTTGGAAAAGTGTACGTGTTTAGTAAATTTGTGTATCAATTATTAGTGGACGTATCAGTAACCGGGAAAATCGACTGGAGGATCCCAATCCCAAAATGTACTCCTTCCAAGTTCCAACCATCTTTTTAAGTTTTTTAAATTAGGTCAAGTCAATGAGTGAAGACGAAATGTTGCATTGCAGTTTGGATTGTTACTTTCTCTATCGAGATTCATGGAATGTGCTGTGTTAAAAAAAAAAAAAAAAACTTTTTCATGATGTGTACTATTTATTTTCTCTTGTAACATTTGTGTAATAACTCATAGTACTATAGAAATTTGTTGGCATCAATGAGTAGTTTTTCCAAATAAAAGAACGAATCTGGCAAAATGATTTGTAATGAATACTTTAGGTGTCCGGCTCTAATGGAAAGCGAAATGTGAGGTCATTTAACAGTATAGCGGGGATTCTTGAAGCTGTGTTTGGGAGATACGAATTACGAAACTTGCTGGTTTATGATTAGAGTGTGCAGTTTAAACATACAGTGTGGAGATATATATTTATATAGATTTTAGCCCTCATTTTTTTTCGGTACAATGCCAAAATCTAAACATATAACATGTTCGAATCACGAGTTTACTACATTGTGCCCGGTAGTACAGCTAAACAATGTAAACCTCCTTGATGTGTTTGGTGTGAAACTGTTACTGTGTATTGTTTGTAACTATTTGATGTATTAACATAATAGTAAGAGTTAGACTCCATTACCCGTTTTCCATTTCATTTTCTCTCAACAAAAAAATATTTGAAGTTCTCTCTATGTCCTAAAATGATTGTCTAGTTTGGGATTCATTTTCAGTACAAATCAGTTTTAGTATTCTGTACAATTTGTAATCAGATTCAAAACTGGATAATTATTTCGGGACGAACGGAGTTCGTGTTAAATCTATTGTTGGGCAGAGCAGTCAATTTGCAGCACAACACAAAGTTGCTAGTCTCACCCAAAAAATTCTAAACTTATGATAATTTTTTATCATTACTAATTTATTTCTCTTCTTCTAATGTAAACGGGACATAAATTAGGATTTGTAGTTAAATTGTACTCCCTCCGTCCCAAAATTATTGTCCAGTTTGAGATTTCACTTTTAGTACAGTATTAAAAGTGAAATCTCAAACTGGACAATAATTTTGGGACGGAGGGAGTATTGTATTTCTTACTTATGTGGAAAATAACATCAGACAGTGTCTAATTCGGATACAAACATTTTTACTATATCTTTCAACCTACAAACAGAAAATATAACTTTTTTATGGAATGGACAAAATTTAACTTAATTCTACTCCGTTCCTAGTGTTACTCCTTGTAACGTCGTTCGTGCTCCGAACAACTGCCATTCATGACGCCCATACCGGCATATATCAAGTATCAACATAATTTATGTCAATAAACAAATTTATCATCGTATTTGCCAAATTAAGGTCAAATAGAATAATGTAGCTAAAGTTTAAATTTATTTCACTTTTAAATCTGACCATTCCATTCAGTTGATGAATATGCTACCCCAAAATTAGTGACTGAGGTATGTTTGTTTCGTTTTTTTAGTGCGTGTTTTTAGGTTTTTTGTATTAGAAATGTAAAAAGGTGTATTAGAAATGTAAAAATGTATGCTGTGATAGGACAATTATTATTTAAATATTTTGAAAATACCATAAAAAAAAAACCTATCAAAAAGAATTTTATGTTCACTGTTATAGAAATTTAAGAAAAGTGGTCTTCTCTCAATTATCAGAATTCCGAATTCTCCATTTTAATAATTGATTGATTAAGCCGCAGAAAGGTCTTAAACAATATGATCATGTGAGCTGTCTAATTGCCAACACCAGGTATGTAATCTTTTCCAGTTTTCAGGACCTCTTTCTAATTAATTAACAAATTATTTGGTTACACATAATCTGAAAAATTTAGCAATCATATAAATAAGAATATTTGAAAGACCATTATTATATAATATATATATTCCTTTCACAGATATTGTGGAATTTATATGTTCACTAATTGAAGGTTAGGCCAAGTCAGCTGAATAATCCATTGACGTATTTGCACACGTCGATTAGTTGGTTTTTATGTAGTATTTGTCATCATTCCTAGAATGAGGTCTCGCCATTTTTCATTTTGTTTCTTCAACTTTTGTAATAAAAGGGAATTTTTTTTTCCCCGAAAAAATCAAATTCCCACAATTGTAAAAAGTTACTATTCTTTTGTGTTTCGGATTTCTGCTTGATCGGTGTTCGGAATAATTTAAGATTATCGTTAAAGTGCGCGCGTATTCACATATAATCTTCTTCTTAATCTAATTCATTTTTCCTTGGTGGCTTTCATATTTTGGCAGAAGACCATGTCTTTGCAGAGGTAATCAAGCAAAGATTGCCTGCGCAACACGCTAAAAGAAAATTAAGCTACAAAATGTGAATAAATCAAAGTATATACTGTATACCATGAAAAATTCAAAACCGAGGTGCCATGCTCTCGACATCGCGACAGTGATTTTTCTAGAATTTTAATTTAAAAAAAAAAAAATAGTGATTGACATCACAAAAGTTGACTGCATAATTATACAGAAAGTTGGTCAGTTGGTAAAACACGGTTAATCGCAACGAAAAAGTTATAACCAAAAACTTCTTTTTAAAAAAAAAATAAAAAAAAATCTGAAAAAAGATGAAGAAATCGTTATCATAGGAAAGAAACGAAATGAATTAAATTAATGAGGGGCCTTGCAAATCCAATCCTGAGCTAGCAATTGGCTATCAGCTTAATCACAATCGATAATTGTTGCAAGCTAGTTCGACAAAGACATCATACGCGGAAAGGGAGAAAAGGGTTTAATTTAATATACATCTGGGATTATATATGTATCTTAGTGGTGCATGTACTGGGTAGTGCGTATTAGTATCCTAATTTTTGTCTACCGAGTAAACAAAATAATTATTTAAGACGGAACTAAATACTTAATTTTTTGATATATAATTTTTTACTTGACGACTGATTGTGATTTTAATTGAAACAGTTGGGTGAGGTCTAAGCTAAAAATCAAATTATAAGGTTAATATCAGTGGTTAGTTAGTTCTATGAAAGATTCAAAAATATTCAACTTATCATCATAAATCTTAACTACCTTTACTTATAATTAATTAAACCGGGGAGGTGTTTCTCACTTCTCCGTCCTGTGATAAGGACAGGGCAAATGTAATAACTCGAATTCGATATAGCCATTTGAAAAAAAGGGAGAAAATAAAAAAAAAAAAGTTGAATTCATATTCATTTTTTATTTGATGAATATATTATATTTATACAGAAAGCCGTATTATGTGCATTTCCAACAACTGGCATTATGACATTGATGATTACTCTTTCATACAGTTATACAAATATTCCTTTTTTTTTTTTCCAAATGCAATGAACAAAAAATGAGACACAATCAGTATAAGTCAATCATATATATTTTTATAAACTTATCTACGAATATATGCAATCGTGTTACGATCTGATCTGATTTTCTTACACATAACTAATAGGAGTTTCTGTGTTGGTCATGAATAAATTTTCGCAAGGAAAAAAAAAAAGAAAAAGGAGTAATAATAAAATAAAACTCGGAGATTAATTTTAAAGCTGGACAGCTAATAAAACTATCATAAAATACGCTAATTATATCAATAAAACAATTGCAATCACAATTGGGGTAAAGATACTAATAAAATAAATATGCTAATCAAGCTACTGTTTGGTTTTTGGCAGTGGAAAAAGTTGGGGACATTTGGAAGTGCAAAATGCAGAGAATCAAGAAGGTGTAAGAAGAAGAAAAAATGAAATCATTGGAAGGAACGTTCTTGACATAGAAAGAAGAAAGAAAAAGGCATAAGGAAACGGGAAGCTCACATGCGGAAGTTTGTGGGAATGAGTTGGGAATTGGGACCATCCAAATGAATCTGACCTATATTGGACGGCTGCTTATAAAAAATAATTAGTGCTAATATATATATTTATTTATTGTCAAAAAGAAGATCACCCAGAATCGGTGGATTATTTGATTTTGGTCGGAGTTATAAGGGCTTATAAAATCATTGGTGATTGAGAAACAAAAATTTTGCCCCATTTACCAACAACAAATATACTAACGTAGGTGCAGGGTACAAAAGACTTTAAAATATTCGTAGCACCCACGTTTGAGCTTTTAAGTCTTTGAGTTAATTTGTACTTTTGTAGGGTTCTTGATTTCAAGTTTTTTTTTTTTTTTTTTTAGGAAAAGTACATGATTACATTAAAACAGAACCTGATCTGTTACAACACATCTTATTTACATGTTAAATTATGGACTTCATTAACATCATTGCTACTAATTTTAGTCAGTTTTTGATTTCAAGGCAATCGAAATCTTTCTTTCTTTCATTCTTTCTTTTTTCTAATCAATTTTCAACACCCTAATTAATTATATGAATTGACATTATGTTTTATGATTATTCTGACTGCAAAACTTCAAATACATGGGGAAAATGAAAACTCAAACTTACGAGCAGGGTTTTTTTTAAAAAAAAAAAAAATTACATTTTCATTACAAATTCTATAATTTTGGAGAAAATTATATACGTGAAATCTTACGAGAAATGATTATATAATTACAAATTTCTGTTACGGATTTAGTACTGCAAAGGCGATGATAAATATTTTATATATCAGTGCAATTTTTTTTTCCTAATATGCAAGTAATACGTATTTTGAATCAGACAATGTTTTATGTTTGTGTTACGAGAATCGTCTTCACATTGCTAACTTTGTGTTTATTTGCAAACCATACACAATTATCTATACGTTACAACTTCCATATATCCCTAATTATTAGATTGGAAAGGCATAATGATATTGGTTAGATTGCATGATTAGAGGTGGCTCAAAATGGATAATAAAACTAGAAATTTTTAATTTTTAGCAGTAGATGGAGCGCACTCAAATATAGGGGGTTTTATGTGAGATTTTGATGGCGCGAACTGATGGACTAATGGACCCAGACTCCTCAAACTCAAACCCACCACATCAATGTAGCAAATTCTTCAGAAAGTGACAACGGTTTTAGAATGTTTTTTGTCGACCTCGGAGGCCTTCGTCACTCCTCTTCTGTTCCAGTTCCCCCTAAAAATAAAACTCTAATTTTTGATCATATCATTCTGTAAGGTGTAAACTCTAAAGAACAACATCTCTCCCCATCCAATTGTTTAATATATCATCAGTTGCACTTTTGTAGTGCGTCTTATCACCCCCCTCCCCCCTTTTTTTCCTGTGACACAATTGTTTATGGATGGAACTACATTTCATATATACCAAATATAAATCTTATGGATGGTAAGAAGATGATTCTTTTTGTTTTTCTTCAATCATCTCCAATGATTATAAGGAAAATAAAAAACCCTCCTTGTGATGAGGCTTGTGTAATTAGGAATTGTTCTGAAAATGGTCGCTCGTCAATTGAGAATTCTAGACTAAGATACCTACATCTTTTATACAATATCTACAACTAAATACTGTAGTATGGTCTCAAAATGATTGTCAAGTTTAAATTTTCACTTTATTATATTAAAAGTAATAAAAAATTTTAAATTAGATAATTATTTTATTACCAAAAAGTATACAATTGAATTGCATGCACTCTACTGGCAAAACATGCGCCGCGTCGAAATGATCCAGCCCATTCATGAGGATGGATGATTGAAGTCCTTTGTTCAGGCTTCTATTTCAAAGCCCAAATTCGAATCCATATATAATAAATATAGTAAAAGATGAGTGCAAAATTGAATGCACGCGTCGGACACGTGCTGGCTATTTAAACACGCATCAGTACAACGTGTCATTCATCCAACTCCACCGCCAACTCGCGCCATCCCGCTTCCCTCGCTTCTTGATCCTACTTTGCTTCTTTCTTTCTTTCTTTTTTCCCCATACAACAAAAACATCATTTTTTACTATTTTCTCCACTCTGTTCGAAAGAATAATCAAGGTTATTAAGTTACTACTGAGAATTCAATCTCAGGATAAATTAATTTCGGATTAAGAAGATCAAGAAACCCAAAAATAGAATAAAATGGGAGTTTCAGATTATGTAATGAATTTGGCAGAGGGCAGGGGCCAAGTGGTTCCCATGACAGTGTTCGTAGCTGTCTTATGTTTGTGTTTAGTCATCGGACACTTGCTTCAGGAAAATCGCTGGGTTAATGAATCCATTACTGCCATTTTCGTCGTATGCCCCCCCACCATTTCCCCTGATTTTTTTTTTAAAAAAAATCTTGTTGCTTTTTTTTTTCCCATAAAAAAGATTCAATCTTTTTCTGGAGGGTTCATTCTGTTTTGGGTTTAATTAATGCTGGAATTGATGAAATTGTGACACAGGGATGCTTGGCTGGGACGATTATCTTGCTGATAAGCAAAGGGAAAAGCTCTCACATTCTCAGATTTGATGAAGAGCTCTTCTTTATCTATCTCCTTCCTCCTATCATTTTTAATGCTGGGTAAGCTACATAACCCTGATTGTATGATGCCTAATTTACGCTTTTCAATTCTGATTGGATTTTAATTCATCCGGACTACATTTTCCTATTTTTTAGATTCCAGGTCAAGAAGAAGCAGTTCTTCCACAACTTCTTCACCATTATGCTGTTTGGAGTTGTTGGAGTTTTCATATCATCCTCTATTATCTCTGCTGGTATTTTTTTTTTCTTTTTTCTTTTTCTTCATGTTTTTAATCCTGAACACCTACTTTTGAACTGGTTATTCATGTTCTGTTCTCGCTAGCAATTTTTACAGGAAAAATCTGAGTTGATTAGTGAGTTCTCTTTTTCTGGGATGTCAACTGTTTTTGTAGGATGCTGGTGGCTCTTCCCTGAATATGGTTTTACTGGATTGACTACTAAAGATTACCTCGGTTTGTCCCCCGGCATTCTTTTCCTTGTTAATATTCTTCTCTAATGATAATACTGTAACCTAGGCAAGTGGCTTTTGGATGCATGAAAAATGTACCTTCTTCATGGCTCATGATGGAATTCCAGCTTATTATACTTCTCTAATTCAGGTCTTGGAACCATTTTCTCATCAACTGATACAGTCTGCACATTACAGGTTACTACAATATAATTGCGTATTTTGCTTTTCGATTTTGTGATTTTCACGTGGTATGCACGTCGTCTGTTGATTTTTCTGGCATTCTAAGGCCATATTTTACATTGATTGTTTCAGGTTCTGCATCAAGATGATACTCCTTTGTTGTACAGCTTAGTGTTCGGTGAAGGGGTAGTGAATGATGCAACATCAGTTGTCCTCTTTAATGCAATTCAAAAGCTTGATGTTGAAAAATTCCATGGCTGGCAAGCCTTGCACATTGTAGTCGATTTTCTATATTTGTTCTCCACAAGCACTGCACTTGGAGTAGCAGTAAGTTAATTGCAGCTCCTGTTTGCTTCTGTCGATGCTTAGTTAAAGAGTTCATGTTTCCGTACCAAAAAAAGTCAAATCATTTTTTTGTCAATCTGTGAACTGCAGGCTGGGCTTATAACAGCTTATATACTGAAGGGATTGTACTTTGGCAGGTAAACATTGCAAATCAATATATGTAGGCCATTTCTGGGTTCCGAGAAGCCTGGAAAGCTTGTTACTGTCTGGGATTATCGAGACAACTCGCTCGAGGTCCTTCTCATATTATATGACAGGCATATTTATTTGAACGTTGGATTTTCTTCATGTCAACAGACATTGCACTGTTCGGGAAATTGCTCTTATAGGGTTGATGGCTTATCTATCTTACATTTTGGCAGAGGTAAAGTTTTGGGATCCTAGTTCGTCGAAATTATCTGGTTTTGACATAGACTAAATACTTGCACTTTGTGAAATCGTAATCAATGTTGCAGCTGTTTGAGCTCAGTGGGATTTTGACTGTCTTCTTTTGTGGGATTTTCATGTCTCACTATGCTTGGCATAACACGACTGAGAGTTCAAAAATTACAACGAGGCAAGCATTCTCTCCGCACTTTAGCCTCTGTGGACAGCTGTTTTTTAATGAAAGTGAAAGTGATGGATTTTTACCATCTATGATGATGTCAATGCAGGCATGTGTTTGCGACGCTGTCTTTTATTGCAGAGACATTCATATTCTTATATGTAGGGATGGATGCACTTGACATTGAGAAGTGGAAAGTAAGCAAATTGAGGTGAGGAATGTTCAAGAAGATTAGATTAGTTATTAGCATATGCAATTCTGTCTAGATCTGTTCCAGATTATTACCCCTTTTGTTACTTCTGTTTTTTCAGTGTTTGGCGTTCTCTTATCATTTATAGCACTGTGATGCTCCTTGTACTTGTTGGTCGTGCTGCTTTCGTCTTTCCTTTGTCTGCATTTTCCAATTATGTGCACCGGAATGCCCGGAACTCATCGACAATAACATTCAAGCATCAAGTAGGTTGTTGTTCCTCTTGTCGTTCAGTTGATTTAATGGACACAGGAAACCTTCTTCTGATGTTTTAATCTGCACAGGTTATCATTTGGTGGGCTGGACTTATGAGGGGAGCTGTTTCTATAGCTCTGGCATTCAAACAGGTATTTTGTCTTTTCACAGTAATGATCATGCATGGTTTTCAGTTTTCTGGGCTTCTCTGCATCTATTTACTGGACTTCCTGTCTTTTGGTTGGTGAAAGTTCACTCACTCAGGTGTGACATGGGATCCAGTCAATGCCGCAATGGTGGGTACGACCCTAATTGTGGTGCTCTTCAGTACAATTGTAAGTTCAATTTCCAATTTCCAACTAAAGTAGGAGTCATATTTGTAGAATTATCTCAAGTTACAAGAGAGTCATGTTTAACACTGTGTATGGATGTAGGTATTTGGCTTCTTAACAAAGCCACTTGTGAGCTATCTGCTTCCTCCAAGTTCTAATATCAGTGATATCAACCGCGAACCGAGCATTTCCAAGGATGTGAAGCTTCCTCTGCTCTCTTTTGAAGAATCTGCCGCGACAAATGTTTCACGGGCGAAAGATAGTTTGTCGATGCTTATAGAAAGGCCTGTCTTCACTATTCATCACTACTGGAGAAGATTCGACGATGCGTACATGAGACCGATATTTGGAGGCCCCCGGAGCAATGAATCTCAATGACAACGGTGGTGATCCCTAAACTACTACTTACAGATGACTGTGGTTTGTACATTTTGTTCATTGGTGCTGGGATTTACGCAAAAATGGAATGAGACCCGGCCTTATCAGGCACACGGCAGCTTTTTACGTGACAATATCCTGGTGAAAGACACAGATGACCTTTAGTTGGTTTAGAAAGAAATTTTCTGTTTCTAGTAGAAAGTGCATTACGCCAATAATTAAGAAAGAAATCACTTAATTTCAAAAACTATCGATTAACCTAGTCAACAATTTGCAATTGACAATCGCACTGTTCTTCCACCGAGATGGTCGACCTAAAAAGCATTTAGGAAAGGTCGATTATCAATCTGATTTTTCCTTTTCCTTGGGAATATGGTTGCAAAAATGTAATGGACTTCGGAAAGCCTACAATATCAATAAGCGTCAAGTATCCCTAAGTTTGTCCTCCTTGGTTAGTGTCACTTCGATTTTGATTCTGTCAACCAAACATTTAGCGACGAACTCTTCTTTAACCCAAAAGGTTGTGAGCCGCACCCTCTTTTAGATAATCTCTTCCCTGCAGTTATTCTTGTTCTTGGGGCTAAGCGTTTACCCTTTGAACAGCAAGCCGGAACTTGATTACATTTCAATAGAGAAAGCTATCAATGGTCACATTGAGACGGGAACAGGTGGGACCCCTCAAGTTCTATTCCTTTGGGTGAGACGGCGGTGAGCAATCGATGGACAGCAAGGGATGCTAGCGCTCTTCTACTCAGTTACTCAAAACATTTAGTAGCAGAGTGGTGTTCGTTGCTGTTGCCACTACGCTGGTTTCGATTCTGTCAACCAACTATGCAAGTTCATTCAAGCTTCCATACCACTTAAACCCGCGGAGACCAAAGTTGGTGAAAGGTCTTGTATGTTTTCACCGAGGCAATAATTCCTGGATGTATAACATAACCACTAAGGAGATGCTTCCGCTTCCTATCTCATCAACCCATGGCCATGAACAACATTAAGACCCTCGTCGTGAATGCCATTTTGGTTTTAATCTCGTCAACAAATGATACAAATTACATCGAACATGCCCCACTTGTCCTCGCGCTGAGATTCTATCGCGGTGGATTCTTCTTGGAGATTCACCTGACGACACTGGAATACGAAGGGCTGCACACTTAGGTGGAAGTCTCTGGATGGTTAATCTTGGTAAACAACGTACTTGGTTTCCTCTTGCTCATGAGAAGTTTATTTATTCAGGTTCCATCACAATTCTAGTCGCCATTGTCATTGATGAATTTAAGACTAATTGCATGCATCACAGATTGTTTACGTTTATTATTATTATGTGTTCTACTATTAAAGGAGTAGAATCAACACCAGCATAATTTACGATGTCTTATTAGAGGAAGCAGAGAACAGCATTCTATAAAATTGTACTCAAATCCATAATCTTCTCAATATGGTCTCAGTAGAGAGAACTGCATTCTTCTGCGAACGTGTGAATTGTGAAGTTGGCTAGTGTGGAAAACAAGGAAAGGCACGGCAGCTCAAATTGAACATCGAAAATACAGAATTACATATTTCATTTTCCAGAACGTACATGGAATCATCATCTTTTACATCTTTACCTCCTACTCTTGTGCATCTTTACAAGTGTTAGAAACTACCAGGAGAGAGATTAAGGAGAGAGATTACCTGATGAAGCTTTCTAAGATTTAGACCCTACAATAATTGCTGGCTAATCCATTTTAAAAACTAGCAACCCACAAAAGTACATCCCCATTCTGTTCACAATGAATGGCTTTCTAACTCAACCACACAAGCTAGAGCAACTAATGTTTTGGAAGCCTCCAAAATCCCTAATTGATAAGTAGTTCAGGATTCAGATGATGTCAGATCACAACAGGTTAGCAATTCAGATCACCACATGTCTGCAAAAATACGAGCTTTTTCGTTGGTCATGAGAAATAACGAAAGCAGCCAGGAAAAGAAGCAATTCGAGCAAAAATTATGCAAAAATCACTCACCAGAACACATGATCAGCATTCATGATTTTTTAGACAGATGGTGCCTTGCTAGCACCTCTGTAATGCCCACTGCGGAAATACTAGAGCACCCCAAGAGTTCTTGCAGTTTTGCATCACATCTGATATGCATCTTATTCATGGGGTCCTGAAAGTCCAAGGGGACAAAAAGAGGGATTACACCATTAAGACATTGAAATTGTAATTAAAGGGCAGAGCTTAGGTCACAGAAGTGATTCCGAACAAATGCAGCGTCCAGGAAGCAAGACTGAAACAAAAGCATAAAATTTCGCAGATATAAATTCACATTTAAGATTTGCCCACAAAATAGAAAAATTATTCAGTGCAGCTACTGCACCACGTAGGATTGTGCAGCCAGACACAATAATAGGGGTAAAGAAGTAATTTTGGGAGGAGAGAGATAATTTCTACGGGAGTTATACCACCAAAATAGGGGGCTGCTAATACTTGCTGCACTAAAAACCAGGATACAGCAGCTGTACCCAATAATTTTTCCACAAAATGTATGCAAATATGAACATCTCGGTGTTTCTCAATTGATCAGCCAATAATTAAGCAAATAGAAATAATATGTCAATCAATCATGAGGTAAAATTACAGAAACCATCTTCTGACAACAATATTATATGTACAATGGAGACCAGAATATTACAAACCTCAAGTTGGTTGACCTTAACATATTCCCATATCTGATTAGTTACTTGAGACTGCGGCATTTCCCTTTCGTTAGTACCAAAGAAGTTCGCAAGTGCTACAGATATCACAACTTCTTGATCCGTTGCGTTGGGAGTTTCACTTCCAGTCCCAGATTCCACATCTACCTTTGCTTTCTTAGAATTTTGAGCTGTCTGTTCTGAGAAGGGCAAAGTAACCAACCACTATACACGTGAGTAACAGAGCTAAATATGGAAAGAGAGATTACAAGTCTTTAATCGAACATACGTACTCGTAGGTTCAAGGGCAGTTATGTGCTTTGCTAGCAGCTTATTCATCTTGAACATATCAGTACAGTCAGTCTCAAATACCACTCGCAGCTCATCATTGCAAATTATTTTCCTTTTATTGTTAGGATCTTGAAGGTTATTTTTCCTTATATAAGCCCAAAGTTGCCTCACAATCTGGAGAAGAGAAACAAAAACAAAAAAATATTAGGATATGTCAAATACGACGATGGGAAAGAGCAAAAACATTGCAACTGTCCAAACCTCTGTCCTCGGCATTGTTGCTTGACCAACAACAGCCTGAAGTTCAGGTGAAACACCACAAAGTTTATTTAAACCACCCGGACCACCTCTTCTCTTTTTCCCAGTTGCAGCACTACAAAACAGTAAAAATGAATTGCATCAAGCTCTATATAAGCAGAATATTAACTGGATGCCCCCCTAAACAATGCTGAGATAGCCATGCAGCAACTATAGACAACTTTAGCTTGAATAGGCAAAAAGAGAAGAAACAGGATCAGAATCAGATAGGACTTCATATTCACCATAATCATAAACCATTTTAACGATATGAAAGAGCTTCAAAACCGTTGAATTGACCATTTGTCAACACAAAAGAAGTTTCTCTCAGAGATTTCTCTTCAATTATTCATTTAAATTGCAACTCAAATAACCGATTTCTCTCATAGCTCACATATCGCAACGAATTCCATTAATTAAGACACGGTAATTACAGTTAAGAAAAGAGCAACAAAAAAAAAATAGACCTTTTTGTCAATATTGATGAAACCATGTCCGTCAATGCATGAATTATTTTTAAAAAAACATGCTTATCTCAGCTCCTGCCTGGTTGGTGAGGAAATGGTGGGAATAAATAAACCCAATATAAAAGAAAGCAAACTAGTAATTATCTTTCCCCAGATTCTTCCATTCGCTCAACCACCCAAATCTCCCACAGTGGAAGGAAAAAGAGACAAGCAAAAAAAAAAAAAAAAAAGGAAACACAAACCTGTCTTTAGGAGCTTCAATTGCAGGGGCTACTGTCGGGGTAGGAGCAGCTAGGGTGGCAACCACCGGGCGTGGGGGCTGGGCAGGGTGGTGGGGCTGCTGCTGAAGGTGGTGTTGCAGTGGAGGGCGATAACCGTAGTCCTGAGGATGATGCTGAATGGCATAATTGGGAGGAAAGAAATGAGGGTGGTGAGGAGAAGGGACAACATGGTGGGAATGGTGTTGTTGTAAATTGGGGTTGTGGTGGAGGACAAAATGGTCTTTAGGGAGCTGGTGAGTAACCACAGGCTGAGGAGGTGGTGGTTGGAAGTAGAGATGGATCTGGGAACGGATAAAGTCAATCTTGTGGGACAAATTCAGCCCTAATTTGGACTCCAGGTGCCGAACGATGCCGTTGAGGGTCCCGATTGCTGGGTTGTGTGGATTCTGTTCACGGAGGAGTGTGCTCAACGCTTCCGCTATGTCCTGGTCCGTCACCCCCATTCGTCCACCACCTCCTCCTCCGCCACCACCACCACCGGCACCACCACCGCTTCTGTCACTACTACTCATTTTTTTTTCCCAAATTCTCCTCCTTTTTTTATCCTCTTCACAGTTAATTATTACTGAGTTAAAATATCCTTCTAACTCAGTAAACTCACTGACTGACTCGCTCACTCTGTTCTAACAGAAGAAACTAACGTCCTCTCTTTCTCTCTCTCTCTCTGAAAATCTCTCTCTTTCCGTCACTCTCTTTCTCTCTCTTTTCCTGTTTCTCTGTCGTTTCTATCTCTTCTTCCCGATCTTATATACGGAGTTGAAATGACGAAATCATCCCCGGTTGAAAGTATTCAGTGACGGGGGTGGGTACGAATTGGAAGTGAAGGACCAATGGGAATCGTGGTAAGGTCTTTGCTGTGAGGGATGTGGGTGTCACTGCACTGTGACTTTAGTCCATGTTCTTATCCTTTGGGTTAATAATATAAAAATAGTGGAGAGAGATGATAGTAGATATCGATCATCTAATAAAAACAAATTTGAAAAAAGGGAAAAGATGTAGAATAGAATATAGCAACATCGTATCTCAGTTCAAATTTCAAACTCACAAATCCTCTTTTTTTTTTTTCTTTTTCTTTCTTATTTTTAGGTTTAGAAATGGGATAAATCAAAGAAGTTATACAACATTACTACGACGAATTTCCATAGCAACTTATGAATATTTACCGAGTGACAATGGGTATTACTATAATGTTATCTTTTTTGGAAAGTCTAAACATGTTACGTTTAAAGTTAAACGTACTATATAATGTTGTCATGCAAGAAAGTCCAGTATAAGGTACAGATTGATGCCTATAAATATAACATTACAAAAAAATAGTACGACCTTGAGGTCATGATAGTTTGGGATTGGTTGTCTGCAACAATAATAACATTGGTACAACATATTCATGAAAAGAAAAATGTGGATTTTTTTATTTTTTATTTTTTGCAAAAAAAAGAATCTGTTCTTTCTTCTTTGTTATCTTATATTCAAGGTTTTTTTCCATGGTATTTAACATTACTCGATCTCTAAAATGGTCTCTATAAGCCTAAAATCACCATTATGATTGGAACATTTCCATAGAGCTCAGTTTAGTAATGAACCAACTATGTTATTGAAGTTGAAAGCAATATGCCAATGGGGATAAATAAAATGAAGTGAATGGAAAAGGTCATGACCCAAAGAAAATCTTCCATACAGTTGTTGTATCAGGTGAGATTATACAACCAGACACATACAAAGGGTAAGGTTATAATTTTATCGGGATAGTTACCATAAAATTAGAGAGACCATAAATATTTTATTGTATTATGGGAGTCTTGCTGCAAAAAAAAAAAAAAAAAAAAAACACTTGCTTTATGGAATAATTTTTCCATAATTCATAAAAAGCAAATTCTTTTCTACCCACGTGGTGATGAATTCGAGATGAGTAGTTACAACATATGATGTGTTAATGAGGGGAAGACAAAGGTCTTGTTTGACCAACACTCATTTTGCATTTTTGTCTCATTTTACCTCTTAAAACACCTCTCAAACACAATTTTCAATACTATCCAAACAATTTTTTTAATTTACTTTTTAAAAAATATTTCAAAAATTATTTTTATACAATTTTTGTCCACTATCACCGGACCACCTCCACCACCACCCGCCACCACTGGACCGCCCCTTGCTGCCGACCGACTAGTGACTGATTGCCGGAATTTGGCAGGAATCCGGCCGGCCGGTCGCCGGACGGCGGTAGCTCGGCGGCGGTAATGGGCGGTCTGGGAAGCGATTGATCACCGGAATTTGGCAAGAATCCGCCCGGCCGATCGCCGGACGGCGATAGCTCGGCGGCGGCAGTGGGCGGTTCGGGAGCGGTGGTTGGCGGTCCAGGGGCGGTGCTGGTGGTGGAGGTGGTATGATGGTGGTCTAAAGATATTATGATTTTATTTAAAATATTACCCAAACAACTTTTTAAATTTTATCTCAAACCACATTTTAAATCACATTTCAAACCCAAATAAAAAACAAAAACAAAAACTAAAACAAAATGTTGGCCAACCAAATCCAAAGTAATTGAGACTCATAACTCATTAAAGTTTTTTTTTTCCCTTCTTTTTTAGAGGGTTTTTCTTGTCAAAAAAAAATTTTAATTTTTCTTCTTTTTATAGGGAGTGCAATGGTTACTATAATAATCATCTGATACTTTTTGATGAGTCAAGTCCTGTAATGATTATGTTAGCATAATCAAGGTAAGTAACAGATAGGTTAAGGGAAAATTAAATACTCCTTCACTCGCGAACAAATAATTAAGAAGAAACCAATTACTCTCTATTCTGGAAGAAGGGTAAGGGGGAGTATTATTTATGCAATGTAGCTTCTATTGGTGCACACTTGGCAAATGGTTGCCAAAATTGAGCAATCGAAAAGTGCGTAATTGGTAGTACAAAATTGGGCATAAATAGACTTTCTTGGACAAGTTTTATTGCTCTTGACGCGGACAATATGGTGTATCAATGATTCCCACGGTTGCCAAATGCCAATTGGAAAGATGTATGGTCGACATATAAAAGCAAGAATCTTTTATTTTCAGTGAAATTACATTTTCAGGAAAAAAAAAAAATAAAAAACGTGCATGTCTCTTTTATACTCTCTCTGTCCTAAAATTATTGTCAAGTTTGAGATTCCATTTTTAGTACAATTTAAATTAGAAATGAAAACCCAAAGTGTACAATAATTATGGGACGGAGGAAAGTACATTTTATGCTTTTTTTTGTTTTTGTTTCTGTTTTGTGGATTGACTAGAAAAAGAAAAGCAATTATCAGCAATAATAGTTGAATTAACTGCAATTTTATTGTGACAAGCATCGTAAGGTTTATTCAAGAAAGCTCTAGAGTAGCAAAAAGAAGTGCATTGAATTTTCTGTAACGTTTATTATATATATGGGGAAAGAAAATGTCATAAATTTTAAGTTATTCCAAAGTTAAACGGCAAACATAACACCTTTCATAAACATTTTCCAAAAAAAAAAACTTTCATAAATAAAACGATGGCTACATGGGAGTGGTGCGTTCATTTTTGAATAACAGGGTTTTTTCTTCTTCTTTTTTTTTAAAAAAATTATACACAGAGCGTAAATTCCATAAATTATACACAGAGAGTTTTGCATGAAATTGTTACATCGGGATTGGACTTTTTGAAGAACTAGTATCATATGGCGGTGTATAAAATCTCGGGTATGTTTGTTTCGTTTTTTTTTAGTGTACGTTTTTATGTGTTTTTGTATTTATAATATAAAAAAATATATTAAAAATGTAAAAAGATATGTTAGGATGAGACAGTTATTAATATATTAATTTTAAAAAACCATCAAGAAAATGAAACAAACAAAGCGAATTTCCTACCGATTTCATTGGAGAGCTAATTTCTTTTTGGAAGATCCTTACAATACAATTTGGGTTTCTAATAGAACTAGTGATGTCTGGTCGCGTAATGCGCGGCCCTAGCCCAATATATCTGTAGATCTTAGAAATATTTGTATCTGAAAAAAAAAAAATTTATATTTGGCTCAATATATTTTAGGAATATTTGAAGAATTTAGAAATGTTTTATAAGTGTGATCATAGAAATGTTTGTATTTGACATAAAAAGAAATTGTATTTGGCCCGGTACGTTTTAGAAATGTTTGAAGATTTTAAAAATATTTTAATATTTTATAAGTGTTACTTCTTAAATATAAATAAATTGATCAAATATATGTCTTGAAATAAATGCTAGACAAAATATAAAAGCATCCTAATAAGTTTAAATATTAGTAAGATGATTTATTAATGTTCTCCATTGGTTGTACTAAATCAATACTTAGTTTTGGAGATTTATAATAGCTTTGTAGTAAGCTTCCTCCACAAGGTATACGCTTAATTGTTGGAACTATTTCTTCCAAAAGTTTATAGATAGTAAAATATCAAAAATATGATTTTGAAACTGGTTGGTTAATTGTTGTAACTGGTTGATCACAAATATGAGAATGAAAATAATGTAAATTTGCATAGGTTTCAAGTTATAGAACTCACCTCACCATGGCAAATAAAAAAAAAGAAAGTAAAAGATAGCTCATTAGGAATTGAGAAATTTATTTTTTTCTGTAGGTAAAAATGATGTATAAAAACACAAATAAACGTAGAAACATCATTCCTTTCCTCTCCACCTCAAATTCATAAAAGTTTTTCCCATAAATTAGTTAGAAGAAGCGACCTGAACTATTTATATGATGAGGAATTAAAAAAAGTCCAAAAAACAAATCTAAAAAAGTATATTCTTGAAAGCCCGAACACAAAAAAAAATGCGCTTCATTTACAAATAAAATAAAATAATAATAATCATTGGTCAATTGGGAGTATGAAACAAAATCAAAAGCAATTAGACAAAGAAAAAACACACTTCATAACTGACCATATACGGGAAAAAAAAAACAGAGACTCCATAATTAAAAAAAGAAAACGACTCTAATTGAACGAAACATAAAAAAAAAAAAAGAAATTTAAAAAACCACACTATGTAACAAAAACTCAATTAATCAATTCAACCCAAACAGAATTAAAACCATAAAAATTATAGGCTAACTAACCATATAAGAAATCATATCATATTACTGGACAACGGTTACGGTAGTTATAACGGATGGACGTATAAAAATAATAGTAATAACACTATTATTGAACGGAAAAAACAAAAAATAATAAAAGCCAAACAAATGATTTGTGAAAATAAAATCATTTAAATTTTAATACCTGTAATGGCACCACCACAATGGCCGAAGCAAGATCAATGAAATTTTTTTTTTTCTCCTTTGTGTTTATATAGAGAGGTAAAGAGAATGTTTTTTGAAGTTGAAATTTTATCCGATTATGATGTAGTTGATCATCACTAATGAAAAAATTGAACATGCTAATAGGAAAGGAGTATATTTCACCACATATTCTCAATTGATGATTGATGAGAAATTTGTTTTTTTCTTTTTTTTTTTTTATTGTGGAGAAGGGATTGATTAGAAAGTCGATTGTTGTGGAGATGGGGATGAAGATTTAGGTTTTTTATGAACTCGTGGTTTTTTTTTTGGCGAAAATAAGAGGTGGAGGTGGATTTGGACTGTATTTCCCTTTTAAGTCTAGGAGATATGTAAATAAAAATTTATTTAAAAAATATGATGTGGAAATGCCACATGGCAAATGGTGGTACTTTCTCTTAAGTGTGGTTTTTCTTTCTAATATAGTAAGATAGGGAGAATGGGCCTTTTCATCCCAAGGTTTGAGCCACACCATCTAAAACATTCCAAAGTTTAAAAGCATGCTATTTTCATCCCAAATTTTTCAAAAATAAGTAATATTATGACATTTGTTAAATTTTTCAAGCTATTAACGACGATATTTTATTCAGTTTTTTTTCCCCATTTTTTTTAGTCAAAAAAGTTTCATGGTTGCGTTTGTTAAATTTGGTCCATGCCAAGGAAAAAAGTTGCATGTCCCTGCATCAATTACAACACTAATTTTTATAATGATGTTACATATTTAAAAAAATAAATGAAATAGGGCTTACATTCTAATTAGGACACACGCAAAACCTCTCATGATTGTTATCAATCTAGAAGGTGAATTTTAGATTTTTTTTTCTTTTTTCTAAGCAAGGGAAGAATGGATGATGTGAAGACCAAATTAGGTTTAGCTATTTTCTTATAAGGTGAGAGTTAGTGGAACGTGTTAAATGATTAAAAGAATTGAGGGAGGAGAAACAGAATAAAGTACCACTACTAATTAATTAAGTGGAGTTAAAAATTTAACGAATATCCTAATGTAATATGTTTTAAAAAAGTTTGGGATGTAAATGGCATGTTCTTAAATTTTAGGATGTTTTGATTGGTGTGGCTCAAACTTTGGGATGAAAAGACCCATTTTTCCTAGTAAGATATGGCAAACTTTTCCCTATCGACATAATGGACTCCGACAAGTTTTTGAGATCCAGCATGCTGATACAATGGGCCTGTATGTACTATGTATGTTAACAAATGTTGAATTTTTTTTTAAAAAAAATTAGTAAAATAAAAAAATGGATTGGATTTAAATTGAAGGCATTCAGATATATTAAATCGTTCGAAAAAATACAATACACATTATATTTTGAAATTTATATTGTTTGTAGAGTAAATTTCAAAACTAAATATGTAATATTTTTCTTTGGATAAAGGAAGTATATTTTAAACAAAGGGGTTATAGTTCAATAAAAAATGGGATCTTCCGTTCACCAAAAATAAAATAAAATAATAATGATCTCCCTTCAGAGATTGAGTGATAGAACATGTTGCGGATATTGAACAATTCTAAATTTTTTCCCAAACTCTCACCCATTTTAAGTTTTCGAATTTCATCGCGGACTTTGAATAACTACGAATGTTTTTGGCAATTCAAAAAGAAAAACAAAATCAATGTTATTAATTGTAACCCACATTTTATTCGGAGAAAAAGACATTTTTATTTTCATTCAAGCTAGGTTAGAAGATACACGTTTTGGATGAGAATGGAATTTAGTTCATGGCTTTTGGTAGGTTAGTTTTTTTAGACAGAAATATTTTGCATTTCTCAGATTATTGTTATCAACAGCCTATAGATATATTCTTTACATCTAAAAATAATTATTCAATTTGAATTTTTATTTTAAAATAAATTGTGTTTAAAAAAATTTAAAATATGGTGACAAATACTTTCAAAAGGACATATGAATAGGGGGAAAAAAAAACAGTGGAGGAAAAGTGCACAAATGCACATGTTGAGATTTGAGAATTAGGGATGAGATATTAGGGGGATTGAATGATCACTGTTTGGTTTTGACTTTAGCGTAAGCGACACCGTTGTCGGCGGCGGTGGGCGGTGGATTCGGTTGCCACCTATCACCTCTTTTTTCTTTACGGGACTTAACAACCAGGGGTTGAGAATCAATCCATCAATAGGACATCCGGAAAAGAAAGAATGAAAAAAACAAAACAAAATAAAATTCAACAAATGTTTTATACCATATTTTGAGCAAATAATCTTTACACTATAATAACTAATTATATAAATTTACAGCATTCCATAGCTTCTAAGAAGAAAAATAAGTGCTACATTTCGATACAGACCAATCCATCTAAGGTCCTTCACTAAATTGTAAATGTTAAATTATAAAACTACTTTTCAATATCCTTAAAATTTAAGATAATATATTATCTGTCTCAAAAAAATAAATAAGTCACATCCAATTTTTAAATTTGTACTAAAATTAGTACAAATTTCAAAATTTAATACTCTTCTGTCCCATAATTATTGTCCAGTTTGGATTTTCATTTCTAATTCAAATTGTATTAAAAGTGAAATTTCAAACTGGATAATAATTTTAGGACAGAGGGAGTATTTTTTTTTTTGGAAATGGGGAATATATCCCTTTTACCTACTTAAAACATGTGCTATGCGATAGTTGTAGAAAACTGATTTTCCCCTATAAAATGAAGTAAAAATGGCAACTTCTTTATGTAAAATAAAAGATCGAAAGGAAAAATGAATTCCTAAAATTAATCGCTAAACTGAAAAAATTAATTCTTAAACTTTAAAGGATTGGTTCCAACAACACAAATTTTACTTATCGGTATTCTACTATTCTCTACAATATCTCGATTCAAATTAAATATTAAAAAAGATTTTTCTATACTAATTTTTATAATTGTATAAAAGAATGCTTCATTTTAAAATAAGATCATCATAAAAACATATCATTCTTTTTAATTACGTATCAGTCTTCTCTAAACGGTGTTTGAACAGCCGTCCAAACTATGAGACTAGTATTTGTAATTATAAAGTGACCGCAAAAAGCGAATACCATATCGCTATTTCCATAAAATAGTCCAAAAGCCAAGAACTAAAAATTAAAGGTAGGAAAGACAGGCCACAATAAAACATCATATTTTTATATTTATATTACCCCAAATATTTTTTAATTTTTTGCTAGAACTCTAGATTTTGGCCTCAAGAAGTTGGGAAAAAATGTCGTTCTTACCTAAATCTTTACACTCGTCGTCAATCATACCTAATAGATTTTCGGTTAGCCAACATGATCATACTGTTTGAAATTTTCGCCAATTTCGTCCAATCGTCCCATTTTCTGTTCAAATTAACGGATCTCCGTTAGTTTCTTAATAAACTAATAAATTTAAATACAAAAATACCTCAGTAGTTTGTAAAAATTTTAAAAATAACCCTTAAAATATATAAAAATAACCTTTTCACTTTTTTATTTCATTTTTCTCTATTTTGTTCCATTTCTCTCAACTACTTTTAATGACCATAAAAGTATATTATATGACTTTTAAAAAAATATTTATTTATTTTCAAACTCTACCGTAAAAGTTAATCTTTGTATAGTTGTAACACATGATTGTATTTATATAAGCATGTTAATCTTTTTAATAATATAATTTATCAATAAAGACACTATTTTTCTAATTTATTTTATTCTTCCTAACATAAACATTAAAAACATTTAAATGAAACTAATATATTTCACATAAAAATAAAATATTAGCTCAAATAAAAAAAATATTAATATATTTTTTCTGTCAAGTTACAATCATATTTTTATATATTTATATTGCCCCAAATATTTTTTAATTTTTTGCTAGAACTCTAGATTTTGGCCTCAAAAAATTGGTACCATTAGACAAGATCGAGGGTGACGAAATCACGATGATGACATGGACTGACGCGTGTACATATTAAACTGCTGAGTTGTCAAGCGTAGGGGAGGGCGAGTGCATATGAACCTCCGAAACAAACGCGCGTAAATCTACGCTCCCGCCTTATCAGAAAATGGGCCTCCATTACAGAATTCGCTGAACTGGTTCTTCCCTGGGTCCTCTTCTCTTCCCTTTGCGTGTCCCTTAGCCCAAAAATTTTCCCCCATTCATTCATTTCTCATGGCTATTAACTTCTTTGCCTACCAAAGAAGCAAAACTTCAAAGTTCTTTTAACAACAAAATATAGAATCCTTCTTCTTCTACTTCTTGTTGGGTCGCTTCATCTTCTCATTTCATCAAACATCTAGTCAAACCTTGACATAAGCTTGAAATAATAATCTATCCCTATTGCCAAATCTTGTTTTTTTTTTTTCTCCACAGGTATGTTCTATGTTGAGTTTTTTTCATGGCTCGGTTAGTTTTGCTCACGATTACTGTTGTATTAAATTATTGACAAACTATGGAAGTAAAAACTTGTTTGAAGTATTGAATGCACTGGGCATAGTTGCATGTTCTGTTAATGAATTGCCTTCTTTCTTCATCTCAGTTGTATATAAATGGTTAATCTTTTGTTTTTTCTTCGTGGATTTGCAGAGGTTTTGGTCGGTGTTGATTGGGTTGGGAACTGGGAAGTATAGCCTAAATCTTGGAGATCTTCCCCGCGATTTTCGGAGCCGCGGGGTGGAAGGAAGAAAAAAAATGTCTAGTTTTGTTGGAGTTCTTGTTTCGGATCAATGGCTTCAGAGCCAGTTCACACAGGTTGAACTTCGCAGCCTCAAATCCAAAGTAAGCATCCTTTGCCCTGTTAATTTTTGTCTGTTTATTCCTTTGATAAGGTTATCATGTTAAATTGTTTGGATTTATGTCATTTGATCGAAACTGGGAATTCATAAGATTAGAAGATTGAATTTGGTTGTTCCTATTTGTAGTTCACAATGATCATGAATCAGAGTGGTAAAGTTGCTGTTGGAGATTTGCCTCCTTTCATGGCCAAATTGAAGGCCTTCAGTGGCAATGTTACTGACGAGGAGATTCAAAAGATGCTCGAAGAAACATATCCTGATTTGAGTGGCGAAATCGATTTTGAGGGCTTCCTCAGGGTGAGTTTGTACTGTACCTATGGCTTCGTCCAAAGTTTTTTCTTTTTGGACATGTAGTTAGTGCTTGAATTTGATTTGAAAAGTCAAAATGCAGACAAACAACAGTGACTTACATTGCTAGTATTAGAGGCTGCAGTTTTCACTCTTTCTCTCTATTGGGGGATGAATTTGATGGAAAAATTTGATTGTAACTTGACAGGCATACTTGAATTTGCAAAGTCAAGCCAATGCTAAAAAGGGTAGTACAAAAAATTCCTCCTCTTTTCTCAAGGCAACTACCACCACTCTGCTTCATACCATCAATGATTCAGAGAAATCATCCTATGTTGCTCATATCAACAGCTACCTCAGGGATGATCCATTCTTGAAGCAATTTCTTCCAATAGACCCAGCTTCTAATCAATTATTTGAACTTGCAAGGGATGGAGTACTTCTATGGTATTTAAACAGGGTCTGCTTTTAGTTCTCTTCCTGCTTTGTAAATTTTAACACAATGTTTTCTGTTGGATTTGACATACTTCATGGCAATGCAGCAAGCTGATCAATGTTGCAGTTCCTGGTACTATAGATGAACGTGCTATCAATGTGAAACGGGTGCTCAATCCATGGGAAAGAAACGAAAACCACACGCTTTGCCTGAACTCTGCAAAGGCTATTGGCTGCACAGTAGTTAATATTGGTACCCAAGATCTGATTGAAGGAAGAGTGAGTTGGGCTACTTTAACTAACTGTGCTTCTTTTTGTTTAGCACTTTTCTGAATTTCCACTGCTGATCCTATGTGTTTTCTCCCATTTGCAGCCACATCTAGTGCTTGGACTGATATCTCAAATTATAAAGGTTAGTATTATCACATTCTTATAGTTTATAGTTTATGGAGTTCATCATGGTCAGTCCCTGAAGAAACAGGATGGTCCTATATTTTTGTTGCTCATTCCACCTATTGTAAATTGTGAAAATTTCAGATTCAGCTGTTGGCCGATCTTAATCTCAGGAAGACACCTCAGCTTGTAGAACTTGTAGAGGACAACAGTGTATGGTTTTGCTCAATTTCTTATATCGCCATGTTTTTTGGTAAAGCATGTACTCAATATAAGATGACTTGTGTGCAGGACGTTGAAGAGCTTATGGGATTGGCACCAGAAAAAGTCCTATTAAAATGGATGAATTTCCATCTTAAAAAAGCTGGCTACAAGAAAACTGTTTCAAATTTTTCTTCAGATTTGAAGGTATTTAGTTTCCTTCTTGTGGGTCAGTTCTGAACAACTTACACGATATGGTTTTATTTACAATTGTAACAATCTTTGGGTGATGTTTGTAGTTTTGATTACAGTGGGACCTGTTGCGTTTTGTTTGATTGGTTTAAGAAAAAATGAAAGAGCCCGGTGTTTCTGATAATATTGTGTTTTACTGTTTTGTGGTGCTGTCTGTGGTATACATTGGAGTTGTCAGGTTGAGTTCAATATGAGTAGTTTTAAATGATTTACTACATCCAAGCCTGTAATGTGCTTGTATTGTGCAGGATGGTGAGGCGTATGCGTACTTACTTAATGTACTGGCACCAGAGCACTGCAGTACCGCGACATTAGATGCCAAGGATCCTGTTCAGAGAGCAAATTTGGTTCTTGACCATGCAGAGCGAATGGATTGCAAAAGATACTTGACTCCAAAGGATATTGTTGAAGGATCTGCCAACCTGAATCTTGCATTTGTTGCACAGATATTTCATCAGAGGTGATGTCAGTACTCCATGTGATTCTTGAGTGTCATCTTTTTCCTTATTTTCTGAAATTGAAATGGGCAAACCAGTTTTTTTTCTCCTCTGCAAGTCAGAACTTGGTCCTGCAGGATGAACTTTTCAGCGGAGTTTGGTTTTGTCCTGCTGTTTGTCTCATTCTGCTACTGTGTTTTTACATCTTTGTTTCTTACATTGGCTGTATTCATGTTTTATACTAGTAATATACTGTTTTTTTTTTTCTATGACAATTTAATGACATTTCATACCTGATGATACTGAATATTAGAAGAGCTCAATTTGGAGACCTACGGTAGAGGTGCTTTTGAGAAGTATTTTATTAGATTTGGATTATATATAGACATCAAGTTCCTTTTTTAAGAAAGCCATGACAAGCATTTGAGTGAGTTGAGAAACAATGATATCTCATAGCTTTGCTTACTCCGCCCTTGCCTGATCTGTTATGGCTGTGTCTAGTATGCTTGCTAATTGCTTAGTTCATGTGCAGGAGTGGCTTATCAACCGATAGCAAGAAGATCTCCTTTGCTGAGATGATGACAGATGATGAACAAATGTCTAGAGAGGAGAGATGTTTCAGATTGTGGATCAACAGCCTGGGAATTTCATCTTACGTCAATAACCTTTTTGAGGATGTTAGAGATGGGTAAGTTCCTAGGTCGTGATTAAAAGTTAAAATGACTTGTTTTGCTGTAACTTTTTGGATGGTATTAATGAAGCTTTTCCAGATGCGTGATGGGAGTTTATTGTTGTTCTTGTCAGTTGGATACTTTTGGAGGTGCTGGACAAGATTCACCCAGGATCCGTTAGTTGGAAACATGCTACAAAACCTCCTATTAAGATGCCATTCAGAAAAGTGGAGAATTGTAACCAGGTCGTTAAAATTGGGAGACAGTTGAAGCTTTCTTTGGTAAATGTAGGAGGAAATGATTTCGTTCAAGGAAATAAGAAGCTATTACTTGGTAAAGTGCTTGGAACTTGCTACTCCTTACTTTATCTGTTATTGAGACATTGATTTTGGATACCTGGCATTAGCACCTGATTGTTCTCTGTTTTTGTATTTTTCTTGTTCAGCTTTTCTGTGGCAACTGATGAGATTTAATATTCTTCAACTCCTGAAAAACCTGAGATCGCGCTTCCAAGGCAAGGAGATCTCAGATTCGGTTATACTCAGCTGGGCAAACAAAAAAGTGAAGAGCACGGGTCGAGCATCTCAAATGGAGAGTTTTAAGGTTAATACTGTAGAATATTTAGATTATTTTGATCTAACCAATTGGTGATGAGCTCTTTGTAATGGTTTGTTTGTTGTGTTGATATTTGATTCAGGATAAGAGCCTTTCTAATGGATTGTTCTTCCTAGAGCTTCTTAGTGCAGTGGAGCCACGGGTTGTCAACTGGAACCTCGTAACTAAGGGTGAAAGTGGTATGTTTAAACACCATAACTTTATTTTGAAGTTTATTACGGAGGTTATGTGCTTTTCTTTAAGTAGCTGGTTCATTGTACCATCCCGGGTGTCACAGATGAGGAGAAGAAGCTGAATGCTACTTATATCATCAGTGTGGCACGAAAGCTTGGTTGCTCTATTTTCTTGTTGCCAGAAGACATCATGGAGGTCAGAATGGAAGTGAAGCTTATCGTTATTTTGTTTCTTAACTATAGATGATTCAAGCAATCCGTGATTTTCTCTCCAAGTTATAAATCATGAACAGAATATTTTTTTTTCTTTTTTTTTTTTTAATCTCCTGTTCTATATACTTGAATTCTTTGACAGGTCAATCAAAAGATGATTCTTACGCTGACTGCCAGCATCATGTATTGGAGCCTTCAGCAAAGTGCCGAAGAATCAGATTCATCTGCATCTACTACCCTTAGAACTCCACCTGCCTCTCCAGGATCTTCAATTAACAGCTCTCCAGCGCCAATCATGGTGGACACTCCTGATGCATCCTCTACTCTTTCATTCAGTGATTCCTCATCTCCTATTGCATCTCCATTTGAAGAATCCCCTGCTCCATCAGTTAATGGGGAGGACGAAAGCTCACTTGGAGGTGAGGTATCCAATTTGATCCTCGACGATGTAGCACCAAAAGCTACAGTTTCGTTGTTTGAAGCAGAGAATGGAGATGAGCAAAAATCAGTGGAGAATGTTGATGACTCAAAAGCAGCAGAGAATGGGGATGGACTAAAAGCAGTGGAGAATAGTGATGACTCAAAAGCAGCAGAGAATGGGGATGAAACGAAAGCAGCGGAGAATGGGGATGAACCGAAAACAGCAGAGAACGGGGAGAAACCAAAAGCTGTGGAGAATGGGGATGGACCAAAATTAGATGAGCAATAGTATTTCTTATATGTTTTGTTCGTGAAGTAAAAAAGAATAGGAAAAGGAAATCAATACAAAGATTGAGAGAGAAAGAAAAATGCTTTAGGTCAAGTTAGGCAAGTAGATGAATACTGTTCATAATGAAAGTTACATAGTACTATATCATATATATATATAAAAAAAAAACAGAAATACAGAGTTGTCCTCCTCTTTAGAAACATTGGAATTTCACCAACTCTTTTGTAATCCGCGGGTTTGTATCTTCTGGCCTTCGACTTGGTAAAATTTTGTATGGATTAAACTCTGCCAAGATGGTTCCTTTTTTTTTTTTTTTTTTGTTTTTGTTTTTTTGGGTATAGCATTTAGCGAAACCGTGAAATTTTGTAGGTTGCAGCATCATCGTATTGTCGTCAAAAGAAGGCCACTTAAACAGTTGATGGCTTTAGTATCATATGTACGCATAGAAGCCTTGATAAAATACGGGGCTTATGGGTCGTACAATAGATCTCATTTGCTCCACTCATCCTAAAAGTTAGTGAGCAGTTGATCAGAATCCTTTGAATATCCTGAGTAAAGCTCTAGAGACAAACAACCGCAGGTTGAGGAAGCAGTATTATGGAGGACATTGGCAAACAATCGAATGAAGACTGAAGGAAATACAGATGCTGAGATCATTGCGGCTACCCAGTTGAAGGAAATCAAAGTGGGATAAAGAGAGAGAATATTCTCCTCATAATGGTACCTCTACCAATGCTTTTAAGACCTGCCATGCATGAACCCACCAAAGTTCAATTAAAACTAAACAAATCTGAGGATGCATCAGAATACGTTTAGTTCCCAATTGCTTCTGGAGGGATCATATAGAAGCAACTGGTAACTGTATACCTTTGCTGGCTTCCACAGAATCGACGGTTCATCTCCTGGAGGAATCTACCGACAGATAGTTAGAATGGATGAGAACCAAAGTGAAACTTAATCAAGTGTTTCACCTAAAACATTAATCAAAGGTATAGGAACATTAGTTTGTACAACCCTGTAAAACTTAATCTGATTCCAAAAAGAATTAAACATAGGGGGATTTTTTTTCCATGTTGGGCAACAAAGAATCTTTACTATCTTGCTTACTTGTATTGTAGTACTAGTATTATTTCTAGAGCTTGTCGGAGAACCTTCCAAAAGCCTTAAAAATCGTTGACAAAATCATTGCATCCCTTCCCTATTTGAATTAATCTGGCCAAACCCCAAACTCCACCGCCTAGTTCTGGCGATAATAATGCACCATGGGTAACCTACGGATACGCACCAATACCCAGTGATGACGCCGGCCCGGAGGACTCATCTCTTTCAAGGTCTGGTGTACGCCTTCAACGTCTCTGTCTTTTACCCCAATGCGAATATTCCTGCTGGTGGTCTCCTCCTCGCCACCGACGCGAGTTCCCGGGCCGTTCAGGATCCGGCCGTCAACCGGACGGCTCCGACCCGTTTCGTTTGAGTTGCGTTTGTCAATGACATTGGAATCGGCTAGTCATACTGATCTTTCCCGAAACTATCCTCTTAAAGATTTTCTCATGGTTTGTAAAGGCATCAAGGTTTTGATCCAACCCTCCAAATCAGTACCTCTCCTTAACGCAACTGGATATGCTGCCCCGGTTCCAGAGCTGCGCCAAACATGCCAAAAAATTACTACTCTATCTGTTCGTCCCACAAAAAATAGTCCACATTGAGTCTAAATCACTCTGCTTTGCAAGTGAGAGGCACTTTGTACCAACTAATCACTGACAAAACACAATACATTAATCTTTGAAAACCCCTTCATTCTTTCGCAGTTTAAAATGTCAAATTATCCGACACAGAAAAATTACACTCATCACATCTTACCTTATTCAATAGTCTATTCCCCTTTAGACTTTAGAGCAACTCCTACATACGAAGAAGTAAACTAGCTCCATGTGCACATAGTGAAAAATAATAATAATAAATAAATAAAATTACTAGATTATTACATTTCAAAATTTTATTACTGTTTTTTTTTTAATTTTCGTGAAAGAAAAGAAAACTAAACCTATAAAAAATATCGGGATCTTTTGCATGACTTGGGCAACAAAGAATCTTTAGTATCTGCTCACTTGAGAGCTTATCCATCCACCAAACTAGCCTTAAAAATCGTGAACAAATCATCAGCTCCCTTCACTCTATCTCAGTATTACGCTGCCTCATTTCAATCTGCTCTAATTTCATATCTTAAAACAAAAATTAAAAGAGAGATGGAAATGGTTCCCAAATCTCAAACTCCGCCGCCGCGGCAGCCACCCGAGTCTAGTTCTAGCAGTAATAATGCATCATGGGTAGCCTACGGGTACCCTGTTACGTATACAATACCAACTGACGCCGCCGTTCTTCCTGCCCGCACTGGTGGCCGGAGGACTTCTGCGGCGTCCGCCAGTCGCTATTCAGTATCTACTAATCGGCTTCCACTGGGATCGGAATGTACTTTTGGCTATAAAATGTGTTCTGGGATCATGTCCTTAATTTTGATCGCGTTTTTATTTTTCCTCTTTGGGAGCATGATGAATGCAATCGGCCGGAACGCTTACACTGTGGGCGTCAATATTGGATCTTTCAGTGTTTCCAATATGAACATCTCCAACAATCAATTCTCAGCTAATTGGTCAATCGGGTTGAATATCACGAATTCACAACCTCAGGTCTGTCAAGGTTTGGTGTACGCCGTCAACGTCTCTGTTTTTTATCCCAATTCAATTCCTGATCTCCTCCTTGTCACCGACGGGAATCACCGAGCCGTTCAAGATACGGCCGTCAACCAAACGTCGGTTTACCTCCGACCCGTTTCGTGGCTGGTGGGTTTGGATGGTTCGGGTGGGGATTTAATGAACCAAGACGCCAGTGTTGATGGGGTTATGGAGTTTGACATCCGATTGTCACTCACATTTGAATCAGCTAGTGCTACTAATCAATCCAAAACGTATCCTTTTGAAGTGATTTTCCTAGATTGTAAAGGTATAAAGGTTTTGATTGAGCCGTCGAAATCACCTCTCGTCAACGCAACTGGATATGCAACCCAGATTCCAGAGCTGGTGGAAACAGGGGAAACAATAATTTTATAGATGTCCCGTCTGTATGAATGGAGGGGAGAGATTTGCGTTATTTTGATTGGTGAGTTTTTGCGAGTTTTCTAGGCTCAAATTTGTTCTGTTTGAAGAGTTAAATTGTGTATTTGGAAGGAAAAAATAAGAGACTTGTTAGAACATATGTGTATGTACTTCTTCCACCTTTTTTGTCTGTGACATTCGTAGTTGTATCTTTTGTCCTTGACCTGTTAAGATTATAGTGGAAACTTCAAAGTTGGTTCTATTAATTAGCAGAAGCAAGAAAAACCATGCAAGTTTTGCAAGGGCATAAGTCATAACAAATAATGAACAAAACCGATCTACAGGGAGGCCTCAAGGTTTTTTGGTTAGAACGCTATTTACTTTTTGCCTGTTGCAAATGTAATATAACTATATATGCAGGAAGGATATGAGCTAAACCAGAAGCAGAATATCATCTCGAGGTTACCCGTTGAAATTGAAAAGAATACTCCAAGGACAAATCAAAGAAAATGCTGCTACTTAGATGCATCATGCATGCATGCATGGAGGATGTAATGAATTCGGCCGGTTACATAATTCTCCTCGTAACGTAACAATACAAATTGTCTAAGACGGGCCGGGCCATGAATTACCGACCGCCAAAAAGTCTCCAAATACTCTTTGGAGTTGGATGGATCATAAAACCCAACCACGTTTTATCACTGAACAATCTTGTTGCATCATTCAAAGAGGTTAGAGGAGGATTTTCATTTTTTCTCCTTTGACGAAAAGTATAGAAGGGAGGAAGAGAAAGAATATAGAGTTGGGCTTGAGAGAATAGATGTGACAATATAATTTACATCGGGCTTTGCTTTGATGTCGGCGCTTTTATATATTATTGTGCCCTTTTTGTTCCTCTTTTTTTTTTTGGTGTGTGTGTGTGTGTGTTTGTGGACTACTAGTCGTGTTGTTTTTGGTCGGAGGGTAAGAAGGCGGTTTGTCCGCAGTTCTTCTGGGTGGTAGCGAATAAGGCGATTCTCTCTGCAATTCTTTTTTGGTGGGGGGAGTTATATAAGTCTGTTGAAGAATATGCTCTGTCCTCGGAGGATGGATAAACGTCAATTGATTGGAGTTATAGGACCCAAGTTTGTAAACTGGGTAACGAAGGTTCTTTTTTTATGCAGCTTTTCAAAGCTCAAGGTTAACGTTGTTTCCTTATGTCCGAACCCTAAGCAGCCTAGAGAGGTAAGTACAACTATGCAATCTTGCTCATTGTTATTGAAGCAGTTCTAATTTTTCTTTCCTGAGCTCTGTGTGTATTTGATGATTCTTCCTGTATTCAGTGTATGGCTGATAAGCAGCATATAGATGAAGAACGGATTAGCAAGCTTCCAGATGAAATCCTTAGTCGCATATTGTCGTATCTACCGCTCAAAGAAGCTGGCAGAACAAGTATTCTGTCCAAAAGATGGAAACGCGTGTGGACTTTGGCTCCTGATCTTGATTTTAACGGCTTCACCACATTGTGCAAGAGCCTAACTGGGGAGGGGTACAATGACCGAATGATAAGGGAAAGGCCTAAATTTGTGAAGTGGGTAAATAAGGTGCTACAGTCCCATTTGTTTTTAGAAAAGGTTCTACAGTCTCATCAATCCTTGGTTTTGAATAGTTTCAGAATTTATTTTGATTTGAATAAGTACTATAAGGAGGAATTGGATACGTGGGTTGAGTTTGCTTTGGATAGGAGAGTTCAAAGGCTAGAAGTGAACCTGTCACGCCACGGCCCAGGTTGTGTTAACCCCTGGAATTTCTATGTTTTTCGTCTATCAATTTTCAGACAGACATGTTGGAATTCTCTCAAATAGTTGATTTTTAGATATGTAATCGTCTCCGCCAAAGATCTTGTATTTCTTTTGCACAACTGCAAATCTCTTGAAAGTTTGGTTCTGCGTGGCTGTGGGCCTTTAACAACTTTAGAAATTTGTGGTCCATCTCTTGCATTACAACACTTGAGCATTAGCTGGTGTTCCTTGAATACCCTCATTCTTAGTGATGTTAATCTTATTTCACTTGAGATTGGGAGGCCAGGAGCGCTAGTGCTTAACAATGTCCCCCGGCTTGTTCATATTAGCTTCCTTTCTGCTTGTTACAGTTTTAGGAAGGATGTCTCCAGGCTTTCATGCTTCTTTTCAAAGCTAAAGAGTCTTTCCTTATTTTTGGGTTGGCGCCAGGCTAGAGAGGTAATGCATCTTGCCCTATTGGAGTATTTTTCTTAGCCCAGTTTTGCTCTATATGGTGACTTCTGAAGTATATTTAAATTGTTTTGTCATCCCAGGTTGAAGGGTCTCTGCCTCAATTACCTGCACTGAAGGAACTATGTATAGAGCTTTGTTTAGCTGGCAAAGAGAGCATGTGCAGACTTACTACGTTTTTTAGGGCATCCCCAAACCTGGAGAAGCTTGTAATAAAGGTAGTCCGTTTGCGTTTCACATTTTTCTTTTCTTGTTTTTGGACCATTCATTTTATGCTTGATGTTCTTGTAATTTGTTGGTACTATCGAAGTTGAACTGGTTTATCACACTTACACTTGCCAAGTAAAATATGTTTTGTTTCTGCAGACATTATACCCGCGGAAAATAGTGACCCGCAGAGAGTCAGATAATGTTGTAAATTACCCTCTTCAACATCTTAGAGTGATTGAGATGTCTCAATGCCGTGGCCGTTCGATTGAGTTTGAACTAGTCAAGTATTTACTTAAAAATGCAATTTCCCTTGAGATAACTGTTGATCCGCGTCATAAAATGGCTTCATTTGGTAATAATGATTGGCTCCGTGATTCTGGGATACTCGATGAACAAGCTGCATCACGCGACCAGATCATAAGGTTAAGGGAGCAGCAAAGTTTAGGAATAAGGCCTCCATTTGGTGGTGAAGATTGGTTCTGCGATCCTGAGACACTCAATCAAGAAGCTCAGATAACAGACGAGGCCCGAAGGTGTGCTGAGCAGCAACTCTTAGGAATAATGCCTCCGCATGTGACATTACAGATCCTTTAGCTTCACACGAGCCTGATCAATTTTTGTCTTATAGTACCTGACATTACGGAAGGATGCATTTTATCAAACTAGATGTGTTGTGTTGTCTGATAGTTTGTAGGATGCAGACATTAGGTTTTTCTTTTTCCTTCTTGTACCTCGATTGACTGCGCCGGTGTTGACCGGGACGGCAACAGGGTAGCCTTTGACCGATGATGATCCAGCTTTATTACTACTACTACTTGTACTACTAGACTCGGGTTTATGTATTTAGATTTCTTGCATTCTTCTCCATTTTCTACTGTTTTTTTTCCCCTTCAAGTTTGGTAACTAACGTAATAAAAGAACTAACAGCAGGGTGGAGCAGATTAATACTACTACTATACAATCTCTAAACAACATTCAACGGTTTGACCGATGGATGAGTGAACAGTTATGATATTTTGCAGTGTGGATTATGATGATGATAAATTGCGTCAAACAGGATCCGCTGCGAATCATCATTATTTTTTACTTCCCGAATCGGTCATATACATATGTTCATTTGTGATTTTCAACGTTCTAATTAGCTATGACTCAAAACAAACTCAAATTTCCACCTTTTCATTTCGTTGAGGTTTAATTTTATAGTAACGACATACATTTCTGGATTCAGATATTATTTATTCTCTGTGTCCCAAAATTATTGTCCACTTTGATTTTTTTTTTAATACCATTTGAACTAAACATGAAAATACAAACTGGATAATAATTTTGGGACGGAAAGAGTATTAAGCTGGCCAATTCTTATAGCTAGGTTAAATATCAAAAAGTCGGATCGGAATTCATTGACATGAATGGAAACACCATGTATAGTAGTTAATTTCATAGTACTTCCTTGTGTACTAGTAGACATATCGTGAGAAACTTTCACCCAGGTCGATCAAACAGGGATTAATCTGAGTATAGTATGTTGTCACCTAGAAGACCACATAAGTTATAAACATTTTTTTAGAAGTTTCTAGTAATAGCCTCCAAAACTTAAACATTGCAATTTTCAAGGTAGGGTTTATAACAAGAAGTTGTTTTTTTTATCGTTCAACTTTTAATCTCCACCTTTTCAAAAAACTTTTAATCTCCAATGCAATGTAATACAAACTATAATCTCCAATAAAATTTTTTTGCACAAAAGGAAACACAAAACAAAACAGTGTGAGTTAACTGCAAATAAGACTTCACGTAGTGTGTATACTAGTACTCCACTCGTTCTAAAATCAAACACATGCAATTTGGGAAATCATAAATGTTTCAATAATCTAGGGTAAACATAAGTTAAAATCTAAGTCGGGAATCTGGATAGCAATTCCAGTAGCATTCTGGGGAGGCAAATTCTGGGGAGAAACTGCAACAAGGATACCTTTGGAAGCCATCACAAGGGTACCATCCTCATCCAAAGAGAAACGGTGAACGAAAGTCAACCCAACCAGAACTTGAACATCAAACTCGATAAACCCAGTAAGAATTAAGCCTCGAGACATTGAATCCGCAACCGTACCATTCAGACCCACCCGCCAGACCTCGGGTTTAAAGTAAAAAACCGTCCGGTTCTTGGGGCTTTGAACAACATTGACGTTGTACTTGTCGACGTAGGAAAGAAGTTGACCAGGCGCATTGGAAGAAAACACACTTACCTTGATTTCCTTGTAAACAACGGGGACGTGAGGATTCCGGTTCGTCAGGGCCAACCCGATTTTCCATTTCGCGGAGATTTGGTTTTCGGAGATGGTGAGGTTTGTGACGGAGAAAGATTCGATTTGGTGGTCCGGAACGTAGCTCGTGTCCAGTGTTTGGGAAGCAGTAAACCAAGTAACTCCGATCAAGACCGTAATTAATAACAAGACTTTGCAAAATGCTTCAAACCACAAAGCGGCCTTGGAGGGTTCAGGCGGCGACCACGTTTCTGTACTTTGCCGGCCGTCTGGAGCGGCAGGAGGAGGAGGAATTGATAGGGTAAAGTAATTAACCGGGTAGCCGTAGACGATTGATGAGGCATAATTATTATTATTATTATTACTAGCACTAGCTGTATTCTTTTTCATCTTTTTCTTCCTTCATAGACTACTACTGTTTTTCTTCTTAATGAATCAATGCATAACTAAGCGTGACAAAATAGTGAAGAAATTGTTAAATGGAAGAGTGAATCTCTCAACAATAACGGATTTGGCGGATAAATAAGTACCCACAACAAAGCAGTTTGTTTTGACTTTGATAGTTTGATTAGAGAGTACGTAGAATGAACGAGGATAAACATTAAAAAGAACCGTTCCAAGTCCATTTCTCCCATCCAATGACTCGATTCTGGGGAAGAAAGGAGTACGTATTATGTTGTATTTATATCGCCTTCAAATATTTTTTAAAACTAAATTTTAAAGATCATACTACAACTTATTTGTTTGAGTTATTAACGATTTTATGTATCATTCACAGAAATCGTATTCCAAATGTATATATATCGATCACGGATTGTGAATCTAATTTTCCCGTTGATTCTTTGGCTTTTCTAACCGACAAAGGATCCTGTCGTTTTCAAAGATTATATGCTCTTCCGTTAGTGGTTAGTGTGCGATTTAGAACTTTAGACGATTTGATTACTCATTGTAAAAAATGATGAAAATAAAAATACCGAGGTGATTGTAGAGAGCCCATGCATGTTTGTAAATAATGTATATACATGTTCCATTAATAATATACTAAATCTCAATCAAAAGTTTGAGTATCATGTGTTAGGTCGAATTTTTTTGGTTCCCACCATGATAAATATCGAAATGTACGTCTTAAACCCAGATACTTTATAACAGCTTAGTTTGTTGTTTAGGCTTCACCTTATATATACCAAAGATATATTCACAAGACCGTACGTACCTGATTTAACGAAATGAAAATTTTTATACAAAAACTACATCGTTGACTTAGTCGGCCCATTTCTTTCCCGATGATGAAGTCGATGAATGAAAACTTCCGTACAAATTATGTTTCCAACTAGTAATTAGCTGTCGTTTTCATTTGCCCGATAATGAAGTCGACAGAAGAAAATTACAAACAAATTTATGTCGTCGACCGAGACGTTGTGTTTCTTTTTCATGAGATGAAGTCCAAAAAAAAAAAAAAACTTTTGTAAATAGCTATGTCGTCGACTTAGTCGTCGAGTTTCTTTTTATGATGATTAAGTCGACGGAAGAAAACTTTCATACCAAATCATGCCGTCGACGTATTCTTTGAATTCATTTTCCCGACGATGAAGCGACGGAATAAAAACTTTCGTATTAAATTATGTTATCAATCGATTCAAGCGTCGTTTTTTTCCTTTTCCCTACGCTAATATGGACGAAATATAATTTGTACACAAAATTAGGTCGTTGACTTCTTCGCCGAGTGTCTTTTTCCAATGATGAAGTCGACAGAAGTATATTTTCTCACAACATTATTACGTCGTTGAGTTAATTTGTCCGAGGATGAATTGAATGAATGGCAAATTGGCTTTACATAATGAGGCATTTGGCAAAGGAGGTTGAAGACCATCATCGATTTAAAAACTCAAATTAAACCAGATGATGCAGCAACGCTCATTGATAAAATGTTCAAACATGGCACAACTTTAAAATCCAGCGATCGGAGCAAAACTTTAAAATGAGCCCAGTTGCTAATTTCTTTCCCATATCTTTTTCTTTTCTTCTTTCTTTGTTTTTTACGATGTTATGCGTGTTATAAAACCCTAAAGAAATTTTTACAAATCGATCAAATCATGACACAATATTAATACTGAGAGGTTGATATTCCATGGAGTATGAAAAGTGGAAACCCGTGTTTAATTTTACCAAACCGACACGCTATGTTGTTTATCAGAAGGGAAAGCATATATTTCTAAAATTAATTGAAGGGGTGCAAGCAGTTTCCTGGTAAAGTTATCCACCATAGTTTTCCTTAATTATTAATTAATTAAAATAAAAAAAGTCTCAAAATATGATAGATAACATCCAGATCTCTAGTTTAAATCCGAAGTCTTGCTACAAATCGCTCCGGTCTTTCACAAATTTCATATTAGGGTTTCAAAAACTTTTATACTGATCAATGTTGTCACTAAAAGTACTCCGTCCATTCTAAAATAAGCGTCGTCCTATACTTTGCACATAGTTTAAGAAACTCTTAAATAGGGTAATAAAATTACTTGAATATTCTCAGAAACCCCATTATAAAATTGTCCACCAATAGCATCAACTCTTTTGAGGGTAATTTTGAAAACTTTTGACAAAAAGTGCATTGAAATGTGAGAACGACACTTATTTTGGAATTTCTCCATTTTGCTAAAACGACACTTATTTTGGAATGGAGGCAGTATTTTTTAAAAGAAGAAATCATTTTTTTGAATTTTATTATTCTTTTCATATATAGCACGACATGGTGTTTATCGTACATAATAGTGACTCTTTTGTTATTATTAATAAAATTTACTTACTTGCCGAAAAACAAAAGAGACCCTAGTTTAAAAAGTGTATGAAAACATCCACATTAGGGCAAATAGACACCAAATTTCAAAAAGAAAATCAAGGCACAGAAAATAAAATTTTCATAGTATAATTTAGGAGAAGAAAACAAAACAGAGCTCCCGCATCCTGTCTCCCGGGGTTTCCAGCATCATCATAAATGTTAACACAAATTTTTTGATGAGTGATGATGCGGTTAATCATATATAAACAAAACAAAAATAGAGCATGTGTAGTCTCGTGACCGAATAATTCGTTTAATGATATAACTTACTGAATCACAATTTGCATTGACTAGAAAGTTATTGTAGATCTCGAAAATTGACTAAGCTATCTATAAATTGTATTAAGAATTTTTCGTGGCCGACGATGATGGCAGGCTCCTACCTGTTTAAACTGGCTGTCGATTGTTTCTCGCGTTTGCGATAGAAATTAAATCCTCAATGTTGCGTTTAAAAGTACAACGCTCTAACAATGAGGGTACGGCTCGATTCTTTCACG